TCAATGATATATATTGAGAAATTAACAAAACTAACATTTGATCTACAATTCATATTCTTTCCAAATATTGAAAATTAACTTAATATGCCATATATGAAAGTTCTAGTAGTATTTGTGCAAGAAGAACACACAAGTGCTTGGTAGTTTCTATATACCATTAGATTATCAAGATTACTTGCTAAATTGATCTCTCTTCATTTTTATTCCTCATACACTCCTATTCATTTTTATCTTAAGAGAATTAAATTCACAATAGAATTTATAGTTATTTTGTCTTATTAATCTACTGCATAAGCACAACAATAAGTTTCACCAAGTGATTAGTGGTTTACATGCTGAATTCTAGGTTAGAATTACTTACTAGATTTAACAATTCAAACCAACTTAACACTTCACCTAAAAGTTATCTTCTTAATTCATGACCATAGGTGTCTTGATCAAAGGAGAATTCACAACATAGCTATAAATAATACAATTTACTAATGGATTCCCAAACTTCCTAAAACTTTTTCTCATTGTGTACATTGTGGAAGCTTTTGGGTAGAGGAAGTGTTGTCTAGTTGAGTTAAAAACATGTTCTCTACCTTGCAAACTCAAGTTGACATATTTTTGTGTTCTTGTGGTTCAACTATCCTCTCCTCTCTCTCTTCTACATATTCAGTTTTCACATAACTAGTTTTATCTATCTTTTTCAGCACATTAGGTTTCTCTGATTTTAAACACATATCTACCAACTTTGATGACTATAGATCTATGATGGCATATTTATTTCTAATAATATAGCGGATAGTCTATTTGATAGTTCTCTAACAATTCAATTTGATGCACCCAAATTAGTAAATTGATTAACACATCTAGTTATGTTCACTAGATAGTTCTAATAATAAGATTCATAATGATGTGACAGTTGCATGATAATGTGGTCTAGTATGCCCAGTAACAAAATGCATGAAGCCTTGGACTCATGCCTAACAACTAGAGTTTTTTTTCTCACAAGCTTTAACTTAAAATAACTCAAAAGTAAAAATAAATAAATATTACACAATGATATTTAACCAATATTTATGCCTTCAACTAATTTACTCTTGGTCCAGTCTCATAAAATTGATAGCATGTTAATGTAGATCATTTATGAGACTATCACGATATGTAATTCTATACTTAGACATCTGACTAAATTATCTTACATATGTTGTGATCATCATCTGAACACTAAAAACTCTCAAGTTTATTAATGCTCATATGACATAAGTATTTTAGAAGGAAAATATCATTCCCTTCAAGGTATTTGGCACAAAAACTTTCATAGACAAAAGTTTTGAGGTTGTGATATGTAAGACAACAACTATTCATCAATGTTTCATCGCTTGAAGGGTGCTTGAAGGGTTTCTTAAGCAATGAGTTTTCAAATTTTCACATGCATACCAAGTTGATGAAAAAAATAGTAAATGACTTATAAATTAGATCTCAAATTATGATAGTAAGATTCAAATTTATGTTCACACATTTGCACTTTAGAATATGAGAGTACCAAAAAGTTCAAGCAACTAGATTTTAAATTATATATTCTAAATTGTATATTTACTAGCTTTCAAAAAAATGAAATATTAACCAATAAAATAAATAAGTTATTTGATTGAATCTCAATAGTATAAAAAACCATTCATTTTTTTATGTTTTTTAATATTAATTGAAAATAATTTTGAGATATCAAAAGTAGACAAATTAATGATGTCATGTATTGAAATAAAAATGTGATATATATAAATTCTATTCACATTTTATTTGAGATACTTTTGATTTTATTTGGGTAAAAAATCATTATTTTATTAAGAGATGTGTTTATAGTTCTATTTTAATATAATAGATTATAATCAATTATGTTAAGACTAATTAGTTTAGATATATGTGTTAAACATAAGGGAAGACTAATCAATATAACCGTAAACCCTATTTGTTCCTTATTGTAGACCAATCCCTCTCCCTCCCATAGCTTTTCTTTCTTTTTGTGAAGATTCCCATGTTAAACATACTTTCTTCATAAGAAGATGAAAAATGCAAGTAAGCTTACTGTGTGGCATTACTTCTACAATGATAAACTCTAAAATCCAAGTGACAAAAAGAGCTATGGTTATTGCAAAACCTTTCAAGTATCATCTTCATCGTCTTTTGATTTCTCAATGTGCCTAAATTGATAGCTACAAGATTCTACTATTGATGTCCTTGATTTTGACACTTTCAAGTAAAAAATTATTTTAAAATTATTTATCAAATATTTATTAAATAGTAAATTGACTTCATAAAGTGTTAAAGCTTTGATATCTTTGATAAATATACATTGATGATGCTCTAATAATTATAAGTCTAACAAATAAATATAATAAAATATATATTTGGGATATTCTTATGTTGAATTTAATACATCATAATATAATTCAAATATAAGTACAGAAAATCGTGTCAACACATGTGACAAAGTTTCTAAAAAATTAAAAAATATGAGTCACATGCAAGATTTAAACTCAAGACCTAAGTGACGAGATGTCAAAAGCCTTAATGAGAAGCATATATAAAAAATCAACGAATTTGAACTCAAGTGAAGGATTTGAAGTCAAGACCTATGTGTTTGAAAGGTGGGACTCTCAATAAACTAAAATGTAAGAAAACTTCAAAGAAACAAAGTACATGATAGGATTTGAAATCATAACCTGAATGACAACATGTTGAAAAGATGATCGATGAAATACAAAGAAACATCAAAGCATCAATGTCTCTAAAAAGATTAAAACTAAAGACCTATATAACAACAAATTTAAAGTATCTTTGATAAGCCATCAAAAAGTCATGAAAAGGGATGCGTCTTTGCCACGTATTCTAGACGATGACATGTTAGCGAAACACATAGAGAAAAGAAATCAATAAACCATATATATTTATTTCAACTCAACCTCAAAATAAAATATCATCATTAATAATTATAACTCTCCATACTAAGTTTCAAGTACAGCTGATATAAGAACAATGAGCTTTAAAGTAAGGAACAAGTAAAGATTAATAACACATCAACAGAATACATGGAGATATAATGACGAACATAACAATCATTTTTGAGTTTGATCTCATAATTAAAGATGATCACTAAAAAATTATGTATCCCTAGACGAAGCTTCAAATATAGTTAATATGAGAATAACAAGCCTCAAAGTAAGGAACAAGCAAAGAGTAATGTCAAAGATAATGGACAATAACATGTCTACAAACTACATTGAGACAACAATGAGCTTTAACAACATTACTTGAGCCTAACTTAGAAAACAAATATGTGTGTTGATAAAGTAGAAATCTCAAGAAAAACTTCCAAAGACAACTAATGTGAAAATAATAAGGTTTGAATGAAAGAATAAGTAAAGGTCAATAGCACATTGGCAAAGAAACATGAAAAAATTTCAATTTATGTGATCATTTTTTAGGTGATGAAAAGATAGTAGGACATTAGATAATATAGATGAGTTTACAAAAAATAAGAGTCAATTATAAATGAAGAAATCTCTCTACAATATTCATTCATGCTCAAAAGAAGAAACTACTTCATTCGTCAAAGACAAGTTGTCACATATTTCAAAGAAGAGTTGAAAGTTGTATCAAATATATGATTTTACAACAGTGATTCAAATAACCACTTGCTTCAAATGTTGGCTCTTTCCTTTGGACCCTAAGGTACCTAAGTGGTGAGTGAAAATGGGTTTGAGCTAAAGTATGGTATGCTGAGAGCTTATTAGTGCATATGAAGGGTCTCATCTCTAAGAAGACTGATGTATTTGACTAAGATATGTAGTGATAAGAGTCATATTATGCCTATGAGATGTGATCTCTACAAGGATCAAATTAATTAGGTCATTGATCTTGTGAAATCAACTTGTATTTATGAGAAGAAATAATGAACTCTGGTATGAAAGATCTTCTAGGACTGAACGAGCTCAATGAGAGTTGAACTAGTACAAAAACTCTATGTTCTTGACGATGATGAAAGAAAGAGAGAGAAATTAAAATGAACCCACATAAAGAAATGAACTATTTTGAATAAACCCGCACCCATAATAGAGAAGCTATGTGAGCACTTATGTTAACACACACTGGTAGATAAAATAGAAATCATATGAAATCAATTCACCTCCCTTCTTGGTGTTTCACTTAGCTATATTAAACCCTACATCTATCACAACAAGCCCACTTAGACTCTCTCTCTCTCTCTCTCATTTGCCATTCAAAGGCCAAAGATGGAGAATAACTATAAGGGCTTATTATTCCCAAAGGGTGTGCAATCCCTTGAGGATTTACATACACATCAAATAATTTTATCTATTGTGTATCATTTTATCTTTATTATTTTAAAAAAATACAAGGCAAATTAAATAAAAAATACAAATCCCATGTGTAAAATTGACATGACAATGACTTAATGAAAAATATAAAAAATAAAAATAAAAAATGGCAGAATAACTGAGGAGTGAGTTTTCAACCCAAGTTTAAATGTTAAATATATTTAATCAGGCAGAGGGACCAAAAAATGGGTTTTTTTTTTAGCAGTAGCAGTCAATTTTGAGAAGTGATTCCCACTAATTCAACTAATTTGTGGGGAGAGGAAAAACCAAATAACCCAATGATAAGATCTTGACAGTTGGTCCTGCACCTGGTGTGGGACCACCACAGTTGGCAAGGACCTCGGCGAAATCATGTGCTGGGACACGTGCTCTCCTTGTGGGTCTTCAAGATAACCGGCCCCTTGCCCGGTCCAACGGTGGAGGACCATAATGGGCTTTTCTGTTCCTGGTTGGACAACAACCCAGATATTGTCCCGTTCTCCAATATATGTCGCCAGGCTTTCTTCCATTTGGTCAGTGAGAACAGACTTCATTGGGCTGAACAGAATAAGTACGGGAAAGCAACATCTACTTTATACGTACTTGGAATTCCTCTCTCTCTCTCTCTCTACAGGCAATTTACAGAGGGAAGTCGTCGAGAAGGGGCTTGGGGGAGGTGAGGATGGCGGTGTAGAGCCTGAGCTTGTCCTCCCCCATGGAGGAGCTGCGGGAGAGCGGCCGGCGGGGGCGGATGAAGGAGAGGGAAGACAGCGTGAGGCGGTGACGGTGGCGTCGCCAGGCCAGCTGGATCGCTACCGCCGCCCAGGTCCGCCACCCGGGGGAGTAGTAGCGCGCGCTCCGCCGCACCTTGTCGTTGACGAAGGTGTGTCGGAAGTGCTGCGTCACGTACTTGACGTCACCCGCCTCCAGGGCGAAGACTTCGGTAGTCTCGATGGTCAACAGCGTGGAGGAGGACAGCGGCAGCCGCTCCACGAAGGGGCGACGGAGGCACCATGAGAGGAGCTCGTCCCCCGTGAAGTTTCCCGGCCCCAGCATGCAGCTGCTCTTCATGCCATCCCGCAGCAACTGGCTGCTCTGCAGGTGTCCCCTCACCACGAACAGCATCCTCTTCACCGGCTCCCCTTCTCTCGCTATCTGCACCAGAATGGAAAAGATATGCATCACAGAGATAGCTAGATAGATAGATAGATAGCGAGAGAGAGAGAGAGAGAGAGAGGGTGCTCACAGTCTCCCCCTTGGTGAAGATGAGCGACCTCACCCTGTCGCAGATGTTCTCCAAGACAACGGCGTCCATGTGTTGAAATAAGGGTACCTGGAGGAAAGTTGAGGGTCAGAATGATATTTTTCTCCTAATTTGAAGATGGGGATGGGGAACGAGTCTCGAGGAAGCAAGTTCATTGTGTTCTTGTTACCTGTCGGACGAGATCGAGACAGAGGTGGTACTTGATGTCCCGGCGGAGGCCCTCCGGTAGGTCCCGAATCATTTCGTACTCGTCAACACCTCGCATCGCCGCCCACCGCCGGCGCTCGTACTGCCGGACCCGCCGTCGGAAGCTCTCCGGCAGGCGGCGCCGCCGCATCCACCACTCTGTGTTCCTCAGCTGCAGCTGCATCGCCTGCTTCTTCGAGCTCGTCCCGCTCAAGAACACCTGCCCCTCCACCACAACCTCCCCCACTGATGAAGAAGAAGACGATCGAGAGTCGCAAACTTCGTAGTTAGCCGAGCTTCGTGACGGCTCACCTTGATGTTCCCGATCAACATAGTGACGAGGATCAGCCCGCTGGTTATGATGATGATGTTGAAGACCACCTCCAGCCACTCCGTGGTGCAACCCAAGTTCCCGAACGTGCTGTCACAGAACTTCCCCAGTCACACAAACACACACACAGACGCTCTCTCTCTCTCTCTCTCTCTATATATATATATATATGTAATACATATATATATATACAAGAATATATGCATGAATATATATTTATATAATTTTATCTACGTAGAATATGTGATCTTACCTTAGGGTCATGAGGGCCCAGAAGATGGGGAAGAGGATCTTCTCGATGCGGCTAGGGTTGGTGACAAGAGCGACGGTCCACTTGTAGGATCCGTAGTCGTAGTTGTCGCCGCCGGCGAGACAGGCATGCCTGGCGAGCTTCTTGCTCGCCCAGGCCATCTTCTCCGCCTCCTTCACGAGCGACGTCGTACCGTAGAAGACTGGCCCCTCACACGCGATCGCCGCCGCCTCGCACCCTGTCGCAGCCAGACATTGCTCCTTGAGGCATCTCGTAGCCCTCTGTATCCCCAGCAGGTACCAGCACGCACCAGCGGCCTGGGCAGGGTTTACCAAGATCAAAGAGTTCTTGAGAGATAAAGCAAGGTAGCTCAGAAGAAACAGACCGAGAGCGAGAAAGATAGATAGTTGGAGAGAGAGAGAGAGAGAGAGACCACAGATTTCTCCGAGCCGAGATATTGGAGAAAAAGCTCCCGTATCTCATACTTTCATCCAAGACGATACGTGGCTGGGGAGAGAAAGGTGGGATTTCGTGGAGAGATGAACAAGCGAGTTTAAAGAGATACAGGCTGGAGACAGCTCCAAGCAACAGGTGACTTGGGATCCAAAATGTTAAAGACGACAGTCTTCGAGAGAGGGAAACAAGATTGCTGAGAGAGATCAAGACGCGAGGCTGCTCCAATCTGAGATCTCGGTAAATATTTTATGCAAATAGTTCCTCCCACATCGACTACGATTGACGAACCAGGAGCCATGATGCGAAAGTAAGGGATTCGTAGAGAGATGAGATAAACACGCGGGCTTGGAGAGAAATCGAGACTAGAGATTGAACGGGAGTAGTCCCACATCGATTGCGATAGACGATTGGTTATCAACAGGTTCGGGGTTAGAAAAATCTGGGCTCGTTATTCTAAATCCTTGATTCATAGATTTCCAGGGGAAAGAATGCGGTCGGGAGGAGTCGAGACGCTCACATGGGAGGCGACGAAGTAGGCAATCAGATTGAGAGCCAGTCCCCACCAAACGGTGCCCAAGATGTAGCCGGAGAGGTTCTGCGTCCGGCGCAAGAGGCGGACGGAGTAGTAGATCTTGGGGAGGTACTGGACGAGGAACGTCACCAAGAACGCCGTCATCACCGCCGTCGTCGATCCCCGCCGTATCAGCGCCGGCGCCGCCACCCACAGCATGATCTTCATGGATTCAATCACGATTTATTAAATTAATCAGGAAAACCTGAAACCTAACGACGGCAAAGAAGTAAACGAGAAAGATTGATGGATTCTTCATTGGTCTGATAGCTCGGTGAAACCAAGGGGCTCTGGGGACCTCAAGGGGTGACACGTCGACGCGTTGCCCAGGTCTCAACTCGGAGCTCACGAGTTGGGCTGGTAACTCAGGGGTCACGTAAAACCAGAGCGGTAACTCCGCGTTTCCAGCGTGGGGGTGTGTAGGTGGAGAGACAGAGACAGACCGAGACAGAGGCTGTGGAAGAGGTAGGTTCCTCCGTAGCTGTGAGTAGCTGACAAAATCCACCTTGGATACTAGAAGAACAGGGGGGAGGGAGGTCTTCTTCTTCCCCTCTTTCTATGTAGCACCCATCTTACCTCCAACAATCTAGGACACCAGTGCTCTACATTTTCCTACCAAGTGCCAAAACTCCCCTCTGGAGAGACGTTCGTGATCGATGGTGACACCAGATAATGAGATACATGAAACGTTCGTGAAGCAACCAATGGTCACCTGGGGAATGGGGAGGATGACGAAGAGATCGAAGAAGAACCCTTTTACGGACTTGAAGTATCGCATTACAGCCCTCCGCGCCGCCTTGCCGTTGTCGTCCTCCGACGCCTCCGTGCTGAAGGTGATCTTGAGGTTGAGCCACATGTTCCACACATGTAGGGCGTCGGCCATGCACCGGAGGGCGGTGACAGAGAGAGCGAGCCAGCCGTCGATGAACAGGCACATCCCACTGCCGCTGATCGACAGGGTGTAGAAGAAGAGCGGGTCGAAGACGAGCCCCGCTGCGCAGACTAGCAAGAAGGCCCGGTTCCACTCCCGAACCCACCTCCCCCGCTGCTCCGCCGCCAAGCCCCCGTTGGCTCCGCCGCCGCGGCCGCTCTCAGCATCGCCGGCGGCGAGCCCCTCCCCGCAGTAGGCCCCCTTCATCCTTCGCTCTTTCTCATCGCTCACGCCGCTGTCGGCGCTTCGTGGGAATCAGTGAATCGGAGAAGGACGACGAAGAGCGGGAGGGTGAGCCCTTGTCTGGCGACAAATCTCTCATTATAATATTTGTGGAGAAGACCGGTACCGGTTATATAATCCAGGGGACGGGCTCTATCCTCCATTGTTTCGAGCCCTCCCCCCACGCGTCCTCCGCCTGCTCTTTGCCTCGATGAGGTCCCAATATCATCCTTCACGGGGTCGTTGTCGCCATTGAAGATATACAACACAAGGTCAAGGTACGAAAGGACGAGTCGACCATCCGTCTTACGTACTCCCCAGAGTACGGCGGCGACCTCCTGGCGGGGCGACGGCGGTCTCGTAGAACAAGCGAGGTTCGTCGCAACTTCGCCCCTCTTGTTGGCTTGCCCATCAATTAGAGCGCGCACGGCGCCGTATGGACGTACTTTCAACGTTTCTTCCTGTCCGAACCCCAAAGATAGAGAACTACACAGCCTTCTAGTGGCGGTGTCGAAGCGGGTATTTGGCTCTTTTTTCCCGCAATTATTAATATAATTTACTAATTAAATTTTAATGATTTAATTGAAATACTCGTAACGCATATTTCGATCCCTTGTCCTATGTTTGTCGAGCGTATAGCAGTCTAATTGGCGTCTGGGTATGGTTGCTTATTTTCCGAAATATGTCACCTTTGGAGGTACAATTCGCTACTTCAACTTCGTTAATATGGAAAGAATCAAACTTCTTTTTCGACGCTCATTTGGCCACCGAAATAAGCGTTATTAACCTTCCAAAAACATTAGCGGAAGCTGGCTGATCAGATGAAACGCACGCCAAGTTCTAATCTTGCAAGTCGCCAAGTCTGTACCGAAGCCATATGAGGAAATTGGTCAACGGTCGAGATCCGGTTGAAGGTGGGGTTATCAGCTGTAAAAGATGGGTAGAAAATTCTAGAGAGAGAAACAAGGCTACAGTCGTTTTATCTTGGAGCGTGGTGAGAAATTCAGTGGGTTGAATGATATGGACAAGGACGTAGCGACAGAAGAGTACCTCGTCCAGTTCTAGCAAAAAAAGCTTCTCTTACCCTGTGAAATTCAAATCATGCCCACAACCATCGCCGTCCCGCCCCTCACCGGCGACCGGGACAGTTAACGGGAGGAGGTGGCGTAGGAGTTTGGTCCGTCAGGTTTTCTACTAAACGGAGGAAACGTTAGGTGGCCGGCATCAAAAGCTGCAATATCTCATTTCCGTTTGGAAAGGTCCCGAAACAAACAAAAATAATGGAGAAAATCAAATGAAGGGCCATGCTGTATATCAATGTGTGGAGGAGAAAAATGTAGAAACAGAGAGAGAGAGAGAGGAAGGGAGGGAAAGATGAGTTTGAAAGAGAACGTGTGTGTGTGAGAGAGAGAGAGAGTTGCAAGCTTGATACGAATTCGTCGAGAATCGATCAACAGAATCCCTGAAGCCAGAAAGGCCCTGCAGAGAACTTCCCAAATTTCCGTACACACAAATAGATTCCCGAAGAGTCATCTACTGAATAATTCTCATTAAATAATGGCTGATTTTCGGGACATTACTGAAAATTCAATCATGTCCTTGTCATGGAACTTTTATATAAGTTTGATTATCAATTCTCGTGTTTAATAAGCCGTATCGGTTTGTATGGTATCATTTAATGATTTTGGCCCTCTCCTCACTGATGATAAGATAGAGAAGGATTATAATATCAACGGTTCCTAGCTCTCATTGAATTATTATATGATAACTAACCTTCTAATAAATGACTAGAACAGAATCTGTTTGTCATTGTTCACTAAAAATGTGGATAAAATGGTAATGTAATAAAATGAATGTGGATTATTGAGTTTAAATAACATAACGATTCTCATCTTTGACGCGTGATCTTCTCATGTTCCTACCTCCAATTTACTTGTTGAGTGTCAATGATGGTATACTAGTCTAAAACCTGGACCAAACCCATGATTTTAAAAAACCTGTTTAGGGTAGGATTCAGTCAACAAGTGATATATCGATATTGACTATTAAGGGCATAATTCATTGATTACCGAAATAATGTGTCTACACCAATGCTGAGCCCATTAGCCCCTCTATGTGACATTCTATGCGGCATTTTCTTTATCTTGAAAAGGAAATAAAAATCTAGGACCCACCCACCCATGGTCATCTACGGGATTTTCCTATTTTTCTTTATATGGCAATCTTTTTCACGTTGAAGCATGAAATGAGAATAAAAACTCAACAAGAAGTCAACCATTTCATCTCAACTCAGACATTTCACCTCAACAGGAACTACTAGTGAGCAGTACCTTCTGATCTGAAGCAGGGTGGCAACACGCATCTGAGTATGCTTTTAGTCCATAAGCCACGGTTAGCAGCCGCCGCCTTCTTTGACTTTGAGCAACAACACAAGAGGAATATCGCTTCTGAATACCTCTAGGAGCACGATGAACTCATCCATGTGTCGATTGCTCGAGTGGACGAGATTTAAGCTTAGCTTTGGGCATGGTAGCAGGATATCAGAGAGCTCGAAGTTAGTAATGAACAACTCCCCCGACTTCATTTCTGCCATTCTTGTCGGAATAAGCTGCATTAATTTGAGATGGATTTGGTTCTACGTTGGCCGGAAGATTGTGGAGTTGGAAACCTATCCTTGATTCAGAGAACTTGTCCACTCTAGGCTAAAGACGGGCAGCATCGTTTGGGAAATCATCCAACGGAGAAGAGAAATCTGCAATCGTCCCCTCTTATTTCTTCTCGCGTGGTTTTTCAGAAATCGAAGGAATTAAGTGTGAGATAGACCCCAGAACGGGAAGTTCTTCATCTTCCTCTCCTACCGGAGCTGCAAAGCAGAAGGGAAGAGCGAATGAGCCACAAGAAATAGAACACGGCCGGCTTCAAGCGATGAAGTCGTCAAGGTTGGGCTTCGGGGAGGTGAGCATGGCGGTGTAGAGCCTGAGCTTGTCCTCCCCCATGGAGGAGCTCCGCGAGAGCGGCCGGCGGGGGCGGATGAAGGAGAGGGAGGACAGCGTGAGGCGGTGGCGGTGGCGTCGCCAGGTCAGCTGGATCGCCACCGCCGCCCAGGTTCGCCATCCGGGGGAGTAGTAGCGGGCGCTCCGCCGCACCTTGTCGTTTACGAAGGTGTACCGGAAGTGTTGCGTCACGTACTTGACGTCACCGGCCTCCAGGCCGAAGGCCTCTGTAGTCTCTAGGGTTACCAGCGTAGAGGAGGACGGCGGCAGGCGCTCCACGAATGGTCGGCGGAGGCACCATGAGAGGAGCTCGTCCCCCGTGAAGTTGCCTGGCCCTAGCATGCAGCTGCTCTTCACACCGTCGCGAAGCACCTGGCTGCTCTGCAGGTGTCCCCTCACCACGAACAACATCCTCTTCACCGGGTCTCCTTCTTTGGTGATCTGCATGCACTTGTCTTCATTATGATGGCGATCCACTAACTTGAAAGGATCATAACGACGCGACAGAGACGAATGTATAGACGGCTAGGATAGATAAACAAAGGGAGGGACCAGAAGGGTGAGAGAGAAGCTAGGTTAGGTGAACAGAGAGAGGGAATAGAAGGGTGGGGGTGTGTGTGATAAGTAAGAGAGAGAGAGAGAGAGAGAGAGAGAGAGAGGAACCTACCGTCTCTCCCTTGGGGAGGACGAGCGACTTCACCCGATCGCAGATGTTCTCCAGCACTACTGAATCCATGTGCTGAAACAGCGGCACCTGGGACACAAGTTTAAAACCATCAGGGATACTACGCGGCCCTCCTGAATCCTTAACTGGCCAATCCAAGCCTCGGCTTCTCTTTTCATTCATTCATCGCACGACAGAGGAGGTTTATGGTGGCTGTACGATATGATTATGATTCTTGAATCAGATTATCTCAAGAGTATCGATTAGGGCACCTGGAGTTTGGGGGGGGGAAGAAGAGAGATGTCTCTGGTTACGAGATCTGATGTATTGATGATACCTGGCGGACGAGGTCGAGGCAGAGGTGGTGCTTGATGTCGCGGCGGAGGCCTTCGGGGAGGTTGCTGATGATGTCTGACTCGTCGACGCCCCGCATCGCCGCCCACCGCTGCCGCTCGTACTGCCGGACCCGCCGCCGGAAGCCCTGGGGCAAGTTCCGGCGCTTCATCCACCACTCCACGTTTCCCATCTTCAGATTCATCATCTGCTTCTTCGAGTTCGTAGAGCTCAGGAAAACCTGCGGTGCAGAAATAATCTGTTCATCAAATGCCAGTACAACCAGTAATTTCCTTGGTTTTTATAAGGCAAAAAGATGAGCATTATTGCAATAAGTTTTCCTAGTCGGAGATAGTCCTAATCTAGTACCACCACAAGTTGGCGGACCTCATTCAACCACTCCTGACAATCTATACCCGCCGATTAAGAGAGAGAGAGAGAGAGAGGTGAGAGATGCATGAACGGCTGGCTTCACATGTCCATTATTTTTTGAAGAGTTGGTGTTATACGAAGATCTTATTCAGCAAGAGGAGAATGCTTGGCTCTGGAGGCAGGGGGAGGCCCTCACCTTGATGTTCCCGATCAGCATGGTGACCAGGACCAAGCCACTGCACATGATTACGATGTTGAAGACGATCTCCAGCCAATCCGTCGAGATGCTGAGCTGCCCAAAGGAGCTGAAATGCAAGAACCTCCCATTAGTAAACCTGCATCTGCGAGATGGAGTGGCCGATTGCCGGCGGACGGGGGAGTTCAGTCACCTCAGCGACATGATGGCCCAGAAGATGGGGAGGAGGATCTTTTCCACTCGGCTGCTGTTCGTCACCAGAGGGACCGCCCACTCGTAGGCGCCATAGCCGTAATTGTCGCTGCTGTCCAAGCACATGGCCCTTGCCGTGGAGTTCCCTCCCCACGCAGCTCTCCCTGCGTCGAAAACCAGAGAGGAGGTTCCGTAGAACATCGGCTCCTCGCAGGCCAGGAAGCTGCTTCCGCAGCCAGCCGCCGCCCGGCATTGCTCGCCGAGGCACCTCGTCGCCCTCTGGATCGCCAGCAGGTACCAGCAAGCTCCGGCGGCCTGCGAGTAAACGAGAGAAGTGATCGAGAGGATGAAATATGAGAAACTTTGACGAAAAATATTTGCTCCTGAAGGGATGCGTGATGGGCAGATCAGATTTGGGGGCAGACATGGGCAACGACGAAGTAGCAGATGAGGTTGAGGGCGACGCCCCAGCCGATGGTGCCGAAGATATAGCCGGAGATGTTCTGCATGCGGCGGAGAAGGCGGAAGGAGTGGTACACCTTGGGGACATACTGCGCGAGGAACGTCACCAGGAACACCGTCATCACCGAGGTGCTCCATCCCCGCCGGAGCAGCGCCGGCGCCACCGCCCACAGCACCACCTGCAACACCGCCACCACCCGCCCCGAACGTCAGAGAGAGCCGATGGGCTGGCCCATCATCGTTCTTCAACAGCGGGGATATCTTCTGCCCTAGTTTCAGAGACTGAAAGGAAGGGGCACGAAGGGAGCTCACCTGAGGAGCCGGGAGGATGACGAAGAGATCGAAGAGGGCGGAGCAGACGGATTTCAGACGGCGGAGCGCCGCCCGCCAGCCGGCGGCGGCGATATGCTCGTCTTCCGCCTTGGCGTGCACCCGGCGAGCGTAGTAGGCCATCTTGAGTTGCAGCCACATGTTCCACACGTAGAGCATGTCTGTCATGCAGCGGAGGGCGGTGACGGAGACGGCGAACCAGCCGTCGATGAAGAGGCACATGCAGGTTCCGCTGATGGAGAGGGCGTAGAAGAAGAGCGGATCAACGAACAGCGCTGCCGCACAGACGAGGAGGAAGACGCGGTTCCACTCCCTGGCGCTGGTGGCGTGGGGATCTAGGAGCCGCCACAGGAACTCACCGCCACCACGCCGCCTGGTTCCTCCGCCGCCACCGCCCTTTTCCTCGTCGGCGGGGTCAGGGCAGCGGCCGCTTGTGCTGGGGTCGTCCTCTTCATCGTCGTCTGCGTGGAGATGAGGGGACCTTAGGGCGGCCCTCCCCCCGGCCATGGCTGCGGCGCCAGGTATGGCAGGGAGGGTCCAAGAGGAGAACTTTGCCGAGGAGACAAGAGACCCTCCTTTTCAGGCACGGGGGGGAAGCATCATTATATTCGGGAAAAGTCATCCGGCGAGATGATGGGGGGCACAGTGAGAGAGGGAGAGAGGAAGAGAGAGGGAAGAGAGAGAAAGAGAGAAGGAAATGGGATGTGTCAGAATAATAGAGAGAGAGTCAGCAGAGAGAAAGCCGGAGTCGTGGATCTGATGAGCATTATGACAGTCTATATCCTTTGAGCGTCTTAAACACGTTGAAAATGCGCCGGTTCCATGTTTTCCCCCTTCATTTTCGTTCCCTTTCTCTCTCCTCTAGTGTGTCTCTGTACGTCCAGGTGTAGACGGCCCATCCGACCCGGGATGGGACAGAAAAATTCGGGCCCAAAAGCCCGAAGCTTCATTTTCCTCTCCCACATGGCCATACAGTATCTCTCTCTCTCTCTCTCTCTCTCTCTCTCTCTCTCTCTCTCTCTCTCTCTCTCTCTACCCCTTGTGTACAAATGCTATGCATTTAATGAATGAGATGAATAGACATTTAATTAAAGAAATATATGTATTTCATTTGAAACGGAGATTCGTTCGTCCGAGTCGTATTATGACTCTTCATGTCTGGGTTCTCATATTAACACTAATAAAAACAACACATTTATTTAACCAAAAACAAAAAAAATACCTGAAGCAAGACTTTTACCTCCCACGGAATAATCTCACAGCGCTGGTAGGGAAGGAGGACGCTGCGAGTGGCACATGGTTCTGTCCTCCGACCAGATGGATTTGCCCCCCCCCCCTGCAACATGAAATCCCTCTCTCTCTCTCTCTCTCTCTCTCTCTCTCTCTCTCGCTCTCTAGTGGAAGCAGCCAGGGAATCTCTCCAGGCTCCGTCATAGGACACGGGAATCCCGAGGAAATTCTGGGGTTTGGGCCAGGAGCGGAAAGGATTTGGACACTAGCCTGTTCTACTTTTCATACATAGAAAAGCAGATTCAAGTAATGTGCGACTGTTCCAAACCAGCGAGCGGGAGAAAGGGGATGATGACGAAGCCCTAAGACCCGCCCTTATCTCTCTCTCTCTCTTTATCGATGATAGAGAGAGCAAATAAACACCACCATTTTCTATCAAACATCATACAGTTCTTTTAATGTCTCCACCAAGTCAACGTGCCTCCAATCCTCGAATCATCCCTTCAGTGGCTGCTTCCCCGAAGCTTCCTTTTCCATTAACGCACCAGAACCTCGGCCATCTATAGAACCCCCGAAGCAAATCTACATGCCATACACTGCGGAGAACAATCAGACAACAAGATCGGTCACCTGTATTTTTGAACCAGAGAGTAAAATTTTCTAATAGTAGTAGTGGTGGGCAGTCATGCTGTTCGTCAGCAGTAGATTGAATGTTGCATCTTTAAATGAGGGCGAACAAGCTAACGCCACCCATTAAATGCCCAGGGATCATGCAAACTATTGAAGCGTGAATTTACCAAACTTACATGAGAGTAAGGAAAAAAAAATCTGATCACCAGGTTCCCCAAGAAGGTTCTCCCTGATGCCGACTGATCATCACAGATTATCCTAACAAGCATTATCAGATTTCCATGCGTTAGAACCCTGATCCAGAGTTTGTACACAACAGCCTTGAAGAGCCTCGGATCGCCGAGAGTATGCGCACCTGATTCCGGGGAGCAGTAGGTTTTCCAGTATAACAGATTTTCAATTAAATATATCGGTATTTTTGAGCGAAGAAATCTGATTCACTGTAAGGCAATTGGATCTACGGGATTGAAAAAATGAAAAGGATTCAAGAGGCTCAGTTTCACATGGCAGCTTCGTCGATCAAGAGATTTCTGAAGCAGAACTGACAAAATGAAGCTGTGCGAGATCATCATAGCTACCGACGAGAATTCGCAAATAAATCTCGGAGACGATATTAGCAGCGTGAGAGTCAGTATATGGTCATTAAATGATCCAAAAATCACAAACATAATGACGACGAAATCAATTAAAATCCGACAACGAAATGAGATCGATGGGACATCATACCACTCTGAAGGTCGACTCATATTAAAAAAATTAACAAGTATACTATCCGCATTCACCATTTAAGATGATCAGGTAGTCGATCCAGTGTAATCATCGCCGACATTTTCAAATTCATCAAAGATGCTCGCAGGAAACTTGAAACCAAGAAAGACGGGAGATATGGAATCTGGCGAAATCAAGCAGAAGAACTCCCACATGAACCACGCCACTAGCTCATGACTAGGCTCCAGTGGCCACAACTGGATAAGCCGGGAAGCTTATAGGTGTAGAATGGCAGAAACCCTAAATCCTACACCGCTAAACCCCGAGCAATGGAGTCAGGAAAGTGATTCGGCACAGAGCTGTCCGTTCATTCGAAACAGGGCACCGAGGACGACGCGTGATCGGAGGCTCCCGAACCTCTGGTTGGCAGATTGATCAGACATCGCGTGGGAAACCGAGATTGAGAAGGAGCACTAAAACCCTAGATCTTAGCGAATAGTAGCAGGGGAGAGGCAGTATATAGCAGACGCAGAATCCCTACAACCGCACGATGTAAATCGTACGGTCCATCGGCTGCTACTTGGGTTCCCGGCCGAGTCGACCCGCTGGGTCGACTCGGCCGGGAACGGACTCGGGTCGCAGCGAAACGGACTCACCTGTCGTTATGCTAACATTAAACGATTCGGATTATCCATCCAACAAAAGCCCGAAAATGGCCTTCTGACCCAACCCACCCTCTCCGTTGACCAATATGAGAGACAGACAGACAGACAGACAACAGAACACACGGCCATTGACTAGGTCCCCAAACCAGGGTCACCGTAGAACCCGTGGACAAGTCAAGGGGCTTCTCTTGTTGCCGAAGTCAAGATTCCCTTTTTGCACGATTGGTTGAGAAAAAGGTACGAATTTTGAAGAGCATGATAGGATCGGGAAGCCGAATCAAGATAGGATCACGCACCTCTAGAGAACGACGAGCGCCGCCGGAGCGTTGACCGACGAGCAAGTAGCCGATTGCTGAACCCGCCCAGCCCATTATGGTGGGCTGAGCTCACTGTTTGATTTCTCTCCCAATCGGACAAGTCAACACGGCAAACTATTCGGTCGCCGCCCGGCTCATCTCCGGACCAAAAAGCAATGGCGAAACATCCTCGCGCGAAAATAAATTTAAATTATAGCGAGCGAGAGAGAGAGAGAGAGAGAGGAAAGCCGTACTGTCTCTCCGTAGGTTGTCGTCGTCTCGTGGGGGCTGCTGCTAAGGGCGGAAGAGGCCTGAGAGAGGAGACTGATGGGTCCGAATCGCCGCCGGATCGGCTTCTGCTTGCCGGCGATCCTCTTCTTCTGCACCACGGCCTCCGCCGCCGTCTTCATCTCCGGTTCGCCTCCAACCCCTTCTCCTCGCCCTCCTCCTCCCTCTCAAATCAATCTGCTTGATTTCTCTTCCCTTCTTGTTGCTGCAGACGGCCCCCTCGGCTCCACCTTCTCTCCGGGCACCGGCAGGAGCCTTCTCCAGGCACAATCCAGTAAGCCCTCCTCCTCCTCCTCCTGAATTATCGTCGGCTACCTCCGAGTCTCTTCCGTCCGGGCGATGATCCATACTCGCCATGAAGAGAGTCCACCAGCTCCAATTATCGTCCGATAATCACCATGAGGGAGAAAGAGAGAGAGGGGTCATCGCTCTGTCGGCTCCACCTGCGGCCATGGAATCAGAGGGGAAGGACGATCGATTACGCTTGCTTCCTGGTCCTTGCAGGGTGCCCGCTGGACTTCGAGAGGATGAACTACACCATCTTCACCTCCCTTTGCAAGGGGCCGGACTACCCTCTGGATCCCTGCTGCGAGGCCTTCAGAACCTTCGCCTGCCCCCTTCGCGCCGAGCTGAACAACGGCACCAACGTCTGCGCGGAAACCATGAACAGCTACATCAACCGAAAAGGGAACTATACCTCTGGTGTCTTTACTCGGTGCACCGACTTAAAATTAGGCATCTCATGTCCGGCGGTGCCCGCCGCCCCCCCTAGCAGCAGCGGCAGCGACACAAGCGGCGCTGCCGGTGCAACCGCGGTTCCCGTGCTCGGAGCATCGGCGGCCTGGGTGATCCTCGGCCGGCTGCTACTCTCGATCTGACGAGCAAAATCAAATCGCACCGCGTCGATCGAGCGAGATCCCGTCGGAAATAAAGATTCAATTTTTTTCTTTCCTCTGTTGAAAATAAATTTCTGAATTAGGTTTGCGGACGTGCTTTAATCTCTCGTTTATTTTTCCATCTTTGGCTGGCTGGGCGCGCCGCCGGGGATTGCTGTCCCGTGGACGGCGGCGCCACCGCCTCCGCCGGAGAGAGAGAGAGAGGGGGAGGAGTTGTCGGAGGGGTTTGGGGGGTGCAGAAATTCGGTGCACATTGGCGGCTGGCCGTGCGCGTCTCAGAGAATCAGACATGAGCCACAACAAAACCTCCCCCCACACGACTTGTTCCTTTCTGTCTCATCAGCGCAGGTGCCTGGTGCGTATCGTCACATATGGAGCGGTACGAGCAGAGAGCCGACGGGGTTAATTGGATACAGCTGTGCCCACGCGGTTGTTTTCCCGCGGCCAGACCACCTCCTCTCTCTCTCTCTCTCTCTCTCTCTCTCTCATTCTGAGGCCGCGACGAAGGGCAAAGGAGACGGGGTCGGGAAGCGCAAGGGAGAATGCGTCGGGATCCCTTCCTCGGCGGTGCCGGCTGCCGCTTACCGGCGATCCTCTTCATCTTCCTCAGGGTGGCCGCCGCCGCCTCGTCTGCCGCCTTCATCTCCGGTCCGCCCCCCGCCCCACCTCTTTACCACATTCCGAACTCCCTCGTTCCCCAGATTTCTCAGTTCTCTCTCTCTCTCGTTGGCCCGCAGACGGCGCGCTGGGGTCCGGCATCTCGGGGGCCGCCGGCGGAAGGGCCCTGCTCCAGGCGAAGAAGAGTAAGACGATCTCCCTCTCCAATCGCCCATTCCAGTTTCTCATCGTTCCCGCTGTCCGATCTCGTTCGTTCTCCCTGCTTTCCCCGTCGGATTCTCGCCGCATTCTGCTCCAGATTGGGAGGAAAGAGTTGCAGAAATGGGACTCCGCGGAGGAGGATTTCAATGGCGGAATGACTGGTGTTCTTGCTGGGGGCTTTAATGGCGAGGGAATAGATGAGGAGAGGCGATCCATTGAGAAAATGAATGCAGATGCAGGTTGAGGAACGGATCAGAGCAACACGGACCCAAGAACAGAGAGATATCCTCATTACTCCGACGCCGTCGAGATTGAAGGTGAAGACGGAGATATCCCTGATGGATAGTCCCCGGTCTCCCGGGGTTGCTCCCCAGTATGGTGTGCCAGTTGAAGCTTTTTTCTTTAAAAAGTCCACCTGCATCGCTGCCGTTGACTTTTCTTTTACTGCGCCAATGAACCCTCTACGGTTCATTGTTGTTGCTCCCCGGAATGCAGTGCCAGATGAAGCATTTTTTTTAAAAAGTTCATCTGATCGAGGGAGGGGGAGCATCGCTGCCGCTGACTTCTCTTTTGTTGCGCCAATGAATCCTCTACGGTTCATTGTTGTTGTTGCTGCCACCTCTGGTCCTGCACTCTTCGCTGCCGTTGACTCTTCGGTACAGTTCATTGGTGTTGTTGCTGCCGCCTCTGGTCCTGCACACTTTCTTGGAACAATTTTATTTGTTTTTCATTTTGTTATCCGGTATCTTGATCTTGGTGTTTGGATTCGTCCATGATCTGTTGATCACTCTGGGTTGCATGAAAGAAAACACGGAGTCAAATTCTGCGGCTCCAGCTGCCTTTTATTTGATCGGTGGGGGTTCAATTTCCCGCCATATTCATCAGTATCACCTTCTAGTGTTCCTGCTAAAACCAAAAAGGGGTCCCGTTTCCTCCTTTCTGTAAGGGTTGACTTTTGCACAAGATTTTCATAGAAAACTGTTCAGAGAAAAGATTTTCCCGTTGACCATCGCAAACGGGGATTTCCCGTTGACTATTCAGTCAACTCCTTATGTTATCTATCTGCATAGGATTATTTCAATCAATCAATCACCTTTTGACCGACTTGCAGGCTGCCCGATATCCTTCGAGTTCAAGAACTACATGATCATCACCAGCCAGTGCAAAGGGCCGCGGTACCCGCCCAAGCTCTGCTGCACCGCCTTCATGGAGTTTGCCTGCCCCTACGCCGAGCAGCTGAACGACCCTACCAACGACTGCGCCACCACCATGTTCAGCTACATAAACCTGTACGGGTCGTACCCACCGGGCCTCTTCGCCAGTGAATGCAAGGATTCCAAGCGGGGCCTCGAGTGCGTGGGTGTTCCCGCGTCAACGGATGACGTCCAGGGGAACACCTCCGCCGCCGCCGCCGCCGCCGCCGCTGCCGCCTTGGTTGTCGCCATCCCTGCGATGCTCTCCTTCTTCCTGGTGCACCTGATGATCATCTCCTGAACCCTCGCCACAATGGGGTTTGAATAACCTTTGTGATTGATTTATAATAGGGTGGGGTTGACCCTTCTTTGAATGTTCATCGCTTTCAGTCAGCTGAGTGCTCTAAATCCGTGTACGTCAGTCAGTCAACATGTGAGAAGCAATGCAGCAAATTATGCGCTGGAATGGCTTTATGAACTGAGTGCTATTTGTCATGATTGGTCACAAAAATTTACTTCTGTTGTGGTCAACCACAATTTTTTTTGATGATTCTTCGTTGCAAGATGAATTTAAAAAAAAGAAAAAAAAGAAAAATACATCCGAGGTGGGTTCTCCGGCAGAATCTAGGGAAACACAATATATACATACATGCCCACCGGGAAGTATTTCCATGAGAAATCTTCAGGTTTGCCCTTTTTTCGGTGAAAGCCTAGCGCAGATGCTTTGCTGAGGCTATTCTTCTGGGTGCTGCTGCCACAGTAGCCCTTTTCGCTCCATGGGTCTTCCCCTGTGCGAGAAGTCAACCCTCTTGATTAACAGGAAGGAAGAACTACCCAAAGACCCCACAAAATTAATAGATGGAGACGTTATGCGGAGAAGATTCTGAGATACCCAGAGTATCTCGGAAGTCAACTCCCCAGATCATGTTCTTCAGGAAGATTCAAATAGTGTCGTTTATCAGTGATTACCGAGATCATCATTCTCATGGGATTGATTTGTGGAAGATGAAGAAACTAATTTATTTCTTTTTTGTTGTCTTGTGCTAAAGAAAAGTACTAAAATTGGCAAAAACAAAAGTATCGGTTGGGTACAGTTATTATTTTTCTTTTTCGTTTTTTCAAATAAAATTTGTGTAAAGCTAAAGAATAGAAGGACCAAACCTTCACATTGGTAACTCCATTTCTACCAGGCTTTTCTTCTCTGCAGCTGTTTGAGCTCTTCAGAGTCTGGATTGTTCCCCTGTCAGCATTCTTCTCACAACTCGAAACAACCCTCCTCACAGGGCCAACCACATTCAGTAGACTCAGAGGCTTTCTGAGCCTATCTGGATGCAAAGCCTGCTAAAAATGGAAAATTAGCGAATAAAAGAGTTTAATTGTATCAATGTTCATAACACTCGCCTTTAAATTCTGTTCTTGGCAAGTATTTCTACTGCACTTATCATCTCCACATCGATCAGAAACTGAATTCAAATTCCTGCCAACAAATCTGCTCTTATCTATTCCATTCCTGGTAATCTTCTCTTGCTTCGTGCTCACTCGGCATTCATGGCTCGCAGAAGAAACCACACTGGTTCTGCTTGCAGACTGACGCTTCCCCTTTGCTTCCACTCCCAGCAATACCCTGGCAACGCGACATGCAGCAACACTAAGCCTCGTAGTGGACGACAAAGTTGAGCTCGTCGATGGGATACTAATTCTGGGTTTGGGATTGGAGCTGGGATCTCTGCTGATCGTTTCCCCCGCCGCAGCTGCTGGTGGGCTTCTCTTCAGACACGACCCCCCTTTGACATTCACAGATTTGCTTCTTGATTTCGTCAGAGGTGTACTGCTTGCAATCGTGCTCCCTGATTTGCCAGCTAAGTTCCTATGAACAGGGAAATATAGTGATCCAGATGAAGATAGAACAAGAGATATATGTTCCACTGATGCATACATATATATATATATATATATATATGTGTGTGTGTGTGTGTATGCACAGAGAGAGAGAGAGAGAGAGAGAGAGAGAGAGAGATTACCTAATGGGATAGTGTTCAGAAGATGAAATATGGAGCTTTCCGCCTGACCACTTCTTGGCACTGTAATGTTTTCCCCTTGACCGCGACACCGAATCAGGGAGGCTGGGAGAGCGGCACAGAATCTCCTGTTTGTCTGGTTTTTCGTGGGTGGTGCAACGAGGGGTAGAAGACCTCAGGCGACGAGTCGACAGCTGATGAACCCTGGGAGAAATGGAAGAGGTCATCAACGCGTGGACATGGGGTGAAGCTCGGATGAGGATGAGCGGCAGGGAGCTTACAGGTGAGTGGTATGAAACCAAGCATCGTCACTGCAGTTTCAGAAGAAGAAGAAGAAGGAAGAGGATGAAAGTAGGGTTGTGCTCAATGGCCATGGATCAAGAAACACAGCGAAACTGGTAATATACCAAGAAACGGATCCCCTCTTGAAGAACTCACCTGTGTTCTTCGTTCACGCGCTGCCCCTCTACCTTCAGGTCCACCCACATTGGCGCTTCGATTTCTTCCTGAAGAAACAGGACGGAAACGGAGATGAAAGGAATCGGAAAGAGGAGCAGAGAAGGACGAAATCCTCGATCAGAGACAGGCGGAGGACGAATTCCACGGAGTCGCGATGCATTCACGCACCAGGAACGCCCAGTGGTCGGTGCCCTCCGCCGCGATCCTGCGTCCACGCGCCGCCGCATCGGGATCTCTCCTCCTCGTCTTCGACGCAGCCATCCGCCTCTCTCTCTCTCTCTCTTCGACGCAAGCACTTCCGCCCTTGCGATGGCGGGTTTCTAACCGTTGCCATTTGAAAAGAGGATCTAGTGGGCCCCACCGGCGGATGTGCCACGTGTACAGAGAAGGTTGGGACTCGTGCGTCGAACTGTGGTCCACAGTCCTCGTCTCCCGTGGACCACTAGGCCCAATTAGAGGGACCATCTCTCTCCCTCTAATCCTTTCCCTGTTGCTGAATACGAGCAGAATTTAGCGAGAAAAAGAAGAGGTAGAGAGAGAGAGAGAGAGAGAAAGAGAGAGAGGGAGAAGCATTTGGGCACCCACAGGAGGAACTTCTCTAGGACTGCATGAAGCTTCGTACACACTAGTATCAAGGAGAGATTACAGGCGGTGAGCTGTGAACCGCAGAGACAGAGAGAGAGAGAAAGAGAATGGGTTGGGTGGGGATTGACCTGATAATACATGATGGTGGCGAGAAAGTCAACGGTTCCAAGGTCCCGGGGAAGGGTATCCGCCGCCACGCCACCCTTCAGGCGGCGGGAAGCTCCGCCCTGGTGGAGGAGGCCCTGCAACAGGAGCCACACCTGCACCCACCAACACCATCCATCCATTAGAAGACCATAGCAGCTTTCTCTCTCCCTCTTTCTCTCTCTAACAGGTGACGGACCGTATGCTGCTGGCAGAAGACCTCCTCGCCGGAAGAAGAGGGGATCTCCGGCCAACGGTGGCGTCCGGAGATTTCCAAGCTCTCCCCCCGCCGACCTCCCCATGGAATAATAATAGCTCGGCCTCCCACCAGCCGGAGCTCCGCCGGGAAACGGAGGACCAGGAGCGGGTGCTCCCCAGTGACTGTAAGCTCCGCCTCCGCCGACGCCGCCGCCGGCGTAGACAAGATCAGGGCTCTTCCACTGGAAAAAACCAAAAGGCTCATTCGTCATCAGAGATGCAGAAAACGGAGCCAGGAGCAATCTCGCCGACCTGAATGGAAGCTTGCGGATGATAACTCGGATGTCCCCCAGAAGCTGCAGAAGAACCTGGAGCGGCGGCGGCGGCGGCTCGAACAAGTGGGAAGCTGCTTCTCTCACTAGGATTTGCAGCTGACCTCACGGTGCGTTTCATCTCCTCCAGGACCCTCTCTGCTTCTCTTCGATCGAGCTCCGGAAACATGACCTGGCAAGAGAGAGAAAGAGAGAAAGAAAGAGAGAGAGAGAGAGAGAGTAGGATCGTAAGCTGCCATCGCCATCCCCGAAGCGAGTTCAGAGACGTCCTCGATGAAAAACCTGGTCAAAGGGCTCGTCGGCATGAGGCGTGTCCCTCCTGACCGGCAAGACGAAGTTTGCTGCGAGAGGAATCGATGCAGTGGAGATCAGAAACAGCAACCCAAGTAAAAAGATCTATCGCTCTCGATCAAGTTGACGCTTTGGATTGATGGGAGCTTCACACCGATCATTTCGTTCACCGCCTCCGCAGGAACCTCCTTCCCCATCTCCCTGACCCGTTTCTCCGATCTCCATCTGAGCTCGTCCATGGCCGGGAAGACGACCACTGCGATCTGGGCGGGCACGATGGCAGGAGAATCCAAGTGGGTACTGGTGATCGCTGACCGAAAGACATTCGTTTGCGGGGAAGAGGAGGATGCAATCGTTCACCTTGCGGAAGTCAACGAAGGGGCGGAGCTTCCGCTTGCGGGCGCTCCTGTAGACGTTGGTCTGGTCGATGATGTAGTTCCTGGGGGTCCTGGCGGCCCTGGCCAGTAAGGTGTTGAAGATCCCCGTCGCCATCTCCATCAGCCGCTCGAAGCGCTCGCCGTAGTTCTTCTTCCTCAGCAGCCCCGGCACCTGCGCAGAGAGTGTGATCAGAGGGAGGAGCGAAGAACGGGCTTAAAAAATGGAGTGGAGGGGGGGGGGGGACCTTCATCTGGTCCAGAGCGAGGTTGGTGCCGAGGAGGAGGTATCTCTTCTCGGGATGATCCTCCGCCCACTTCTCCGCCCAGGTGGTCTTCCCGGCGGCGGGGAGGCCCACCATCATCACCACCTCGCAGTTCCCGGCGGGGAGGAAGGAAGGCCCAGCGATGGCGTTGCCGTCTTCCACGGCGGAGCTCCAGGGCTTGAACCCTTCTTCGAGAACCAGGCCGTCTTCTACGGAGAACTGCATATCCACTGCAACATTCTTCAGGAGGACATGGGGAAAAAGACCAGAACCCCGAAGCTCGCCGGCGTCGAATCTCCAAGCAGTGCCCAGCCACCGCCCGTTCAGCGAGAACCCGACGGCAGCGGAAGAGGAGCTCTCGAGGTCGACGGCGCAGACCACGGTGTCGCCGGCGCCGAACTTCTCCCCGTAGTCTGAGAATCTCCCGGCGGTGGAGAACTTCCCGGTGCCGCCGAATCCGCCGCCGCCCACGGTCTCCCCCAAGCTTCCGACGGGGTCGTCCCGCCGGGAGACGCCGATGCGGCAGAGATGCCGCTGGTCCGCCGGAGTGTCATCCATCTGGACCTCCTGGTCGGAGAGGATCCGGCACCCGAAGCAGTACTTCCCAGCGGTGATCCCGATGGCGGCGCGGGCGCCGGACCAACAGTAGGCGAACCCATCCTCGTGCAGGGCATGGCCTCGGAGGCCATCACCGTCGACGGTAAAATCTGTCACAGGAGACAAGGAAGACGATGGTCATGAAGATTCTCTCGGTAGCTGGCTTCTTCTTCCCCGCAGCGATGCTGGATGAACAGGGGCTTGTCTGTGCTTCCATCGGATGCCCTCGAATTGAACACAGTTTTCATCATCGTCGTCATCATCTTCAGAGACCCGAATCGCCATCCACCAAAATCTGTACAGTTCTCGAGGGCACAACGAAGATCATTTCTGGCCCGGATTTCCTCGGTCACTCGTCACTCCGAGAGCTTCCCAAGGCGCATGGGATATTCATATCTCACGCTGAGAATTTCCAGGCGACGAGTCTCCCTACTTTCTCGGGAATCATCCGGTGAAAGAGGAAACTCGGAGCAGGAATTCAGCAAAACCCTTCTAGTGCTCGCGATCGGAGTTCCGGTAGGGAAGAACAGAGAGAGAGAGAGAGAGAGAGAGAAAGAGAGAGAGAGAGAGAGACGGGCGGGGAGCATACCGAGATCACAGTCGGCGGGGTTGAGCACGACGCCGCGGCGGCCACCGGCGAAATCCGGCGGCTGGAGCGACCTCATCTTCTTCGCCTCGGGCTCCCCCTCTGCTTCTCCGGGCGGCGAGCGGCGCTGTCTCGCCGCCGCTGTCGCCATAGATACGGAACTACAAGAAGAGGACCAGCACACAGGCGGCGCTTCTGCTGTCACTGCCGCCGCCGCCGCTGGTCGTCGCTCCCTAGAACGACGACTAGGGAGATCCCAAGCGGCTCCTCTGGAGATTTCGAAACCCCCCCTCGCCCGGCCCACCGCCTTATGATTGAGATTTATTATTAAATAAATATATAAAAAAGGAATTTCATCCTCCTTTCACCTGCCCAGAAAAGTACTTAAATCGCACAAAAAATCTCATTTTTTCGCACTAATTATGGGGAATATTCAGAAAATTGTGCCCTTCTCCGATCTAAATAATTTCATCCAACAAGAACCAAACCATCATTAGTAAAAAAAAGGAAGATGATAAATTTCCGGCGCATGTGGAACTTCTAAGAACCAGAACCCATAATTAATAAAATTATTTTTGTTATAAAGTTTTTCTGGGTCTGAGCAATTTGCCCGAATAAATAAATTTATCAGATCAAAATCAGAACTTTGGGGCCAAAAACGAAGCCCGTCTGCAGGATTCGGCTGCATTTCAGCTGGTCCGACCATGAGACTTTCTCTCTCCACCTTGATGAGACATCATTAAATATAAATATAAATCTGTAAATATTCATGTGATCACATGAGTACACAGGATGAAACATCCTAAAGAACAGAATGACGGGCAATCTGCATCCAAAAAAAAAAAAGGGTTGACCAATTGGGGGTTGAGGTAACATCCTAAAGAACAGAATACCGGGCAATCTGCACCAAAAAAAAAAAAAAAGGTTGACCAATTGGGGATTGAGGAAACATCCTAAAGAACAGAATGCCGGGCAATCTGCATCAGAAAAAAAAAAAAAAGAGGGTTGACCAATTGGGGGGTGGCGGGGGTTGAGGAAGGTACAGTACAGCGTCTTCATCTTTCGTTTCATGTGAGAGACTCCTCGCTGTTGAGGCCAGCAGGACCGGAGAACTCCCAAATGGATGCGCAGTTTTCATCACCTGCATCATGAAAGGAACCAGAAACCAGAGACCAGAGACTGTTCATGGCCCAGATATTTACGGAAGCAATTCTTCCTTCATAAATGCTTCGCAGAAACTTTACAACAAAAAAAAACCAGAGATTTGCTCCTCCTGCCCCCAGGAGCAGCAGACCCATCTCTGTCTCACACCGAAGCATTGAGACCCAACCCAAGAGCCGTTGCTAGATCAGTGGAAAAGAAAAATGGTTCAATATTTTCAATCAGAAGGGTGATTCTAAGCAATATCGTCTGCGTTGCTACTACCTTTCAACTCGAGAATTTCCTCGGAGCACTCTGGGGAGCTGAATCTTCGGTGCCCTGATGAGGAAGCCGCCAGGGGAAGGGACGGATGGAAAGAGAAGCCATTGACAGTGTCTGGAAGGAAGAGACTCATCAAGAACAGCATGGAATATGATTTGAAGGGGACGGAGAGTTGAAGCAACTTACCACGGGCAGCTTGAAAGCCTGACAACCATTGACCCGTTTGAAGGTCGTAGATGTGAACCAAACCGTCCTATTGGCATAATGAAGGGCACCGTGCTCAAGACATGGCATCAAATAATGCAAGAGAAAGGAAATCCGGTGAAAGAAAGAAAGAAAGAAAGAAAAAAAAGAGCCTCTAACCTGGCCGCCTGTACCAAGGTGTCTGCCGCAAGGTTCTATGTCGAAAGATATTCGCTGATTTGTTGATTCAGCTGATCTATACAACCTGAGTGCAGGGTTGGGTCCAACCAGAAAAAAAAATTAGGCGATGCACACAAGTTCGAGGGAAATTCAAGTAAGTTGGCTTATGAAACAGTGATGCATTGGTTAGTCAATAAGAATAGGAGAAAGATATGGAACGAGGAGGTGGTCTCAGATGGGGAAGAAAAGATGGGAGAATTATATGGGAACAGACTTGAAAGGACTTTCATTGGGTGTAGGGTAAAACTCAACAACTAATGAGCACATCTTTTTTCAAATAAATCGTGCCATTAAATGCTTGTACACTGAATGTATACAAGAATAAGTGTCATTCCACAATCCACTTGGCAAATAAATTCATTAACTTTACTCCAGGTTTATGCTCAAGCGTTTATCGCAATACCCCAATACATGCTGTAGATTTGACATTTAATCTTACAACTTGGGAAATGGACAAGGAATGCTCCTGGTTTCTTTGATTGATTTCAGAATGACAAGTAGGAAGCTTTCTCCAGTGAAATACATCCAGCTGATGTTGATCCTACCTTTTTCTCATGATGCTGGAAAAATTTTCATTCAATTTTTTCCATTTCAAGCGTTTCATCCAACATGCCACGCCATATGAGAACTTAATTGGGTAAAGTGACAAAACTTGCATGAATCGATCAAATATTCAAGATAGAAGATGAAAACGATCAATAAGAATATTAGATAAGAAAAATAGCGTAATTGGGAGAGTAAAACCTGATGTAACTCACTTATACACAACACCAGCAGTATTTCGAATATCCCAGCATAAAATATAAGGATCCTACATGAAATATAACGTTCTTAGAATAGGTATTTGATGAAAATGTGCAAACATGAAAGGGCTACCATGGTAATAATTGAAATGACCGTGCATCCTGGGAGTTTTTCAGAAAATCAAAATCATTTCTTAGGAAACAAAGGAATCAAATAAAAGAACAGCGGTTTGATAGAATTCATGTCGGTGTAGATGAAAACGCTAGACCATAAAATAGTAGTAACAAGCCCGTTGATTTCATAAAACTAGTTTAGTTGCTCTGGAAGTCCCCTTTAGTTTATGATTTCTTTATTCTGTCTATTTTTTCAAACGGTGTGCCTGAAGAAAACAGTATTCATTGAAAGAGAACTCTCATTGGATCAGCAAGGCCCCTCACTTTTTATGCTCCGACTCACAATATCTGATCAGATTCAGCGATGCAGTTTCTAAGTAGCATGAGTTGATGTTCAAAGCATACTTTGTTGTACACCCTGATTTTCTACAAATTCGAATGTACATACTGTGTTAGAAACACAATACCCCTTAACAAAATTTAAACAAAATTCAGGCCGTATTGGTCAATCTGAACCCGATCCAACTCAGGCTGCCCCCAGTCCATTAGGGGATCATATCCAATTGGGGGTTCACACTCTCAATTCCGGTTTATCTTCCCCACTTCCATGTTTTTCTTCACATTGTTCTCATTTATTTATTTTTGCATCAACGATTACCTCCTGTTACCATTTACTTTTTGCTGTTTCTAATCCTCTCCTCTTTCCATCTCTGCCCTTTTTTCCCTCTACTAAAAATGCCACTCACCCTTTCTACTTAGATTCACTGCAATTACCTCCTCTCCTACTATGCTCTTTTGTTCTTTCCGTATTTCACAACACCAAGAGGGCATCTTTCACTTGCGGCTAAAGATTGGGTTTCAGGGCTTCCAACTCGGTCAGGGGTCGGGTAAGCCAACTCATTTGATTTGGGGGAAAAAAAAAATGTTAAGAAGGACCTGTTTACCATTCTGAAGGGTGCAATATGAGCAAAAAATGGACCATACAAATGGGACAACTAACATATATTCACATAATTAATAAAAAATCATATTTAGACGATGCTATAATAAAATAACAAGGCACAATTTATGCCTTGTAAAACCAATGTTCTTTAGTTTTTGCCCTGGATCACATATCATGTCAAAGTCAAACACGAAATGCAAAATCTCCTTCTGTGAAGCGAGGAGATGATATGAAAACAACCAGCTTTCACCTCTCACTTCCTTTCAGAGGTTTCTGTTCCATCTCATTTGAAAGATCAAGATGAGTGTTCAATCTTTCATTTACCTTTCGGCCACCAGTGTATAAATAATTCCCGTCTTTGGAGAACAGAACCTGCAATTAAATTAAATTGATCAAACAAATAATTCCAAGTCAGATGATGTCAACTATGCTAAAATAACAGCAGGGGGTTTCTATTGCCAAACAAACCTGAGTAACCCCCCCTTCTTGACCATGCAGAACAAACAAAAGTTCCATATTATCTTCAGCATACACTGCAGTTGTCTGACTATAAGAACCCAATGCTAGCAGGCCATTGTGTGCAGGAGAGAAGGCGATTGAGGATACAATGCCTGAAATAATAAAAAGACGACTTCATTATGCCAAGTAAATAAATTCATTAGGATTGCTGAATGGTAGTTTTTAAATAGAACGGCATACAATAAATCATGAAGTTTGGACAAAGATTCCTCCATTATTATGTACTGAAAAGCTTGGTTATCATTTCAAGCAAAAGTATCAAAGAAAGGAGCATACAAAGAGTATGAGTTCATATGCTAGAAGGTTCTAAGGAATTCTCATTTTTTTAAGGCTTTCAACAACAATCTTATCTAGGGTTTGGGTTCATAATAATATGTCAGGGATCAACAATCTTAGATGTAAATGGAGCGATGCAGGGCATATGCAATAGCTTCCAATCCTTTAATTCCATTAACCCTTTTTTTTTTCTTTTTTTCTGATCAGAGTTTCATCAATTGGGCAAGTCAAAGAAAAGAATCAAGTACCAGAAAGCCCCTCATTGCCTTTCAAGGTTGAATGCTGCTCAAAATCTCGACCAGGACAGTGAATGTCAAATACTCTGATACACTTATTGTAACCAGCAAATAACCTGCAACAAAAAAAGAAGAAGGTGAAAACCCCATCAGGACATCAGGACGCCATCTAGTGAGTGACCTGCAGGGAGTAGTGGTCTTGCTGCTGCTAGGTGCGACTGGGCGAGTTGACCACAATACACTAGAGTATCTGTGAGTCAAGATTTTCCCTAGTTATCTGAAGGCACAATTGGAGTTACTGCAGATTGATTCCCAACCATTGAAGCATAAAGATCAAACTCCTGATCCCGCACATGCCCTAAACAGATATGAGCCATTCTGGCACTATGATTCTCCTACTTGATGTGTAGGCTTACGATGCTAAGCTCATCATTAGATGCCCCAATTAACCCACTTTTTGATAGTCGGAAATCGATGCTCAATGATACAGGATGTGAAGCTTGCATGTCCCCAGACGATGCCCATCTGTATCATCCTCTTTTTTTGGATAAGTAGTGTGTTATCTCAACATGGGTAAGCGATTTTGGGTTTTTTTTTCTTCTTGTGGTTCCAGTTTTAATCACTCAATATGTGAGAAAAGAAAAAAATAAGCACCGTGATGTCTCTAGATAGGAGGGGGGAATACTAAGTTTATATAATGTTAGAATAGCGCATGCAACTTCAACAGCCAGAATTATAAGGTTTCGTGTGATGAAAAATATAGGCTTCCAACTTAGAACCCTAGAATTTTTTTGGGCTTTGCACGATGAAAAATTCGGGCTCCGCCTTCAGAACCAAGAATCATTTAGGGTTTGCGTAATGAAAAAAGTGGGTTAAAATGCCACAACCAGAACTTAAATGGGTTTAGTGAGATGAAAAATATGGATTCAATCCCCACCATCAGAACCCAAAAAATTTAGGGGTTTTGCATGATGAGGTATGAACATTTCCAGTTCATGCGTGCTTATAATGCAAAAAAAACATCGACCAAAAATGAAATCGAATCGATCTCAGATCTCACATACTTAGTCCCAGAGGTGTTGAAGGAGACCGATAAGGCAGCTGTGATCTCGTCCATGGCATCATATGCTCTGTAGGTGCCTCTTAGCTGCAGACAATAACAAACAGAAATGCAGAATCATACGTTTGCTAGATCAGAGATCAATCTCACTGAAAGCCCTGCAGACAAGGGCAAGGCCTCACCTGCCCTGAGAAGGCATCCCACAGATGGATAGGATGGTCCCTGGTGGTACTCGCGAACACGCAGGTCGTCGGGTCTGCAACCCAAATCCAGCATTCATCAGGACGGCTCCTTGAAGACATCGAGTTCATCACAGCATGGAGAAGCTGAGAGGTGGAAGATGAACTACCCACCTTGAACAGACATGAATGGATACCAGCAGTAGTCGTAGACTGACTCCGCCTCGCACACGATCATATTCGAATCGAAGGCATCTGCGGGGGGAGGGGAATGGCGCAAGAGAAGCACCAGAATCCCTAAAAGTTCATGGGAATCGATACAGGAAGAGGGTTCTGCAATCCTCATCTACGGCGACTCGTACCTTCACCGATGACCTCTGCTTCCTGGAGCGCCCCGCCGCCGCCGCTGATGTCGTCCGGCCTGAGCAAGGGGAGGAACCAGAGTTGTGTGAGGGAATCGAAGGGTGATGAATCGAACCCGCATGAGGGGGAGACGCTCACAGGTAGAAGAGTCGGAGGGAGTCGTCGTCGGAACTTGTGAGGAATGAGGACCCATCGGGAGACCACTTCACCCCTTTGAGGAAGTTGTTTCCACCGGCGACAGCGGCGGCGCCGCTCCTGGTTCGGTTACGGTACTGTTTGGAGAAATGATAAACCCTCCTCGGAGGAAGGTCGAACCTGAAGTGCGGCCACGGCGACTGGTAGTAATGGTCTCCCTCGGCGGCGGCGGCCATGTCTCTGCCATCGCCGGTGATCTCCCCGTCCTCCCCTAAATCCGAAGCGGGCGTGCCGCGCCGCAACTCCTCCTCTTCCACCTCCACTTCAATCTCCGAGGCCGCCTCTACAGAGGCTTCCTCCATGAGAGGGTGGCGGCCGACCAGCGAGAGTAGCGAAAGGCGAGACTTTAGGAGACGGCGGATGCCCCGGAAAGTTTCGTACTTGCCGGAGGAGGGATGAAGGGAGGGAGAAGAGCCTCTCCCGACGATGGCGGCGCTTCGGAGATGGGTCCCACGAATCGAACGGTCACCATCGTCTGGAGAGATTTCTCGCCAGAGACTTCCTCTCTCTCTCTCTCTCTCTCTCTCTCTCTCTCTCTCTCTCTCTCTCTCTCTCTCTCTCTCTCTCTCTCTCTCTCTGTGCTGCCGCCACCACCACCCAAGGAAGAGAGAGAGAGAATCTCTATCTCCTGCTGGGCTCCAAGGTTGCGGCGGCAAAGGGGACACAGAACGCCGGCGGCTGGTCGGCGACAGATTGGGTGGGCCCATCCATCGTCCTTCCTTCCCTTACCTGGCCACCATTCGAAGAAAACAGAGAGAAAGGCAGCCGGCCTCCGACGGAGCAGAGATATTGCAGACTCAGCATCTACGCAGACCCCATGAAGTCGTCTCCTTTCCATGTGCCCTCCCTCCCCTCCTCCATTCCCCACGTCCCCACCATGGCCGGAAGTGGAAGCGAGGAACCAGAGACCGCGATATAAAGCCGTCTTCTCCTCCTCTTCCTCTCCTCTACAATGGAGAGCGCTTGCAGGGAGATCCGCCACTCGCTGGGCGACCTCCGCCGCCTCTCCGCCGCCGTGGCCTTCCTCTCCGCCGGCGAAAGGAGACAGATCAGGGAGCTGTACGCCGCCACGTACAAGGAGGACCTCGTCGAGCGTCTCCACAGAGACCACTCCTCCGACCCAGAGAACGAGGTAAGTCATCGGAGACCTTCCTCCTCCGCCGTCGCCGCCTCTCACGCCGGCCAATCCTCCTGCAGCTGCTGCTCACGGCGCTGTGCCTGTGGATGATGGACCCGATCGAGCGGGACGCCGTAGTAGCGAGGAAGGCCATCAACGGTGAGGACGCGCAGTTCAGAGCCCTCGTGGAGATCTACACCTCCCGCAAGTCCAGCCAGCTCTTCTACATCAACCGCGCCTACCAAGCAAGGTTCAAGAGAAGCCTCGACCAGGACATCCTCTCCCGCCTTCCCCAACCCTACCAGAAGGCAAGCTCTACTTCTCTCCACACATAGATAGATAGTATTGTGAGGATACGTCCTCTGCGACTAGTGCGGTTGCTGACGAGAGGGCGGCGCCGCCGCCACAGATTCTGGCGGCGCTAGCGGCGTCCCACCGGTCGCACCGCGCGGAGCCGAGCCAGGAGATCGCCAGGAGCGACGCTAAGAGGCTGTTTGAAGCGGGGAAGGGCGGAGCGGAGCCCGTTGACGAGGTCCTCCAGCTCGAGCTGCTCAGCAAGAGGAGCCTCCCTCAGCTCCGCCTGACTTTCTCCGTCTACAAGCAGATCTACGGTCTCGGCTACAACCAGGTGAGGAATCCCACCTTCAACCCCGCCGCCGTCTCAGCCCTCTGACCTGCGCCGCCGCCGCAGTCCCTGAAGAAGAGCCCACCAGGGGAGTTCCAGGAATCGCTGAGAACCGTCCTCAAATGTCTCTGCGATCCTCACCTATACTTCGCCACGGTCAGCACAGCCTCGGCCAATCTTCTTCCCTCTGGTTTCATGGCGGCGCCGCCACTCACTCTCTGCGCTTCCAGGTGCTGCACGCGTGCATGAAGGGGACGATCCCCGACATGAGCGCTCTCCCGCGGGTGATGGCGAGCAGGGCGGAGGTGGACATGGCGGCGGTCGAGGGCGCCTTCGAGGGGAAGTACGGCCTCAAGCTCCCCGCGGCAATACAGGTCAACGTCCGCCATGAAGGTCTGAGGAGCTTCCTCCTGGCCCTGACGACGAGGACGACGACAACTTCTTAACGGAGGAAGAAGGGCGGCGGCGACTGAAAAACTCGAGCCTTGTCGTCCAGCTTCACAGAGAGAGAGATATATATATATATATATATATATATATATCTAATTGAGACTAATTCGGGCAAGATATATATTTTTTAAATCGTATCCCTTCAGCTCGTCGTGAGAAAATATGCGCTTAAATTAAGTTTTAATTAAAATATGCCGGGTTCGAAGAAATGTGGCAGGTGATGGATACCTTTTTCGTGTAAAAAGAAATCACTTTTTTCCTTCTTCGAAGAGGTATTTTCTGACCATGATTAATTTTAATTAAAAAAAAGGGCGGGTTCGTGGGAAGTATAAGAGAAAATACGAGGGTGGAGGCTGATTTTATTAATTACAAAATGCCCTTCTTTTATTATATAAAAAAATCACCTTTTTCCTCTTCCAAGAGAAGTGGCCCTCCACATAGACTCGACACGTTTGTAACACGTGCGCTGATGTTTACGCGCATGGCGCATGCAGATTAGGCGCCGGAGATGACAGCCGCTGGCGGATCGGGTCCCCTTTGGCGAGTCTTCCGATTCATCATAACGCGGTGGCGGTAACTTGACTTCCGCGTGAAAACATTGCGCTCACCGCGAAAGCGGGTTCAACGTAAGCTCTGACTGGATAAGTCTCCTCTGTTTGCGAGTGGGACCCACTTTCCTACGGGATACACTCACCACCTGTCGTTGACCTACGAGATCGCGGGGGGAGAGAAAAGACGTAATTATCCACATGTGATAGGATTAATGGCCAAAAACTATCTCACTATATCCGTGATATTCGATTATCCGCGGGGTAAATGCGACGCCATGAGACTAACTGCATTCAGACAAGAACTGGGGGAGGTTGATCCAACGGAGTAGGTTCGCTCACCATCGGTGCCCACACCCCCCCAGCGGGCACAACGTCGCGTCGCGTGCAGCCTAAACTTATTCGTCCGGTTTCTCGACGGCCCTCTTTCTCTCTCTTTCTCTCTCCTCTCTTGCTATCTGCTCTCTCTCTCTCTTGCTATCTTCTCTCTAGACAGTAATGATTACAAGTAACGGCATCTTCCCGCAGTCGTCCCCGTTCTCCCTGGCTGCGCCCCCGCGACCTCCCTTCTTCATCGTCCTCGGAGGAACCGAGGAGATCCGCTAGGGCTTTTGCCCTCGTCCTTGCCCCGGTCTCCTGCGATGTCGTCGCCGCCTTCGCAGTCCGCCGCCACGACGGCGGGGGGGGCGGCGGGGGCGGCGCCGGCCCCGGCCTCGCCGTCCCACGGCAAGATCTGCTTCAACGCTCACTGCAAGGAGCAGATAGCGGAGGGGAGTTCGCCGCGTCGGAGGGGATGGCGTCTCCGCTCGGGGGAGCTCGCCGAACTCTGCGCTCGATGCGCGTGAGTTTGTCCCACCTTCGTTCCCCCCCTATCACTCTCTTTCATCGTCGACACGTGGTTTTTTTTCCGCTTCTTTTGGGTGGTTAGTATTTACGTATTCTTATCCGAGCTCGGGCGTTTGCCCACCGTAATTGACTCAGACATGCGCTAGTCGAGTTCAATTTGTGGTTTACTGCTATTTGTCCTCAGGAACAGATAATTGACGCGTACTGCTCTTTTGCTTCTTGTTTTGATCTCGATCTTATTCTGTTACCCCAAAAACTCCAAATTCCGTACTTTGACGATGTAATTTGAAAATTTGAACGTCCAGATTCTGTCGTTCATGTGCCGTATGTGTCGCTCAACGTGAGTTTCGGACAATGAGTGAGAAAGAGTGGTTAAGTATGGATGGACTTGCATTTCTCATTGTGTTGAACTTCTGAAGTTAGACGCGAAAAAGTCAGAAATGATGACGGGTTATATTGCGTTCCATTGGTCATTCGTTAGAATCATATCTGCTTCTAGAATAAGTCAATTTATGGTTTTATTGAGTACCCATTTCCTTACTTTATTGTTCTAGTTCTACATACGAGCAAGGGGGCTTCTGCGACACATTTCATTCAGATGGTGATGGTTGGAGAAAGTGTGAGTCATGTGGAAAGGTGAGACTAGTTTCCCAGGTTAAGTTCATGTATGCACACTATTTTTTTGTTTCTCAATGGTCATCATTTTGATCTTAGTTATAATGTCCAGAGGGTCCACTGTGGGTGTATTGTGTCTGTTGATACATTTATGCTACTTGATGCGGGAGGAGTTGAATGCATTGCATGTGCTCGAAAAAACTTCATCACGGTAAGAATAAGGTGGCATCTTTCATTTGAACATATCTCTTTTTATTAGATACTACCAACTAGTTTAAGTTTTTTTTCTTGAAGAAAATTTCCAGTAATAGATATATGTTTGGTATTCACATAGGATGCTACATGCTTATCATCTAGATCATATCCTCTGAAAATTGCAAGCCTACATTGAAATTCCCATTCACACTGTTTAAGGAAACATTATGTTCAAATCTTCTGTTGAATGTTTTATTTTGAGAGTCAGTTGATCTGTCTAGCTAGAACCAGATTTAGACGAGTATGTTGATCCCGAATTTACTATTTTGATTAAAATGCCAATTATTCCAAGATTTCACTTAGTATAGATCCCATGTTGACCCCATGCACATTGTTTCCCATGATCTGTCTAGGTTCCATGAGGGTTTGTGGAATAACTCGGCGCCTGTTCTGTTCTACTGTCAATGCTCTTAGATTCATGGAACCAACTAGCAAGCTCTACTTGTGCCTGCTTCTGAGAAACAGGTCTCGATTTTGATATCATCCTTGCACATGCCTCTGAATCCCCTAGTTCCGCTACTAAAATTAAGCTAATGTGAGAGACTAAAGAAATAATGGCATGCATGTTATGTTTGGGACTACAGTGAAAGCAGTTTCTAATAATAGGAACACATTGACTTTCCTGACATGGTCCCGAAAGTATAGAATGAACCTTGACTTTCCTGCTATCTATTTTCCAAGATGAAGAGAAACATGCGCTAATAGTTCAGTTTCATGTTTGTTGGGTTCCGTTTCCCTTGGGAGTTGCTGTTATGTTTCTGTTCCCACTCTTTTTATCAAAAATCGTCATTGATTTGTTTGGTTTGAAAATTCTCTCTTTTTTAATGTCAGAGCTTACTATGTTGCTGGTTTCCTTGTTGTTTTCATGGTGATCTCATGTGTTGGGTGAACTGCTCCTTAGGCACCAAATCTTGCATCACAATCATCCTTAATTTTCACTTTGGGTCATGAGAGGCTGAAGGACTCATCTTCTAAAAACTGGAGCCAACTCAATGCATCGGGTCCAGTTCCAGGACAATGGCGTCAAGCATCCAATATGTGGAAAACATTTACACAGTCAGACCTACAGCAGCGGTTATCATATGAATTTGATCGGCCTAATGGTGCTGACAGGCTGATATCAGGTCCACGTCTTCCAATCCCTTCTCACAGTAAGAAAAAAGTTGAAGACCTGCCAGATAAGTTATCATCCCACATAAACCGTGTTCAACTGAATGGTCATATCAATGTGAACAATTCTTTTGGATCCCCACCTGTATTCAGTGATTTGCATAGAGAAGAAAGATGTGTGGTTGGTTTGCATGATCCAAGCCACCTTGTAGAAGAAACTGATACTGTGGCCAGAAGGGAAGTTGGTATATCAAATACTTTCAGTGCACCTGCTGGAATTAGTTTTGGGCCTCTCTCAAACTCAAATGTAAATACGTCAATTCCAACCATTGTGAAAGATGAAACATCAGTCCATCTAGTTGGTTTGGTCTCTTCTCCACCGAGTGATTCTAATAATGCGGGGAGAATTTCTTCAGCTCACTCTCTCCGGCAGACACATGCCTCACACCTAGTAAAACAAAGCTTTCATAATGCCCACAGTGGAGTGGACTCAAGTGGGGAGGCACAAACTCAAGTGAGAAACGTAAGATCTAGGGTAGAAGGTCGGTGCCGTAATCAATTACTTCCTCGGTACTGGCCTAGGATAACTGATCAAGAGCTGCAACAGATTTCTGGAGAGTATCCTTTGCATAATGCAGTGTTCCACTGATGAGAGTATAGTGTGAAGTTGACTATAACTCTTTTTTCGAGTTCGCATAGGAAGAAAGGTTTTTGATAGTTCTGAAAATTTCATCTTTCTTCATTTTCTGCTTTTTGACATCCAATTGAACTACCTTAACCTGTCTAAGTTCAAATTCTGTTGTTACTCCTTTGTTTGAGAAAATGCTTAGTGCAAGTGATGCTGGTCGAATTGGGCGTTTGGTGCTTCCAAAGAAATGCGCAGAGGTGAGTTCTTGGATTAGCTTTACTTTAATCGTTTGCAGGGCCTATCAGAAGAAATTGGTGGGATTTTTTCTTAAAGTATCTGTGTCAGTATTCAGAAACAACTTGTCTTGCTTGTTACGTTTATAAATTTTTCCTTTCTGGTAGTGTCCAATCCTATTCCTTTGAAGATGGCAAAAGTATGGCAGCCTCTATTTGGGACAATATTGGATGTAACACTAACAGAAGATTCGTCTTGGGAATGTAGAAAAAGTGGATGTCATCCACTGTTTGACTACATGAGGTGTAAATTGTCTGAGACTGCCTTCAAAAGCTAGTTGCTTCTCTTTTCTTTTGTGGTTATTATTATTTGCCCTTTTCTACTCTCCCAACCAAATTTCGGTTTATGCTTTTCTTTATGTCCTCTTATGGATACGGATTGCATTATTGGCTTCTTTATCTTTTTTTCCTCCTCTCTCTCTCTCTCTCTCTCTCCCCCTTTGAATCTGAAACTCTTGTTATATTCTCGTAGAATTGTGTATTTGATCAGGTCTCTGGATTTGCTGGTTTGTTCCGATCTAGATGAGGATCAGATCAATCACACTGGCTGCCCTTGTGGGGTGGGACGCAGGGAGGGACAGATCAACATAGGAAAATAAAGGGTATTTAAGGTAATATGCATAATAAATTTAACAAGAAAGCTATATTAATGATAAAATCTTCAAAACAGTTTTTTGATAACATATGCAACCATAATCTCTTACCATCTTGGTCTTTATGCTCGATCCCACCCCATTGCAACTGTGACAGGCGACATTCGTCAGTTGTGTTGCACACTGTTCGATGTTAGAGGTGAATGGGTTCACCTCTTCCCCTGCTAGAGTGATAATGGGTCCAACCTTTTTTTTTCTTGATTTCAATTACAGGCAAAAATTGGATGTTGGGAGTGATTCTTACCTCATGCTCCTCTGGGAATGCTCGAAAGTCCCAATCTTGCTAAGATTGGATAATTTCTAGCCATTTCTATTTTTATATATTTTTTCTAATTTAAAGGAGAAATTGGTGTTGCCCTATTAAACTTGGCTTAGCTGTTTTGGATTCTGATCTCTATTAGCTTGTACTGATCCCAGTTAGCCACTTTTTTTTAATGAGGACATCATACCTAGAAATGAAGTACATGCCATCTCCAATAGTAAATTATTTTCTGTGTTCTGATCCTTTTTATTGATAACCAGCTCTTTTTGCATAAATTCATCATATGATAGTTGAGTGCCTCTGATATTTATTTGTGAGAACGTGATTCTGGTTCTTGGTGTGGAAGACAATTAATGATACTTCAGTCGTTTGTCGTATTTACATCTAAAGTTTAATTTTTCGTCCAGTCATGATGAGAAGAATTATGAACTTCAGTTAATCGTCTTTGGACCTGTAAATTCTACTTTATTTTAGTCCGTATTCTCTAGTTAGGGAATCTTTTTGATTTTTAGCATTTGGTTTGTCTCAAGGGTTTCTACTAATTATGGACATGGTTCTTGCGAGCAGGCATACTTCCCTGCAATTTCTCAGCCTGAAGGGCTTCCTTTAAAAGTTCAAGATGCCAACGGCCAGGAGTGGGTTTTTCAGTTTCGTTTTTGGCCGAATAACAACAGCAGAATGTATGTATTGGAAGGAGTTACACCATGCATACAGTCAATGAAGTTACAAGCAGGTGACACAGGTAATATATCTGGAAAGTTGAGTGGTAGCTTATGCGTTTTATTGTCTATATTAGGACATTCCTTGTAATGGAATTTCTGTGAGGACATTTGATTTCACATGGAACCATTTTTTCTCAATGTTTTTGGCAATATCTTTTATGCTTGTTCCCGAAATGTTTATTTAGATATACCTCGATTTCTGATCATTTACAGTTGTTCTTACTTGACAACTGAGACATCATAGCAATGAATCTGACTGACTAGGAACATTGATTGCTGTTGCCACTCATTACTGTGTGCCTCTTTATCTGTAGCCCTCAACGTTTTTGCTTATATAGTCGAGGAATCTAGGCCACACTCTTCCGGTTTGTTTCTGTGGGCATTTACAAGAAGTATCAAATCTCGGTATCTGGGGCAGGCTGGCGTGAAAATGATCCTTCACTGATCTCAGAATGAACCTGGCTGATCAGAGCCTTGAGTACCAAGGGTTGACTCTAATAAAAAGCCTAGCCTACTTGTTCAATTTCTTATTTTGATGCACTAGCTGAATAAAAAAATATTTGTTATGTTGACGCACTAAGCATCAGAGTCCAGATCTTGCCACACTAAAGCCGTCCACAATTATCACTGAAATTATGGCATCCTTGTAAAAAATTGTTACTTCTATCGCATTCTTTGCAGAGGGGGTGGGGGGGGGGGGGGTTTGTATCTCTGCTTATTAGGGACAAGGGAAAACTTAAGGAGTTGAAGTTAATAGATTGCAATTGGGCCATCCCATTTTCGGATGAAGTGGACCTTCCAAAAGAACCCTCAGTTTTGCCCCTCGAAGCCAAAGCCATCCTCGTTGTTGGAGAAAGAACAAGAGAAGAAGATTAAGCAGTTGCAGTAACGTTAGTAGACTGCAAGCCACCACAGACTGCCCCTGTTGCTTCTCGCCAGTCCTTTGCCTTATTCCATTGTGGGTTCGCTCCTCAATTTCCTTCCATTGCTCTGATTAGAAATATTTTTCCATACTCTAAAAATAAAATAAAAAATTTCTTATCCGAAACTGACTGTTTTATTTTGGATCCACTGGTTTGGCTGATCTGTTCTGGATTTGGATAGGATCAAACCCATGCAATTCCGTGTCCTGTATCCTATTCTCCTACACTGGCTCTTCTTTCTTGGCGAATATAATCCTAATTAGTATTGAACTGGTTGAAGTTCCTCAGGGGATCCAAACTGATATATTTACAATGAATTTTGGTTGTTTTTCAAAACTGAAAAGAGGGAGAGAAAGAATTCTAACCTGTTTGATGATACAACTAATGAAGATGGTTTAAAATGCTGAGCTACATTAGTTGGCCTTCGTGACGGTGTAATCAATTCAGAAAATGTCGGGCAACACTTTCAAACCAGATTGCCTGTTGAAGAAAGACGGTTCTTGGGCTTATTTTTTTTATCAAACTCTTCTAAAATATGAGAAAATTTGAAGAGAGAGCTTTGTTAAGAGGACAAAGGTCCAAGGGAAGAATTTTGGACGTGTAAGAATTTAACTTGATTGATCTTTTTGTTCCTTGATGAAGATGCATACATTTCTTTGGTAATCCTGATCGGTAGATCTTTGGTGATTGGCTGGTGCTCTACATTGTGTGTGCTTCTTTGTTGGATCCCGAGTTTTGTGATAAATTTTCATATCAGGCAACTTTCTGAATGTTTTGTACGGAGCACATATGATAAAATGCTCTTTAAGATCCAGTACCAGGGTTAGAAAAAACCATGCTCAGATCAATTGATTTAAAGAACCACAAAGGCGCATTATGTAAACCTATATACCATAATAGCGTTATATATATTTTTTATTGGTAGATTAATCAGTTCACGTGGAGGTTTATAACTGACCTGAAAGGGCGGTCCATAATAGTTCATATCAGGAAAACAATCGAAATAGTGTTTTTGTGTTTTTAGCACATTAATTTTACAATGTCCAACGCTGCTTCCTATGCCCTTCCCCATCTCTGGTTGCCTAATTTCATTGTCGTATAGAAATTACTTTTTTTGGTTATGAGTATCGCGATTAAGTCACCCGAATTAAAAGGAATAATGTTCTTCCCTTTTGCAGTAACATTTAGTCGAATGGACCCAGAAGGAAAGTTAGTTATGGGATTCAGAAAAGCTTCAAACGTTTCAAATGAGCAGGTTGGTGGCCAAGATACCAAGCTTTTACAAAGAATACATGCCGCCGGGCTTTGTACTTGACTCTTTATCCATGTGGCATATCCATGAATTGTGTATTTACCGTGCCTGCACCTACTGAAGTTGATGTTTGAAAAACTGATTTCATTGTGTTAACTAATGAGTATGGTTTATCTTTTACACCCTTTGTGAACTTTTTTATTGTTGTTCAGATAACATTCTATTTGAGTTCATGCGATATTCCGCTTTCTTGATGTACTCAAGACTTTTAAACTTTATTTTTCTATCTTCATTTTTACTGGGAAAAATGAAGTGTCAGAAATCAATGGGGGTCTATGAGAATTCTTAGTCCATCTTCTGGACAATGGTAGTTGAACTTCGCCAATGGTGAGTGGAGAATGATGCACTTTTCTACGGTTTATTTCCATTATCTGAAAAAAATGGAAATAGTAACTGAAAAAGATTCTTTTTTTTCTGAATTTCAGTCACTATTTGTTTCTTGAACTTTGACTTCTAGTTTTTCTAGGGCTAGAAAAAATGGAAAGATGTTATTATTTTCCAATATCTTTAAAAATGTTGTAACTTTGAAGCATTGTTGTGTGAGAAATTTGCCTAATACTTTTTTTCCTGGATCGGCAGGACATTCAAGCAATCAAAGGGGGGAATGGTTATCCTACGACCAAAGAAGTGACCCACAGGAATGGTAGATCTGGTGAAGGGATTTCAGCCCTGCACTCGCGCACACTCAAGGGCAACTCGGGATCAAAAAATGCATGTTCAAAAGTCGATAAATCAGCATTTATTCAAAACGAAAGGACCCCTTCAAAGTCTTATGTGCTCCCTCCAAAGAGGAAAGGCACTGCACCTGGTTCAAAGAACAAACGTCTACGAATAGAAAATGAGGATTCTATTGAGCTCAAGCTGACTTGGGAGGAAGCCCAAGAGCTGCTACACCCTCCCCCTAACCATAAGCCATCGATTGTTGTAATTGAAGGCCATGAATTTGAAGAGTATGAGGTATGAAAATCAGTAAGATGTGATAATATATTTCTTTCAGTGCAGCTGTACTATGCTTATAAATTCTGGAATAAGGACAGAAATAAACAGTTCCTAAATCCCTGATCATTTTGCGAGACATCAAGATCAATAATAGAAGGTTGCAAATTTCTTGATCGGACTTTTTTCTTAAATTAATGTTTGTATCAGATTGCTGATTAAAAAACAATGAATGGCCAACTTCTGACATCTATTACGATATGTCACACTCGTAAAGATTTCCCAGATCCTCGGATGACAAGCCTAAATATTAACATTCATTGAAAATTGTACGTGAAGAATCTGCTTGGAAATTTTCAAATTCTTGCTACCGGAATTAATGCTAAATGCTCCTTCTACATCATTATCCACTACTCCTCTTTGACAGGAAGCTCCAGTTCTCGGGAAGCCCGCTGCATTCGCCACCAATGAAGCCGGGTAATTTATTATCTCTATCAACTTACTTATTTTTGGAATACTTTGACTAAAAACTTCCTAAAATGTGTAATATTTTTCTGCTACGTTGCACTCCTTTCTCTAGGTCCTTACTTTTTCTGTCTCACAAGACTAGTAGGGGAAGCCATTGGTTTTCATCTGTGCCGATTTATTTTTTTTAATGTCTTTAGCACGCTGTAAGCCTGATTGGACGGACCAACTTCTCGGCTCCAACCTGTACAAACGCATAGACAAAAGCCTTGGCCCACAATGCTCAGCCGATCCTAGTGAGTACTGAGGGATTAGAGTATTCAAAAGCACCCACCCGATTGGCAAGAGTTGGATCTTGCCTGACTGAGTCCGCAGACCATGATATGGGGTTTGGCTCAAGTCAACTGTTTTGTGGGCCCCACGATATCCTCTTACTTGGCCGCCACCATACAGTGAGCAGCGCAGGCTGTGAAAGGATTATCGAGGCAGAAGCCCTAAGCAGCAGTCGTATGATAATTGAGATAATATTATCCTATTCTCTTCTCTTTTTTTTTTTTTGCATGCGATAGAGAGGAATGGCCTTCAACAAATTATGTTGCTTACCAGATTACGGTGGAATTTATGCAGTAGATTTCCCTTCTCTGGATGAAATGATTTATGTAGTTAAATGTTTCATGCAATGGATTTCTCGTGGGGATCTTATCAAAGATTAATGCTGTTATGGTCTCCAGGTATTCTTCTCCCTCTGCTCAGGAAATAACGTCGCCGCAGCCACCAGACTTGCTCCCTTCTAACAACGGTACGAGCCAGCATGCTTTTTGCTTCTTCTGCAGTTTCCTTCTTGAGCTCTGGTAGGCAGGCATTGTAGTAGCGCATCGAAGATCACAATCTCTGGAGCTCATTAAAAAGTAAAAGGGAAAGAAAAAAACGATTGCATGAATCCCAAGCATGATTTTTTCTATAAAAGCTCTGCAATTTATGCCTCAGATGGTTTATTTATGTTTGCTGGACTCGATGGCGCATGGCATACTTAATTACGATCTGAAAAGCATTCGAATGATAGGCGTCTGAGTGAATCTTTTAGAGAGAGAGAGAGAGAGAGAGAAATGTGTGTGCATTTGTGTGGCTGCATGTGTGTTCGTTCTGATTGATCCTGCTGGTTGTTCTTGATGGGCAGCTGCTTCTTCGTCGAGGAAGAACAGCAAGGGGAAGGGCGAGAGCGACGGCGGCGGCGGGGCCGCGGCGGAGGGGTCGTCGGAGGGGCTGGACACGCTGGCGAACCTGGCCATCCTCGGGGAGGGAGGGGAGTCGCTGCCATCGTCGTCCTCCTCGCAGCAGCCCACCACGCGCCACCCGCGCCACCGCCCCGGCTGCACCTGCATCGTCTGCATCCAGCCCCCCAGCGGCAAGGGCCCCAAGCACAAGCCCTCCTGCCAGTGCAACGTCTGCCTCACCGTCAAGCGCCGCTTCCGCACCCTCATGCTCCGCAAGGAGAAGCGCCAGCAGTCCGAGAAGGACGGCGCCGACAACAAGCCCGACCCCCCCACCGCCGCCGCCGCCCAGAAGGCCCCGGAGCCCCAGGCGGCGCCCCCGCCTCCGCCGCCGCCACCGCCACCGCCGGAGAGCGTGCAGGCTCACCCACAGAAGGAGGAGGAGGAGGAGGATCAAGCCGGCCGGAGGAAAGCTGCTGTGCCGTCCCCGATCAAGACCCAGATCGACCTCAACATCCAGCCCGATCGCGAAGAGGAGCCCTCCCCCGTCTCCGACGCCGGCAACCTTATGCGCCTCCTCCAAGACGCCGCCGCCTAGCCCCCCCCCCCCCCCCCCCCCCCCCCCCCCCCCCCCCCCCCCCCCCCACTACTGTCGGTATACCCTCTCTCTCTCTCATTCTTACTCTCTCTCTCACTAGAACTCACTGACTAACTTTCACTCTCAGACCAGACGGTGGAGGAGGAAGAGGAAGGCCGGGGGAGGCCTCCCCGAGATGGCGGCGCCATTGAAATCTTCAGAGTAAGAGGAGAATTTGTCGTCGTGTAAAATAGCTACCGCACGCAGGCAGAGCCACAGGGGCCCTTCATAAGATTCCCTCCCTGGCCTTTAACGAATGCTTCCTCGTATTTTATATTTTATATCTCTTATCGACGCTTGTCCTTGCCATAAAATCCCCCCCCAAGGTTTCATCCCGTTGACTCTCTTCCCATAAAAACCACATGCAGCTTGAGGAAGTATCAAGATCGAGCTGCAGTCAACGCTTTCTTAGATTTTAATCACCCATTTCTCTAGTGTTTCCTGCCAAAGCAGTTGACCATTATTACCGCGTTGAATAATTAATGCAGACGATCATACCAGTTGACTTGAGAAGCTGGTGGAGGTGGGTCGTCGCCTTGAAAAGCTTTGAAAGTTTGTTTGAGCTGAGATAAGTTCCCGAAGACCGAAACGATGGGAGATTCAGAGGAAAGAGATGATCCATCATCTCCATGCATTCTCGACCAGGTGAAGATCAAGTGAAGAACAGGAAACAACCCCCCCCCCCCTTCTTTCATTTCTTCTCAGAGCCCTTCATGGAAGACGAATAAATAAATGAAATTCTCACAAGTTTCAGTTTGTCGTCGGTGCTCCAGACGGAAAGAGAGAGAGAGAAGAGAGAGGAGGGAGCCCGAGTCCTTGAGAAGTCAAACGGACTTGCCTCCTCCTAAAAAAGTCAAACAGACTTGTCTCCTTCTAGAAAAGTCAAACAGACTTGCCTCGTCCTAGTGTCTTCTTCATCATCTTCTTCTTCTGGGGGTTTACTGTTGCTTGGTGCGGCTGATCATGTCCATGTAGTGTTTGAAAGAATCCTGGCGCTGCAGGCGCATTTCCTCGTTGAACTTCTTGATGAAGGCCTCCACCCGCCGGTTCAGCTCGTCCTGCCCCGGCGACGGCTCCCTGCGGATCAGCCGCCCCGACCCGCCGCCGCTCCTCCCGGGTGAGGCCGACGGCGACGGGGTGGTCACCCGCTGCTCGCTGAAGGTCTCCGACTTCCTCACCGGCGGCGACGCCGTCGCCTCCCGCCCCTTCCCGTCGGTGCCCCACGTGTCCGACTTCCTCAGGTGCCTCGTCAGTGGCATCGGCCGGCCGTCGGTGATCGTCTTCCAGGTGTTCTCCAGCGTCTCGCTCTTCTTCGGCCTCGCCACTCCCAGCGGCCTCCCTGAATTTCATTAGACCATCGTCCCCTTTCAGCCCTAATTCCCACCACCTCTACGTAGAGAGCCAGAGAGAAGATCAACGGAGATATTTGCTTACCTTCGGGACTCGCCTTGACGCTCCTCCGGCTGCCGAATCTCTCTGAAACCAGGGGTTTCTCCGCCGCCGGACTCTCCAGCTCCGCCGCAGGGGCGACCTCCCGCGAGTACCTGCTCTTCGGCGTCCAGCTAGACCGCGATATCACGAAATCCTCGTCATCTCCATCTCTCACCACCACTCCCCCACCAGCATCATCATCCTTCATCCTCCGCCCGCTCCCATCCAACTCCTCCGCCCCGTCCCCGATCTGAAACTCCACTACCGCCGCCGCCGGCGGTGGCGGCGGATCGGGCCGCACTTCGGGGATGGCGACCGCCTCCAGGCCCTCCTCCTCCAGGGCAACCTTCTGGAACCGCGAGGACGCGGCAATGGAGATGATGATCCCGTTGATGACGAAGTAGAGGTACGGCGGCGTCAGCCATATCACCAGCGCCTTGTAGATCCGCGGCACCTCGAAGAACAGGAAGGCCGAGATCGCCGGCACCGACAACCTAACCATCACCGCCGCCGACACCATCGCCGTCCCCAGCATCAGAACCCTTGCAGACACCAACATCCTCTCTCTCTCTCTCTCTCTCTTCTTGAAGTCTGCTCAGGACGGGAGAGAGGGAGGAAGGAGGAGGATGAGCTAATTATATACCCAGGAAGCGCCTGAGGATCAGAACGAGGAATCTACACCGTCCAATCGGTGGACCATCTCTGCAAACCACGTGGCAATCAGAAGCCTCCCGCCAGTTTAAATAAAATAATAAAATATTCACCAGGCTGAGTCAAGGCGGCGAGGCCCAGCGAGCTTCTGCCTTAACACGTGGGCAACACCCCCAACGGTCATATTATGGACCGTTGTCTCCATCCTCCGACGACCGAGCGTCCCCATGATTTTGACTCACCGGAGCTCCACATCTTCACACGGCGGTGCCGTCGTTTCTAGGAGCTCCACGAGATTTCCCGCTCGGTCGGCGCAACGGCGCCGCCTCCCTGCTGCGCGACAGCTGGCAAAGCCCCCCAGTCGGTCGTCTTTTAGTGAGCCTCGATGGGTGGCGGAGACCCTCCACAACGTCGCCGTCGCCGGCAGCGCCGCCGATCGCTGCCCGCAACGTGGCGGGGCTCAGTGGGCCTCCAGTGGGCCTATGGGGATCTCGGCACGGCCCGTTTGGTTTTCCTCGATTGGTCCTAACCACAGTGAGGGGGGGAGGGGCATCGGAATTCGTGTCTATTATGGGCCGGAATAGATCTGGCCCATCCTCGAGTCGTCTTCTGAGAAAATCGGAAGGAACTTAGTTAACTCGCGCCGAGTTGGGAGTGACTCGTCTGGGCCGATGAGAACTCGGCCTGGCCCGTTCTGCGGGTCTTAACCACGTAGTGGGCTGGTGGGAGACCCATTATCTAAGGCCTCGGGCCTGGTCAGATCTGGCCCATCTTCGCGCCGTCGTTGGAAAAATCGGAAGGGATTGAGTTGATCCGCACCGAGTCAGAAGTCCGACTCGGGCCGACTCGGGGAGGGAGGGGTATTTTCGTGAAAAAGAGCGCTTATCCAAACCCTCCTTCCACTGGGGAGGAGCGAGGAGAAGACCTCCTATTCTGATTCTCCAGAGCCGGGGGAAGGGCAGGGGATGCCGGTCGGATAGGGTTTTTCCCTTCGCCTCTGGGGCAGGGGGGGTCTCCCCCGAACTGCGCCATTTCCCGGGTGAGGAAGGTTGGCCCGCCTTCTTCTCTCCCCTCGGTGGCCCTCATTCTCATCAATTCTCCATTATCGCAGTGTGTTTTCCTCAGAGAGAAGCTGTCATCTATGTTTGCTATGGTTCTGTGATTCCTTGGTTGCCTGGTTCTTAGTCTGTGGCACATTTACGACGAGCGTGTGGTCTGTTCTGCTCAATCTTGCGAACAGCGCATGGCTCAGATGATTTTTGACTGATCTCCTTCTGCTCATTCGTCTGCATCTGTGTTCCGGGTGCCAGTCATCGTGGATTTCGTGAATTTTTCTCTGAGAAATTACTGGTTTATATTGATCAGGCCCTGTCGATTGGGGCTGATGATGATGTCTTTTGCATGACCTATGAAGAAATTACTGTTTATGAATTTATATGCTTGGAATGACGTTCTTCTTACTTTCATTTCATCTAGTGGTCTGAGATGATTTCAAGCTCGTTTACAATGGCTTCGGGCATGGCGGGGGCTTTAAAGCCTGGCGCTTACAGGCCTTCAGCTGGTAACCCTCAACTTGCTCGGGTTTCTCCTCTGTCTGGTGGGTTGGGGTTGCCGATTATTCGGAGCTTCGGTGGAGCTTCTCTAGAAAGGCGAGCATCGTCTCCAGGAGGTGCACATTTTCTTACCCTTCACCAATACCCAGTTATTTTTCTCCATTTTTTTTCATCTCGTGCCTTCAATTTTCTTCTGTCTTCCAATAATCACCAAATATGAAAATTTCAGGCAAGACAAGTAATTTCTTCCAGTCTTTTGCATGGGTGTGCTCTAATAATTCCTAGTTTTCAGTTCATGTCAGCAATTTAGCCTCACTTCACCATCCTAAAGATGATAGGATATGAATCACTAGTTTTGGATTTTTCAGACTAATGGCTGCTAGATCACAGAAGTAGCTGGGACTTTGGCAGACTATCTAGAGTCTTGCTGATGGAGGAGGGCAGTGATTTTCAAGATTTTTCTTGGAATGATTCAGTGGAGTTTTTGTGTTAATTTCTCTCTTGGTACAATTGGGGCAAAAATGGTCATCTTCCATCTGTCTCCCACTAGAATGCTTCATCTGATCAAGAAGCTTGGTGAGGATCACCCGTGGGATCCCCATACCACATGAACAGACAGCTCCACTGAATCATTCGTCTGCCAAGTTTGTAGCTTTTTTTTGATGTGATAAAAATCGTTCGTTTTGATGTGCCGGGCGGGCCACTGAATCATTCGGACATGATAAAAATGTCCGGGATATTATCGGTTGTTCTTGGAATGATGATGATGATGAAACGTGACATTTTGATATGCCCATTGGGTTTCTTTGGAGAATTTGATGTGCCCATCGTCAGTCAAAATGATCAGATAATTTTCCAACATGGTTCTTTGGAATGGCAGGAAGGACTGGAGGATTGGATCTTCACCTCTCAGCCGCATCTGCCTCCCTGCTGTGCGGAGACTACGGCAGCCTAAGATCGATGATACCGTCGGCGCCGCCCAGAGCAGGAGATAGGAGCCGGGGGGGCCCGCGGGCTTCCAAGGACGTCCCCTACAGCTTCCGGTTCCCCCCGATGACCAAGAAGCCCAAGTGGTGGTGGAGGACGCTGGCCTGCATCCCCTACCTGATGCCGCTTCACGAGACATGGATGTACGCAGAGACAGCCTACCACCTCCACCCCTTCCTGGAGGACCTTGAGTTCCTCACATACCCATTCCTGGGTTTCATCGGGCGGCTACCGAGCTGGTTTCTGATGGCGTACTTCTTCGCGGCTTACCTCGGGGTGGTGAGGAAGAAGATGTGGCCGCACTTCTTCAGGTTCCACGTGGTGATGGGGATGCTGCTAGAGATCGCGCTGCAGGTGATCGGGACAATCAGCCGGTGGATGCCGCTGGCCGTCTACTGGGGGAAGTTCGGCATGCACTTCTGGACTGCCGTTGCCTTCGCCTACCTCTTCACTGTGCTCGAGTGCATGCGCTGCGCGCTCGCCGGCATGTACGCCGACATCCCCTTTGTGTGTGATGCCGCCTATATCCAGATTCCCTACGACTAATTAGGTTGACAATGTAATCCCTCTCTGCGGCAATCTGAAAGTCCTCTATCTTTCTCTCTCTACCTATCTTGGTCCTCTAATGTGAAACTTTGTGGGCTCTTTTGATGAGAGAAAAGAAGCCTTTTTTTTTTTGTTTTTTGGTGGGACTGAGAGAGCCCTGAGTCGTCTCTCTTAATTTTCTTGATGCTGCCTGGGTGTTTGATTCATCACAGTAGTCACGTTTGGGCTAAGACTAAAGCTCAGTTTTTTTTCGATATTTTAACAGTTTTGGTAGATGATTAAGCAGATGTTTTCAGCACCATAATAAGATTAGGCGTCTCGATAAATTTTTGGTTTATACCCTGACAACTATTTACGCAATAAAATATGGGTTTTCAGGTGATGAAATGTTTAATCTTAAAAGTCAACCCTTTCCTAAAAAAATTAAGATTTTTATCCTCCTCGCTCTGGAAGGTTCTGAAGCTGTGCCTCCGCCGCCCGGGGCTCCCCGCCTTCGTCGTGGCTGACCGTCCGATTAACTTTATGTGACGGGCTCGGACCGTTCGCGGTACAATGTATTCTTCGACATGCTCGCCCTTCTCCGATCTTTCGGGCAAACTGAGCTGTAGGGACTTGGCATCGCCGGCTAGCGCCGCCGTCGTCTGAGTGGGGTGAGACTTTGTCATTGCGCGTCCTCCCGCCCCTCGAAATTTGTCTTTGTGTCTCTGTAATGATCATTGGAGGTCACCTTGCCCTGCTGGTTATGCTTCTCGTCTATCTCTTCTTCCTGCGTTAAGGCCAGGTCTTTGACATTCCAAAAACCTCACGGTAAGGCTCTCTCTCTCTCTCTCTCTTCTCCATGAAAAGTATGTCTTACGAACCCGATTACAATTTTTGTCAGACATGACCTCTTTTTCTGTCAAGCTGAATCCACGGGCCTTAGCTTTCTGTCCTTTTTTTTAATTTTTGGAAGTTCTTATTTTCTACTCATACTTCGATTTCTCCTTATATCTGAAGTATTTTTTTCCCATAGTTCTTTAGTAAAATTTATTTATTGATATCAGGGAAAGTTAGCTGTAGCGATAAATTATCTGTGACCTCATCGTATACTTGTTTATTTTGTGTAGAAATTTCTTTTCTTCTTGGCATTGAAGAAGATGTGGATATCTATACAATTGCGTACCATTTATGTTGGTTATATGTTTATATAGCCACTCATTTCCTGAAAGAGATGCATTGAGCTTCTTTCATGTAATATAGCTTCAAAGCTCTTTTAATATTTAATTAAATATTCTTCTATTTTCCTATTGGACGCTGGAAGGCTTTTTCTTCGCAATGTAGATTTCTACTTCTTACTTCTTTATGTGGCTATAATTCACAGAGCCACGATTCTGTCAGTATTTGAATATTTTCTTTCATTCTTTCTCATATTAAATAAATCCACCGATTAAAAATATATTTTTATTTTTTAATCATATTAAACGTCTCGTTTTCCCTTCTTGGTTCCTTTCTTTTCAAATTAGTTTATTAAAAAAAAAATCTGCATTATACCGTATGATTTGCTCTTTTGAAGCCTCCACAAATGGTTTTTTCTTCAAAGTTTCCAAAAATTTGCCATGAAGGACAGACCTTAGAACTGGATCTGCCAAAGCCTCCCAACGGCTCTGAGGTCGTTGACATGAACAGCAATAGTGGGGGTTTGCCTCTGGGGCTTGAGAAGGCTAAGGAGGCACAGAGCGAGGTCCAGAGGAGGGCTGCTGTCCATGCTGAGCTGGAGAGGGTGAACCAGCTCCCTGCCAACAGTAGCTATGCAGTCCATCGCATGAAGGTGCTTAACAAGCTTCTGCATCTCATGTCCATCAAGGTAATTCAAGGACTCAGTTGGCTACCCAAAGGGTTTTTTTTTTAATTTCATGAACCAGCCATTATATGTTGGGATAAATCAAGTACCATTTATGTTGGACATCTATCTATCTATCTATCTATCTATATATGTATATGTATATATGCATCACACCTCATGCCCATCAAGGTAATTGAAGAACCCAATCGACTACCAGTAGTCAGTGTCTTCTAGCGATGAAGAGGCCTTCATACTGATTGTGGCGTCAGGGTTTGATTGAGAATTAGTTGGTAGGTTTCATTGTATTAAGTGCTAAATATCTGAGGAATAAATGTTTTATATCTACATGAGCTGGTAATCGTTATAACTGTTAGAATTGAGCTTTCTGTGTGGTAGGACCCATGGTTTTATCCACTGGTTTATTTCCACAACAACAGATATAGGACTCTTCTTAAAGCGACTTTTGGGGTTCTGCCACATTGACTGGATCAATCGGATATGTTCAACACGAGAGCAACTGTCTAGAGTTATTGGGTCACCCAACTCAGAAAAGAGGATAACCTTTGTAATCACATGGTTGAATACTTCTTCAATGACCACTATGGATCTATTCCTTAGTACTTTTGATTTTCTTTCCAGCTAGTTAGGTAAAAAAATTGTCGGAGATATGAAAAGTAAGGATGACAGTCTAGATATATGTTTGATTTTTCTTAGAAAATGGATGCTATGAGAAATCTTGGTGTTCTGTAAGAGGATATAAAAGCTCTGGATGCCCGTTTCAACTTGACCAGATGGTGGGATTCCAAGATGCTGGTTTCTGGGTTTATTTTTTCGTTTCTTCAGGTAGAGAGAGGTTCATTGTTCCTCTCTACTTATTATAGTTTGTGTAATTTATCGTATTGATTGTTTTTACTTAATTTTTTATTAATTATCGAGCTCCTAATTTCTATTTCACACGCTTTCGGTGGTTTTTACATATCTTTGGCTCGTGATCATCGTGGACTGATGACCCATTTTATGATTTATCTGAATTATAAATTGGTTACGTTAGGTTTTGTTTTTTAAAGTTCCAAACCAATTCGCCCACGAACAGTTTTTATTTTTCTCTCAAACTGGGCGGGGCATTGCAAAACCTGAGGTTGAAAAATTTCTTGCCTGCTTGTGTTTCAAGATTGGGACTGAAGATATATCCCCTTCAAAGGCTCCTTTTTTGAAGTTGATCTGCATATTTGTCCTTGCAGGAGATGCGGTCCCATGCATACTCTCCTTGTGTGGTAATCCTGTGGTTAAAGCTCCTGAGTTATGTCCCATTTCCATCTTCCGAAATATCTAGTTAATAATTTTTTTTCCCCTCTGGCGTTAACTCTGAAGATACCCCTGTTTAGAGACTAATTGGACCATCGTATCACCCTCTCTCTCCTTCTCTCTCTCTCTCTGACGATAGTATTGAGTTAATATCCACGTAATTAATCTCCTCCCTAGGATGAGTATTCATTGTTATTAGTAGTATTATTATAATAAGTAAATCCACGGTGTCTACAAAAGGAATTTTTTAGCTTTTGATAAGTTTTTTTGCCTTGTGGACTCGGCCATAACCCAGATCATGTTCTTCAATTCTAATAAACATTCCCTACCATCCACGAACATGGTATCCATTTTATCCATTTTATTAATAATAAATATGCTGCTTCTCTTCTCTTCTCTTCTAATTGTGCTGTGATTTCATCTTCCTGCCAGAGGACCACCACCCAAGACGAGGAGCTGGAGCTTCTGTTTGCGGGGCTCTCTCTCTGAGGTGGAAGGAGATGGCCCGAGATCTTTGACCTCTGTGCAGAAGCATCAAATAAGTGTCAATGGTGCTCTTTTTTTCCCCAGCTTTGCGGTTTAGTGCTTGAAGAGCAATGGAACGATCGTAGCTTTGGTGATCTTTGTCATCTGGTCAGTTCCCAAGCTCCCGCTATATCTTCCCCCCCTCTCTCTCTCTCTCTCTCTCTCTCTCTCTCTCTCTCTGTGTACATATGGAGGCTATTGGGTTTGCGCATTTGATTCTATGGCTCAGCTATCTTGGATATTTGTTCAGAGACTACTTCTTTGGCCTATCTTAGGCTTGGTTGCTCTCTAGATACACATACATAGATATCATCATTCCTCCATTTTTCATAAAATATTGAGTCTAATATTTTATATTTCATAAAATATTGAATCCCTCTTTGTCACAGCACAGGGGACTGTTCAAGTTTCTTGCCTGTTTTTCTTTGGGTCGAGACCAGCCTCGACCATTGCTTTGTCAATGTTGAGCAGCCCTCGACATCACATTTGGAATTCATTAGGATTTTACTATGAGGAAAGGATACCAAGTCACTTGTATTACCTCCAGAAAGACGTGCATAAGAAAGAGGGATAAGAGTTCAACGACCGCTCTTGTGTTATTCTTGGCTTTCAACTTTCTCTCAACCTATTGTCGACTCTTCTCTTGTTGTTGTTGTGGCGCTCCTCTTCTCGCTCCAAAGCTTCGCCTCTCCTCCTCTTCTTCTATTCTCTTAGATGGCAGAGTTCTCCTCCCCATTTTAGAGAGAGAGAGGGAGAGAGGGAGAGAGGGAGAGAGGCTTGGAGAGCTTCCTTCATTTAGACCTTTTTGTCACCTTTATGTGCATACTCTTTCTTCTATCTACATTGAATCTCTTTTAGATCTGAAGAAATTGGTCTATATTTGGGAAACTTAATTTATCCAAGTTTCTCTAATATTTTTATGCAGTCACTTAGTTCATGCCAGTTGGGAGTTTCTAAGAGTGTCACACTTATCTTAAACTATTTTCTCTCTAGGCACACATACCTAGATATCATTTTACTTTTATGTTTTTTTCGATAAAATATTAAGTACAAGATAAGATTAATTATTCAAGAAGTAATTCACCATTTAATTAATTAATTAACTAATTAATAATAATAAATTTCTCCTTTTTAATGGGCATGGCAATACCTTTCGTCTTCTTGGAGGGCTTTTGAGAGCAAAAGATGACAAAAAAAAGTTTTTTTAAAAAATAAAAAAAAAGACTAGCACCGGTGCTCTTTCAGAGTTGAAATTCATAATATCCCTTTTATGTTAATTTTTGGCCCACCAACATTACCCTTTTTGATATTCTTTAACCCTTTTTTCTAGATTAATATTATAAACATAGTAAATAATAAACAAATATGTTTCTACTTTGGGCAGAGAGTACGACACTAGTAAATCATAGTATCTCCAAATGGAGAGAAGACAAGATGGAGCGATGGAGAGAGAGAGGGAAAAGCTTTTCGTTTTCTTTTTTGCAATCAGTGAATTGATCCAGAAGGCCCACCTCATTAATTTTCTATTTTCATGAAATCCCACAACCAGAATAAATCCGGGTCCCGCACCTCAAGTCCCGGCGCTTTTCCCCATCTGACCCAGCAGAGGAAAACCGACGGCGGGATCCTCATCATCGCCCGAGGAGGAAGGAGGAAGGAGGACGGAGAAAGGAGGGAGAATCCAAGCCAGCTTCCGGAGCTGCTGACCCCCATTGGAGCTGGCCCTATCTCCCTCTCTCTCTCTTTCTCTCTCCCTAGGAACGCAATCTCCTCCGTTGCTTCCTGTCCAAGGACGCCTCACGCACAGCAGGGGAGATCCGCCGGACGTCTTCCAGAGCGCCGCCCGCCGCCGCACCGCTCGAACGTTTCGTCGCCGCGATTATCGTTCGCTGGTGTCGCTCACGTCCCCCGTCCGCTGCAAACCAGACGTCTATGAGGGCCACACAAGGCCTGCGCAGGTGCCGCATCCGTCTGCTGCTCTTTTTTTCTCTGTTCCAGACCTCATCTGGAGCTCCTCCTCCTCTTCCTTCTTCTTCTTCTTCTCTCTGGTTGGTTTCTTCCTCGTGGGGGACGAACTACATGCCCTGCGCCATGAAGAACAAGGAAGGAAGGATATATAATGGAAGAGAGACGACCTCTTGGATTGACGATTTAGGTTTAGAACTAGTTGGCGACCTAGGTCAACCCCTGTCATGCGATTTCTCGCGAGCACGCTGATCGGAGGAGATGAAACCCTCAGGAACTTCTTGTGTTTCCATACGATTGTTCGAAGATTTTCCCGTCTGAATGGATCGACTCTCGTCGGCCTTGATTCGTACAATCATGGATTTGAGCTCATCTATGGTTATCTTTCTGTGGTATTCTTCCTCCTGCAGCAATCCTGAGCAATGAAGGCCCTCAAGGAATGGATTTCTCGCCAGTTGGAGTCCAGTTCTGTCCTGTCTTCCGTGAGACCTCTCAGCTTCATCGAGCGAGAGTCCCCAGATGAAGCCATCAGAGACCAAGGTGCACCCTCACCGCTGTCCTACTTCTTTCTGTCTCTGCTTCCTAGCTCTCCTTTCCCTGTTTCTCTGCAATGGCGCCGTCTCCTCCGATTTCCACCAGGTATGAACCTCTCGCCGTTTTACTCGCCACTTCAGGTGCAGGAGCAGGAGCAGCAGCACCATTACCTGGTGGATTGGACAATTTGCCCGCTGCGAACACCCTCGGTGATGCCGCAGAGGTTCTTCCTCCTGCCGAGGTTGCAGCATCTGAGGTTCTTCCTCGTCGCCATCACCATCTTCCTGCTCCGCGGCGTGGCTCCGGGGATCCCTTGGCCAACGTCGAGCAGCTGCAGGTCAAGTTTCTTCGGCTGGCCCATCGGATGGGAATTTCCCCGGGGAATCGGATGGTCGCACAGGTCTTGTACAGGCTGCAGCTTGCTGGTGCGATTCGCTCCGGCGAGGCAGACTCAGAGAGGCCCAGCCTGAAGATCAGTGAAGCCAGGGACATGGCGGCGGCGATGGAGGCGGCGGGCCAAGCCGACTTGGACTTCTCCTTCAAGATCCTGCTTCTGGGGAAGACCGGCGTGGGCAAGAGCGCCACCATCAACTCAATCTTCGATCAGGAGATGGCTGAAATCAGTGCCTTCGAGCCTGCCACACGCCGTATCAGAGAGATTGCAGGAACTGTGAAGGGGATCAGGGTCACGACAATTGACACGCCGGGCCTCTCGCCCTCTTCTTCCCACAGTAGTCAACGGCACAACAGGAGGGTTATGCTTTCGATCAGAAGGTTCATCAAGCGGTCTCCTCCGGACGTTGTTCTGTACTTTGATCGACTCAACGGCGCCGGCACCGCCGGTGGCGGCGATCTTCTTCTGCTGAAGCTCGTCACCGACGTCCTGGGCTCCTCGATCTGGTTCAACGCCATCCTGGTCTTTACCCATTCGTCGGCCGTCTTCGAGGGTCCCTCTGGTTCTCCCGTCAGCCATGAATCTCTCCTGAACCAGTGCGCCAATTTGATCCAGCATTGCATCAATCAGGCCATATCCGACACTCGGCTGGAGATCCCCGTCTTGTCAGTGGAGAACGACCCTTCTTGCAGAACTAACACGGCTGGGGAGAAGGTCCTCCCCAATGGGCAACCATGGCGGCTGGAGTTCCTGCTTCTGTGCGCCTCCATGAAGGTACTGGTCGATGCCAATGCCATGCTCAGGTTCCAGAACACCATCCAGGTGGGGCGACGGCGCAACAGCAGGGCTCCTTCCCTGCCGCACCTCCTCTCGTCGCTGCTCCAGCCGCGGCCCACGCCTGGCACTGGTGGCTCCGACGGCTTATTGGCGGCGGAGGAGCTCGCCGGGGTGGAAGACGAAGGTGACGACTATGACGAGCTGCCGCCCTTCAGAGCTCTCTCGAGAGCCCAGTTCCAGAAGCTACCCAAGTCCCAGAAGAACGACTACCTCGACGAGCTGGACTACCGCGAGACTCTGTACCTGAAGAAGCAGCTCAAGGAGGAGCTCCGGCGGCGCCGCCGGGGGGCCGAACCTGGCGACGGCGAGGCTCCAGAAGAAGTGGCGGTGGCGGAGACGGCAGTGCCGCTGCCGGACATGCCCGTCCCCCTGAGCTTTGACCCAAACTGCCCAGTCTACAGGTACCGCTCTCTGGCTCACGACGACCAGTGGCCTGCCGCCCGCCCTGTCTTGGACTCGCAGGGCTGGGACCACGACATCGGCTTCGACGGGGTCAACGTCGAGGTCTCCGGCGACCTGGGCGGCGCCACCCGATCGTCCCTCGTCGGGCAGGTCAACAAGGACAAGAAGGACTGCAGCTTCCTTGCCGAATGCGCCACCAAGTACTCGCCTTTGAGCTGGTGCGACCTCTCGGCGGAGGCTGACTTTCAGACGGCGGGGGAGGAGCCGGTCTTCTTCAACCTCCGGGCGGGGGCCACGGCCAGGGGCCGCCGCAACGCCGCCAGCTGTGGCGTCTCGTTGACTTCCCTTTCTGGGGAGGTCAGTGCCGTCGGGGCCAAGGTGGAGGACTCCGTCCAGGTGGCGAGGAGGTTCAGGGTCTCAGCGAGCTCAGGCTTCGTCCGTGGCCAAGGCGGCGCCGCCGCCTGCGGGGGCGGCCTCGAGGCGACCTTCCTGGGAAGAGACTACCCCGCGAGGGACGACAGGGCGACTTTGGGGTTGACCCTCCTGGCCTTTGACCGGGAGGTCGTCCTTGGCGGCGCCCTCCGGTCAGATTTCCGGGCCAGCCGGACTACGAGGATGGCGGTGAACGCCAGCTTGAACAGCCGCAGCCTCGGCCGCCTCTCCTTGAAGACCACTACCTCCCAGGACGTCCAGATCGCCCTCCTGGGCCTGGCCATCTCTCTTCTCCAGGGACTCCTCCGGCGAAGGCTCGCCGCCGCCGCCCACCACAGTGGCGACGACGACACTCTGCAAGAATTCTAGCTTGGAAGAAGAAAAGAATCAATTTTTTTTGTTTCCCTGTTCTTTAGTTTCTTTACATTCAGGAGCAGGATCGGTTCCCAGAGTCGCCGGAGGCCAGTACCAGCAGGCGGCGCGTCAGCCCTTCCAATCTCTCCGCCCCCGGGCCCGGCCGGAGCACCGAGCCATTGCCGCCACGGACCAGGCAGGGGTCGGCTGCAGCGCCGCCGCCGCCGCCGCCACTGTCTAAAGGCCCAACGCACCAGGCCCCCGGCACAAGGCAGCCCTGCGGTCGCCGGAGGATCTCCCGGTCAATCTTGTCAAGAACGGGGTCGTCACGGCGGAACTTGCGGGCGAAGGGGGCGCCGCTGGCGAGCATCTTGGAGTAGTCGGCCATGGAGAGGGTGCGAGGGTGCTGCTTCGGGGGGCTGTCCCAGGCGATGTAGTGCAGGTCGTGGCTGATGGCGGAGCCACGGAAGGCCTCGGCGTTGCAGATGACCGTCTGGAAGTAGCCCTCCGGCGAGGAGACGAAGTTGGCGTAGTACATGAGCACCGCCCGTGGCAGGTTCTCCCACCCCCAGATGCAGTACTCCAGAAAAGGCCTTGACAGCATCACCCACGCCGACCCTAACAACAACAAGAACAAGAACAAGAACAACAAGAACAGTTATGTGCCCACATAGAATTTTCGATTATTCATTCATTCAATCGACACCGGGGGGTGTAAAGATTCCAACTTTGGAGCGTACCCGTGAACAATTTGAAGGCTGTGGGGAGCGGCCGGTGCTGGGTAGTCACGAAGAGGTCGAACTTCTTGGACAGGTAGAGACCCGGGTCGATCACGATCGGCCTCGCTCTCTGGTTCCTGCGTGGGTTGGGTTCTTGGGAGCTCAGCCAGCAGGGCGGGGTGATCGGGGGATGGGGAGAGCGCTGACTTGGGCAGAAACGGAGAGCAGCTGGATGAGGATGACTTACAGTTTCCAACCAGTGAGACGTGCTACCTCGATGAAGTTGAGATGCCTCGGCAGGGAGGAGAACGCGTGGAGAAGATCTGCAAAAATGTCTCACTCCGATCAGTTAACAATCTTCTGCGAAACATAGCATAAAATTTAATGGGCGGGTTTTTTCGCATAAAGTTTCCAACTGGGCAAGGAGACGGATCTTAGAGAACACCTGGAGGGCTCTCCATCCAAGTGAAATGGAACCCCCGAGCACAGCGATGAAAGTCGCAACCTCATTGCAGCAACACAAAAAAAAAAAAAGAAAAAAAGAAAAAAAAGAAGAGAAAACCAACAGAATGCAGATGATATTCGGTCCTTCCGTAATTTTAATGGTCTTTCTCCCACCAATCATATCCTCATTCATTATGCACCCAAATGCACGGACATCATCCATTGGGTGGTGCATTTATTTCCAAGTAGAGGCAACATAAAAGAAAATTTAATGGCATCATCCAAGTGTGAAGAAGTTGAGAAAATATAGCATCATGCTTCCAGCGCCCCAAAAGTGGAACAATCTGGTAAAATGATCAGGTTTACTGGTTATGTTCTACGTGACCAGGGAGGGAAACAAATTACAGAGAGGGTTTACTGTCTATATGTTTTAAGGTGGGAGAGTGGGCTTTGAGATTTTCCAATGACGATGGATTTCATCTTCAATGGGTACATACGACTGTTGGTAAAGACCAGGTCGCATGGAGGGTTTATTTTTCTGAGAAACATCACATGATTCATACATCCCCCCTCTAGGACCCATGCCGGCTCTCATAATCTGAGAGAACCTACCAAAGTACTTTGGTGCAGGATCTTAGAAGACTAGAAAACAGATCTCTGCACAGAAAATTCTACCGAGTTTGGTGGCAGTGAGACTCAAAAGTTGTCAAAACTGCCTACAGAAAATTACGCTCTCAATAACAATCCGACGCTGTCCACTTCATCCAGTAAAAAGAAACCACTCAACTTGGAGAAATCGTCGTGGAACCAGTAGACTAACTCAGAAGATTTATCACAAGTGTTTTTGCAGTGGGAATGAAAGCAATGCCAGAGAAGGAGAAACACTGACCGTCTTGTGTCACCAGAGGATAATCCGAAGCACTGAGATTTATAAACCAATCCCATTTGGCACCCGCCTTGAGTAGAACTGCTACGGCATGTAGAGTGCACGCTATCATTGTAGGACCCTTGTATGTCACCAAGTTACCCTTCGCGATAACATGGACGTTCTCAACTTCACTGAACACTGGGTCACTCTTGACATAGGACGACAAGTCTATTCTCTCTCGTGGGGGGGCCTCAAGATCCAAATGCAGAACATACTGGTTCCTTGGATGGTACACGGCCTGTAAAGTCCTCCGCATCCTCAGATTGTCCCCCTTCGTCCCTGTGATGAGATAAGCAATGCGAGGAGGCTCTGGTTCGAACTCCACTGGTGGGAGCTCTGGTTTTTCTTGCTCTTCCGGTACTTCAGGCTGAAAAGGATGATCTAATCCGCTGAGCGCCACCAAATCAGTTGGTACCACATGATCGCCCAAAAGAAACGGGGATGGCATCAAAAGCCAGGCAACAAAGAGCATGAGCGAGACAAGCAGGCTTGCATAGAAGGGAAAAATCCACCATCTGTCACCGGAAACCCTTGGAGCGTGATGGCTGACATTCCTCCTCATGCTAATGATTCAATGCTAGTCGAGGAAGTAGCAATGCTAATGTTTCAATCCTATGTAAAGGCGTATTCAGTACTGGAAGCAGCCAAAGGAGCAGGATGACGACGATCAGAAGCAGAAAGCTTTGGCAACAGATCAGAGATGACTTTCATTTCCCCACAAAGCCTTCAACATTGGACACGGGGATCTGTCACCCTCTAGATACCATGTAAGTTCTCCTACATAGAGGACATCAAGAAAGACAATGTCGCACAATGTAAGAACCACTTCGTCCATTTCAACAGATTGCACCAAGTGATGAACGTGATCAATGGTTAATACAATAAACAGGCGGCAAAGATTTGAACAAACGATTTGAAAAAAAAAGGAAGGTAAGTAACAGCTGGCGCCGAATCTTAAGGAAAGCTCCCAAACATAAAAAAATGGCGCGTGTTGTAGTATATAAAAAGAGAAAAAAACTAGAATTGACAGACTGTAAAAAATGTAAATATAAAGGCAATCAACCGAAAATCTCATGAGTTTCCTCAGAATGAATCACACATAAATTTTGTCAAATTGTGGTTAAAACACAGTCTTGACATCACACTCGTCAGGTTTTTAAGTACCTCTTTGAAAATATGGAACGGAGTCTTTTCACATTTGCAATGAGTGAATAATATCTCAACGGGTCTGCCTCTGTCTAAGATAATTCCCAAGCTAAGATCTCCTAAATGGGGGATGCATAGTCCCTGCAGCGACGATGCTGCAGGCACATTTCACTTTAAAACTCAGTAATGTAAGATCTCGTGTATCTTGCTCAGTTTCATCAGCCTTTCCAACGATTGGCTGGCACATCGAAGATCTATAGATTTTCTTCAAAGTGGATCGCAAAGAGGAAGTTGCTGGATGTAGAGGCCGTACACCAATAATTCCTATGTTTTCCTCGCAAGTACTGCACACTCGCAAGCCGCAGCAGCACCCCCACCGCGCAGAAAAGCACGGCTACTCCTTTTGATCCATCCTCTATCCAATGCCCCAAGATCTCACCCAGGTTACACACACAAAAAAAGAATAAAAAAATCGAGAAAAATCAGAAAGGGCTCTTCAAAATCGAACAGGAAAACGCAGGCAGCAGCAATACGAATCTGGCAACCGCCGAAAAAAAGACACTACGAAATCTCCCCGCCGGAGCTGGACAGTTTTCGAGGCCACTCGGGTTGAGATGCTCACTCCACCGATCGCCAAATCTCCACCGCCGCACCAGACGAGGTACACTAGAGCGAAGCGGGGATCACCGGGAGACGCCGACGCCTCCGCCGGAGAAGGCGGCGACAAGATGGCCCCGAATGAGAGGGAGGAGGAGGAGGAGGAGGCGGTGGCCGGCGGCGGCGGGCCCGCTTCCTCGGTGGCGTAGTACTCACCAAGTTCCTCAAAGTCGTCAGTGGCGCCCGTCGGCGACTCCCGGGGACCTCCAAGCTCCTCCAAAACGGGCTCTTCACACGCAATTTTATTATATATATAAAAGTAGTTTCAGTATTTTTTAATTTATAAAAATAGATATATCGAGGAAACTTTTACGACCCGATATCCAAAGTGTCGGATTAGTATTCGTATCCGAAATGGATCCGACAACGAACGCAACCTTGACCAGCTGGAGAGCGGGGCGGGGCTCTACTTCTCCCTCCGACGGCTTCATCTCGCCGCCAGAGGAGGCGGCGGCTGTGGTTCCCAGGAAGCTGCCGGCCGGGGCCGGAGAGAGGAGGATTGCGGTGTGTGGGATCGATCCATCGTGTTATTCTCGTTCTGTGGGATCGTTTTTTAGCTGCTGGCTTGCACGGTGGAGTAGATGGGGACTTTGAGCTCCCTGTGGTTGTTTTCCAAGAGGATCGCGACCGGCGGCCTGATCGGCCTCACCATCTCCGACCGGTGGTTCAGTTTCTCCCCCGTGAAGGGCTTTTCAATGCTTCCCACTCTTGTCCCATTCACCGAGTCGTCCTTGAGATCTCTAGGAGGTAAACTTCTTTCCCTGCCTTCCTGTCTCCCCGTTTCTCGGCGCACGCCAACGCCCACGCCCCCTCTCTTTGATTCGGCTTGCTTTGTGCATCTCGCTGATTGTTTGTCCCCGAGGGAATGTGTACGTCTTACCTCATTCATGGACTGATGCTTTATTGGCTATTAGGGAACTGACCACGTTCTCCGACAGGTGATGTATTGCTGGTGGAGAAGTTATGCCTCGATATGTACAAGTTCTCAAACGGGGATGTGATTATTTTAAAGTATGAATGCTACTGCCCCCCCCCCGCGTTCTTCCTTCAGTCCGATTTCTCAACTCCACTTTTCATGTAGAAATTCAGACGAGAATGTCATTGTTGTGGCACACACATGCACATATGCGCTCACACTTTTTTCTGTTGATCTTCGCCTCCCTGCTTTCTAATCTTATTGTAACTGGTTCTGTTCAGTTTTCTGTCCTCATTAATGCTATAATGTGTCTGGTTTTATGACGGCACATGGCTTTGCTTTCCATGAAACTGCAGGTCCCCCACTGACCACAAGCAGATGCTGGTGAAGAGGTTGATTGCCTTGCCCGGTGACTGGATCAGAGACCCAGCGTCACGTGATATAATTAAAATTCCAGAGGGACATTGCTGGGTCGAGGGTGACAATTCAGCTGCTAGTTTTGATTCAAGAGCATTTGGTTCAGTAAGTCATTTTCAGCATGTCAGCTTTTTGGGACTCTATAGCACGATAAACATTTCCAAATAATTTTGCTCGTATAACGGATCTTTTTTTTATGTTGAAGGCATGTTGCATGTGCTTTTGTTTGGGAATAAGATTATTGAAAATTACGAATAGCTGTAGTAACTAACTGCATGTGTTCTGCTTTTTTTTGATGAATTTTCCTCTAAGCATCTCATAGATATAATGCGAATAAGATTATTATGCGGTTCTCTGTAGATAAGCTGCGAGATTAGACACTGAGTGTGTCCTTTACTATAAATTAAAGAATATTGCGTAAGCTTCGTTGGTAATTAATGTGTGAAGGGCAATGTACATTAGCCACGCGCTTAGATTTTCTTCATCGATGTAGCATCAGGTCATCATGCTATTTTTTGGAATGTTTTCCTTGCTTCGAATGGGTTGAACTCGGGGAAGCGTTGTAAAATTTTGTTGAGACATGGCAGTAAATGTAGTGCATTCTCCAAGTTACAAGGCCGTGGACTTTGGTCATAAGATCAAAGTATTAGACAATGTAGGCATAAGAACACAATGTTTGAGACATAAAATTGGGGGCCAGAATTTGATTTTTCAGGCTTGGTGAGCATTCTAAAGGCGAGTGATGTTCTTATGGCTCAATCTATAAGCTTGGAGATAGAACATCTGTCGTGTATCCTCGATTGATGCGCTAAACTTCATGGAAGAAGTGGTCAAAAGTATACTATTCCCCACGGATATGTTGTGGGTTTTTATCTCTTAAAGAGTTGTTCCTATTGCTTCGTGGGACAGCAAGATTCCAGTTTTACAGTGATAAAGTTTTTTTACACCGAAATTCTTAGATTTTGCCCTCCGCTATTAAATCATGGAAATATCGGTTTTTCTTTTCCGCCCTTCTGAATGGGAATAATTTATGGATCTTCAGCAGCGAAAGCCTACATCTGCCGATTTATTTTATTTCTTTCCCTTCTGAATGTGACGTCATCTTCTACTAGCTAATAGTCTTGCTTTCCTCATTCAAAATTTCAGGCGCCTTTGCTTTGAAACAGTTTTCTTTCTAATTCGTTTTTACTATATTTTTCATCATTTTTGCCAATTATCCATCCAAAGCTTTCCATAGGGAAATCATTTTTCATTCCTCGTGAAAAGTGTGGAGACAACGAATCATTGGATGAGGATAAAGAAAACAAAGCATATGATTATAGTGTTGTATGAGATAGCTCACACGCACCTCACGAAGGGTCCATAGCTGTAGATGATTCTCTGAAGGATCCATTGTTAAAGCTATCTTGTGTTGTTGATGAGTGGGGATGAGAATAACGTGTTAAATTTTGTCAATGAGCGCCTGATGTTTAAAAAAAGTTTAATTTTTTCACCTTTTTTCTGTTATTGCTTGGAAACAATTGAAACTTTTTTCGTTAAACCAGATCCTTTCCTTGCGTTTTCTTGCAGGTTCCCTTGGGATTAGTTAAGGGCAGAGTAACTCACGTAATTTGGCCCCCACAAAGAGTGGGCAAAATTGAGAGAAGGCTGCCTTCTGGGAAAATTTCATCTATATGACGCATTTCATTATCAAACGAGTCTCGTTCTCAGAATCTTTATCTATTCCATGAATGTATTTGCCCCATTTCTCGTCTTCTTCATGCACTTAGTTCCAAGAGAAAATTTGCCCTATTATTACAAAACAGTGACAGTTGGGCGCTTAAATGAGAACCTCTTCCCCCCATCCCATATGGATCTGACATCTAATTGAGTAACTTGGTATAGTGCTGCTCAATAACGTGCCAGCCATTGCAGTTCGTGAGTCTTATGGCGGCCCATAGTCTGGCATCAACTTTGTTCTTGGGTAATCCTGGTTCTTCCTCACTATCCCTTGGGACGTCATCACCCTCTGCAAAAATATCTCAGATGATCTCCATTGAAGTCAGATTCGGTTGTTAGCGTTGCAACTGGCTGCTGGGAGAGCTCTGATTAGAGTTCATAAATGGCAAATCAGTCTGTAGGCCAAAGTTGTGGTATTTTCCTCACTCAAGATTGGGTCTCTTTGCCAGGTGCTCTGCCGGTGGCTTCAGGGGGTATTCATGTCTGGCATATGCCTATCCTGCCCGAGATCTTTAAGCAAGGTGAGATGCACCATTGCCAACTAAGCTGAAGGCTAATCTTTGTCTTTCAAATATATCTGCTAAGTGATGTGATATTGTGATTTTCGGTATCAGTGCATAATCAGATGGAATGATCCCATTTGTTTCCTCGGACAGAAGTTGTGAAGCAATTCGATACATGCTCGAACATGGATTAAATATTACAATATTTAATTTCGGAATATGGATTTTGAGAAAATAAAAATTCAGCCACACAGGCTTGTTAAAAATTAATCTCTTTTCTAATCTGAGAGTTTAATGTAAATATCTTTTGATGCATTTGGTATGAATCGCTCATTCATAACACTTAAAGTAGTAACCGTTGTTATTTGTCAACATCTTGCTGCGTAATTTAATATTTTCTTCACAGCTCATCTAAAAAAAATTGTATTGTTTTTTTTGTCATGAGTTTTATCAGTTAAAAGCAATCACAGATGTACTTTCGTCCCCACATTCGTTAATAATGCAGAAAATGCACATTTTTAGGAGAATCATCTCAGGCATCCAGACTATCAAAGAAGGCTGATTATCAAGGAAAAATGCACATTTCAGACAAACTTCTAGGAGACACAAAAAAAAAAAAAGAACTCAGGTTACCTCTTCTGAAACCTGAATAATGGGGAGATGAAATTAATTATCATAGAGTGAGTAGAATTGACAAGCAAGATAATCAGAAGCTTATGAAGGGATATGAACATGTCTGAATCTTAGTGAGCCTTTTTTGGCTTGAGAGGAAATATGTCTGATTTTTTCAGCTTCATTTGCTCTCCTGGCAGAAAAAAGAATGGCCTTCATCCATTTTCTGTACTGGAACAAGCCTGAAGCTCTGACCTGCCACGAGAACATACATGCATTGATTGAGGAGAACGCTAAGTATCAATTGCATGCAAGTTATATAAGATGGCGGTTGACTTCTGAAGTCAGCTCAGATGAAGGAAAATACCATTCATCTTTGCAATGAACCCTTTCAATTATTCACTGTAGAGAGCATGTGTAAACAAAACAATCTAAACGTGGAATCAAGGGATTGTATGGCATTATCAGGACCCTTCAACACACCTTCCTCATCTAAGTCAACTTAATTGACAAAGAAGAGCCGAGGCTGGATTCCTGATAGATCATTAAGAAAGGATGACAAATCTGGCATCTCCGAATGGCAAATGATCCACGTTCTTGATCTGTTGTGCTCAATCTTGATGAACCCTAACTTTAAATAGAGTTTAAAACCTCTCCTAGAACAAGCGCCCACTGAGTCCAATGGGTGCCACCCTGCATGGAAAAGAGTAAAAGAACCGAAAAAGACAGCAAGTTATTTCTCGCTCACAAAATACTCTTGCCAGCTCTTCAGCATTATACGACAGTCCATTTCCATGCTAACATTAGAATATCGAGAATATTTCATGTAAGTTGTTTCAATGAACAGATATGAAACTGGGAGATACCTGACAAAAGACTGCGAATGGATCCCTCAGCGGTCCATCGCATGACAGTTCACTTGTGCTCCCATCAATGAAGGTTCCATGGGCAAATATGACCTGTTTCAGTGATAAAACAACCGTGTGATCCATCTAAAAGCCATCAAAATCTGCTTCACATCAATTTACAAGTCCACCTTCCAGTGAAATATGATTCTCATGCCGACTTTACTGGTTTCAGGGAAGATTTCATTGACGATTCAATAATGAACCTGATATCTTGGGCCTAGGGATTGGTGGCATGTTCTCCATGGTTTTGTTGATGCCTTATTTTGAGTATCTTAAACACCGTGGGACACTATTACAGAAGACTAAAGAAAGAAGCATGATGTTGTAAGAACACCGTGGCTCTATACTGTTTTTCAGCTCGATCTTCATTGTTTCGAATAAAATCATTATGTATTAAAAATGACTTACGTTATCCGTATGAAAAAGGGCTTAAAAATGATATCAAGAACAAAAGGTTAGAAAAACTATGGAATTCAATCATTCTATGCTGAAAATTTACACGATCAGGCGCTTAGAGAATGCTGGAAACAAATTATGAATTTTAGAAAACCAATATCTACCCACAGAATCATAAATGGTGATTCTAGAAACTCAACTTCTGCTGGCTAGCCGAAGGGATGAAGCAGACCACATCTCAATGTAGCTCATCAGATAAGAAGAAAAATTATTTTATTTTGTCAAGGTACATTTTAAGGAACTTTCGTTTCAGAAAGCGAGATCTAAACCAAACCCACACCCATGCAAATATGATTTTCAACTACTTTTATTTCTACAGCAGTTACATAACCATATATATAGCATGTGAATGATTCAAACATGGCTTCTGCCCCAAACCTCTGATGCATATCCAGCAGTCGATCCAGCAACGGGTTTGATGAAGGAACCAACTGGGCCGCTCCTCTGCACAGCTTCACAGAAGGCTAGGAGACGCTCCCGATCCCCAAGTTGCACTGCCTGAAATGAAATGCAGCTCCAACATACAACAATTCAACTGATTTCTACATTACTGGGTACCTCCTCCTTTAATATTTTCCACATTTCCTTTGGTAGGCAGATGAAATCAACAAAGATATGCGTGCAAGTTGGGTTTCACCTGCACCGTGTCATGGCGGGGAACGCGTGGAGCTGGTTGGACCTTGAATCCTCTGGATGACATCACTTCCGCAATTAGAAGGCTTCCCTGAGAGGAGAAATTGAGAACAACAGTCAGCCAAGAATGGAGGAGGCACCTGCAATTATAGAGCTTCTGAGATGGGCGAGAAGACCACCTTGACCGCTTCTCCAACCATTTGAGGCGCAAGGAACAGCCCCTGGAAGAATGCCCTCATCACCCCGCCGGGCGTTGATCCACAGTCGATACCCAGCCCAGGGGCTGAGAGGCGGGCAGCAGCGGCCTCAACCCATCTCTTCCTCCCGGCGACATACCCACCACAAGGAGCGATTGTTCCTCCTGGATTCTTTATCAAGCTCCCTGCAATTAAATCTGCTCCCTGTGATGAGAAAAACCAATCGCCCACCGTCATTTTGCGCCTCTCAGAGGAGGAAATTGCATTCGGTTCATCTTGCATACCACCGAAGGAGGCTCCACTGTTTCCACAAATTCCCCGTAGCAATTATCAACCATGACCAAGCAGTCTGGATTCTGCATCTGCTGACGCAAGTTCAACAAAAAACCCATAAGAAGGCCTTTTTCATTAATTAAATGGGCTCCATTTCTATTCTCATTCATCTTTTCTTCAAGAACAAAGATGAAGTTTTGCCATGAATAGTGGAGATTACCCAACTCATAGCATCCCATCCACATACTTAACATAAGATAAACCGTATAAGAGTAGATGCCATGGACATTGCCTTTATCATTCTGATAGCCCTCTCTATTTCTGCCACACTCAAGCTCCGGCGCCATGAATATCCGCACGATCTCTGTATGAGGGCACACTTCGTCTGGGGTCTCAGTGAACCCGAGAGAGCATCCCAATCCAGGCTACCATCTTCCGCGAGCTGAGAAGCAGCTGATTACTGATGATGATAAAAGTCTACAGCCTAAAAGAAAAGCAAAGTTCTTTGAGAGCGGATGGCTCACATGGACTTGTCGGTATTCCACTCCAAAGTCTCTCAAGGATCCATTGCCGAAGGGATTTCTGATTCCAATCACCTCTTCCAGCGTGTCGTAGGGAGCTCCAGCGACTGCCAAGAGCTGGTGCGAGATTCAGCAGAACCCAGAAATCACGAAATGATGATGAACGAATCACTCGTGAGGAGATGCATATGATTTTCTCTGCTGGCTGCATAAATTTGTGGAGAAAAAACTGACTCACTTCATCTCCAGGTCGGAGGAAGGCGAATAGCGCGCAGGTGATGGCGTGGGTGCCGGAGAAAAACTGCGATTCAAACGCCCGGGAGATCGATCAGTCACCGCTGCTTTCGATCGGCGTGGAAATGATACGAAATGGAGATCGATCGGAGGACCTGCGATCGAACAATGGCCGACTCGGCGCCGACAATCTCGGCGAAGACTTTGTCCAAAGCTTCGCGGCCCGCCCCCTCATCGTGGCCGTACCCAGTGGAGCCGCCAAAATGCTGACCCGGAAGAACGCAGCAGATCAGTTGCAGCATCTAGTCAAAAGGCTTCAATCCCACCGAAATATGGATCTCTGGAGGAGAATTCGGCGAAGTAAAGAAGATCAGAGGACTTCGGCAGGGTTGCTGGCTTACGTGAGACCCTACTCGGGCGTTCTGGAAGGCCCTGAGGACGCGAGTGGTGTTGTGCGCCACCAGGTTGTCGACTGCCCTGAACTCCGAATGCAGAGAATCCGCCGCCGCCTCCACCTGACGGAGAACCCAATTGGGAGCGGATTCGAGCAGGGCAGCCAAAAACAGGGGCAGAAGCTCGGGGGATTTCTCCTTGATGAAAGAGAAGGGAGCTCTCTGGTAGCGGCGCTCACCTCCGGCACGAATGGGCGAGCGAGTTGAGCAGGCGGAGCGCAGGAGAGAGCCTGCAACTTGGTGAAGCGTGCGGAGACAAGGCGCCTCGGGAGGGAGAAGCTGGGGGTGGCCCCAGGGGGCGGCGCCCCGCAGGCCCAGAGACGGCGCGGCAGCGCGGGATGAGCCCCGGCGGCGCACGACAGGGCCTGCATGGCGTTTGGGGATAAACCAACGCGAGGAATGGAAGTCGATAATGGGGTTTAGGGCTTCTTTTTGGCGGGAATACTAGACGGCTATTGAGCAGCCTTGAGGAGTAAATTCTCCAAAATGGCACTAGTAAGAACTCCGCAGAAGGCCAGAGTTTAGAGAGAGAGAGAGAGAGGGGCGGGGGGGGGGGGCAATTGCCGACTGCAATTAATTTGCTGCTTTCTTCATTAGAGAGTGAGCACCGTCCAATGGTATTCATCGGAAAGAAGATGGGTCAAGGTGTCGCCTTCTTCCCTCGACTGTCCGCCGCCCATCCGGTCAGAAGATGGGTCATCTCCAAACAGCGGCGTTATCCGAGAAAAGGCTCCACTTTTGCGTTTCCCTCTCTAGACTGTAACTTTTGCACCGTCCAATGGTATTCCTCGGAAAGAAGAAGAAGATCAATTCAAAGGAGCCAAGGCGTCGCCTTCTTCCCTCGACTGTCCGCCCGTCAGCTCGGAAGATGGGTTAATCTCCAAAGAGCAGCGTTATCCGAGAAAAGGCTCCACTTCTGCGTTCCTCTCTCTAGACTGTAACATCGGCAATCGCTGCCCTGAATCCGACCTGCAATCTCTCTCTCTCTAGCTCCATTCGCTGCCGGGCGTCTACGTGTAATGTCATGCACGAGCCCATCGCCAATGTCCACTCAATCTTGTCTCTGACCAGAGGCTAGAACGAGACCTTTCTCTCCTCTCTCTCCCTGCTCCACCCCTTTTCTCCTTCCCCCCCAGGTTTCCCCTCCGGATTTATCGGCTACAGAGCGCCGCCGCCTCCGGGCTCCTCGACGGGCGGGAGAGCTCCGCGGGGAGGCGGCGCTTTACGGGGAAGCCCTTCCCGGCGTTGACACGCGGCCCTCTCTCCCCTCGGGTGCTCTGACCCGCGAGGGCTTCTTCCTTTCCCCCCTCCAACCGAGGTCGCTGCGTGAGCAGCCTCCGAAACCCCCCAAATATTTTTCTCAATATTCTTCGCGATCATCTCTCTCGAAGGGTTTCCCTATTCCGCGGGCATCTCCTGGGATGGAGCATTCTCCGCCGCCTGGCTTCTGGTAGCCGCTCCTGGGTCCTCTTCTTCCCACTTCTCCCGCCGCAAAAGAGGGGCGATCCGTTTGATGGGTCTCTGGGGCCGCTCTGAGGGAATCTGGGCCTCGCATAGCTAGAGATGGCGGCGGCCAAGGGAGCGGCAGACAGGGACAGCGGCGCGGCGATGTTCTCCGAGGAGGAGTTGAGCGAGATAAGCGGCCTGAAGCAGTGCAGAGACTACATCGAGGTGACGTGCGGCTGCACGAGCCGCCGTTACGGCGACGCCGTGGGCCGGCTCAAGGTCTTCCCGTCGGGGGAGCTGGAGATCACCTGCGAGTGCACACCCGGCTGCGATGAAGGTAAGTTTCAGCTTCAGATCCGCCCCTCCTCTCTGTTGCGCCTTTCTTCTTCTCGGCATGCACACTCCTGCACTCGAGGGTTCCACGCATCCATGCAACGCGAGCAGCTTGGGCACCCCATCGACCCGCGATCAGATCAGCCTGCGCGCTAGATGATGGGTAGATTTCTTCCGTTTCCATGGTCTGCAACCCCGCAGTCCTGCGAGTCAACTCAGGATACTTGCCTTGTGCCGGACGCCGATATCTTGAGCTTGGGAGTCAACCCAAGATGCCAGAATTCCGTCTCTTCTCTGGTTTATGAAGGCCCGAACCGTCTCTCCTTCCTCTCTTGTCTACGGAAGGAAGGCTCCTGTAGACGAAATCAATCTCTGGTTTGGGGTTGATGCTCTTTCTGAGCTTTCCGGGACATCTCTTTCCAGCATTGTCTTCAGAGTCAACTCTCCCCTTCTTGCCCACAACAATTCTCTCTCGGTTGACCCAACATGGACCAAGTTGCCTACTGTCTTATCGACCTCCCGGACTAGGTTAAACTGGTCTAACCCCATGCTAGTCTCTTTTTCATTTGGAAGAACTCTACCAGCTGAGTGACTAATTCCGACTTTCTGAAGTCAACCCAGCAATTTTTAACGCCTGCTGGGTGATGGGTTTCCGAAATTGTGAGCAGATAAGATGAGCCCGGCCGCATTCGAGAAGCATTCGGGCAGGGAGACCGCCAGAAAGTGGAAGAGCAACGTCTGGGTCATCGTCAAGGGGGAGAAGATCTCTCTTTCCAAGACCGCCCTTCTCAAGTACCACGATCAGCTGTTGAAGCCAGCCAACGGCTCCCACAAAGGGCACGGCGGGCGGGCGGCCCACCGCGACGAGTTCATCCGCTGTGCCAGATGCAGCAAAGAACGCCGATTTCGGCTCAGGACCAGAGAGGAGTGCCGCATCTACCATGACGCCTCCGCCAACCTGAGTTGGACCTGCTCTGATATGCCTTTCCACGGGTAAAGATGCCTCATTTCCTCTCAAACACCAAGCAAATTAGCTTCCATACTTGCTGTTTTTGCCTAATTTCCTCTTACAGTAAGTGATCTTAGCATTCCTTCAAGTGCTGTTGTTCTTCCTGATTATAGTAAGCATGCCCTTCAGATGGGTTCAATGGAGGAGATGAGGATCAGCCTCCCACTCTGACGGGTGGGGGGGGGGGGGGTCTCCAGCTCTTGGACCCCCATGCAGCAGCATAATATCTCTGTAAACCATATGAAATGTGCCTCTGTAAACCATAGGAAGATGAGGGAGCAGCCCAATGGTTGGAGAGGGGGGGGGGTGGCAGTGATCCTCCCATTATGGGTCATCTGACCTTCCATTTATGGCATGTGGGAGATATACTTGATTTTAGTCAACATCGTGGGCATCATTTAAGGGCAGTGCTAGCGATTATTGATTGATTGATTGATTGATTTATTTATTTATTCTCTCTCTCTCTGTGAAATTGTGTCGACGATTTTGCAGGCTCACCTGCGAGGAAGATGAGGAGCGGGCCAGCCGGAAGAACTACCGGGGGTGCGCCCGGTCGCCGCGGTGCAAGGGCTGCACCGCCTGCGTCTGCTTTGGGTGCGACCTCTGCCGGTTCCCCGACTGCGCCTGCCAGACCTGCGTTGACTTCATGAGCAACGCCTGAGCCCACCCCCACAAACCGATCCAAGGTTAATCCATTCTTTTCGTGCTTGTTGGCGGTCTTCCCATCTTGATTCTTCGACCTCAGACCGTCGTCGACCGGAGTTTCATGTTCTTGTTCGGCCATTGAATTCCATTAAAGACTTGGATTCTTGTGGATCATATGGGTGGCTTCCATTGATGATAGATGCATGTGTTTGATTACATCTGTACGATAATCTCAAGTGCAGCAGAAGTCAATCGATCTGCGCATGTCGATCGATCTCGAGGGAGGGAGGGACGGGGTGGCCTGGTTCTTGGTGGTCATCTATCTGTCCGTAATCGGAATGAGGAAAATTTACAAAAGAATCAAGAACCCTGACCGCCGCGGGTGATCAGCCGAGTTGCAGAGGTGATGCCTGCTCCGGGGGCTGGATCAGGAGTCTGTTTCTGAGGCGGAAGTCTGAGCTGCGGCGTCGGCAGGTCGGAGCCTGCGCCGCCGTCCTCGGCGAGCGTGGTCGATGGCGGTGATCAGGGAGCTTCCCAGGTCGCACAGGCTGCTCCGGCCCATCAGCTTCAGTCTGAAATCCTTGCACAGCAGGGAGAGTCTCGCGGCATCTTCTCCGCTCACCAGTTGCAGCTCCTCCGCCTGCTCTCTGGAGACGAATGTGTACAGATGCAGGGCTGATGAGGGGGTTAGGGCTCCGGCGATGGCCAGCGGGATGGTGATCCTCAGCAGCCCCACGGCCCTGGGGTCGTCCGCCTGCGAGGGATCAAAGACGAAGGAGAAGTTCCCCGAGGAGAGGTCGGGTTTCCGGAACAGATCCGCGAGGACGCCATGGCAGAGCTTCGAGCTCCTATGCAGGCACTTCTTCACCTCCATCTGCGCCGCGGCTCTGCTCCCCGAGACGCGGAGGATGGAGGCGGCCTCCCGCAGCCCGCTCAGAAAAGCGCCGTGCATGGTGGCCGGGTACTGCCGGCTGGTGGCCTCGCCGGCGAAGAACAGCCGCCCTCCGACGTTCTCTGCGAGAACGTCGTAGTCCCTGCCGGAGGAGCCGACCCTGATGTGGGAGTAGGAGCCACGGCAGAGGGGATCGCTCCGCCATCTCGTGCAGGCCGTCTGAATCGGGTCCGGCACATGGATGCCCTTCCGGCTGCAGATGCCTGCAGAGGAAAGACATGGCACAAGGGTCAGCGGAGCAGAGGAAGAGGACCAAGGGCTGGAGCTAGCAGACGGGTTTTACTACCTCGAAGGACGCCGAGAACGCGGTGGAGGGAGGTAACAGGATCAGCTTTCTCAAAGCCGACGGCGGCCTCTCCGGCGACCAGGGCGATGATGACGGGGCCTCCGGCGACGGTGTGATAACAGTAGAAGAGGAAGAACTCCCCGCGCCGGCGACTCTCCTGGTTCAAGCAGCCGAAGGTGTCCGTGTCCTCTCCCCAGAAGGCGTAGGGAAACACCATGGCGATCTTGTTCAGCAGACCGAAGCCCAGCCTGGCGATGGCCTCCAGCTTCCGAGGCGGCAGTGGAGGGTCGAAGCTCAGGGCGCCGCTCTTCAGTACGCCCAGCGGGACCGTGCAGAGCGCCATGTCCGCCAGAAAGCGCTGGTCTCCGGCGACGACCTCCACGCCGGAGTCCCCGTGCCTGATGCTCGTCACCGTCTTCCCGTACAAGATGGGGACGTCGGCGGCCATTGCGTGGATCAGCCTCCAGTTCCCTCCAGCAAGGAAGCAGTGGTCGCCGCCCATCTCGTAGGGGTCGTCCTGGTCCCAGTACGCCAGCGAGAGGTCCGATAGGCACCCCGCGTTGGCGTACTCGAGGTTGGCGAGGTGCCAGTCGAGGAGCTCCCTCTCCTCGTGGCTCTTCGCGACGCCGTACAGCCTCCGCAGAGTCTCCATGGCGGATCCCAGGGAGATGTCGCCGGCGGACTCCCCGATCCTCTCCCTCAGCTGGGAGGCCTTCTCCAGGAGCTTGTTGAAGACGGAGTCTACCGCCGCGTCCAGCTTCTGGTCGACGGCGGCGCCGTCGGGGCCGTACAGCGGGCAATTCTCCCACCTGATGTTGTGCAGCGGCACGCCCAGCTGCCTCGCCAGGACTCCGAGCGGGTTAGCGTGGATGCCAGTGATGACGCTCCCCCCGAGGTCGACGGCGACGGCGGCGCCGCCGGGACCGGCCATCTTCTGCGTGTAGACTCTCCCCCCCGGCCTGCCCCTCCCTTCCAGGACGAGCACCTTGAATCCAAAGCTCAGCAGCTGCCCAGCCGCCGCCAGCCCTGCCAGCCCCGCTCCGACGACGACCACCGATCGGTTCGGGTGCTCCTCCGCCGAGCTTCGCGACCGCGCCGCCGGCAAAACGCCGAAGTTGATATATCCCTGTTCGAGGAGGAAATCGAAGGCGCGGCACATCAGTGCGTCGTACTCTGCGCTCACCGTCTCCCTGATGCGCGGCTTGGTGAGGGACGAGCGAACGTCCTCCCGCCACCGGGCGAGGATGTGGTTGCGGAGGACGATGTAGTCGTTCTGGTTGGCGCCGGAGGGGAGCACACCGACGCGCAGCTCCTCCTCGGTGAGGGCGTCGATGGGGAACCCCAGGGAGAGCGCGATCATCGCCTCCGTCTCCGTCTCCCTCTCCCTCTCCTCCAGCGTCCGGTTGCGCCGCCGCCGGAGATTCGCCGGCCCGATGTGCTCCTGGAGCAGGTCGTCCAGCGCCGCCTCGTCATAGCTCCGGACCTTCCTGGCGGCGGCGGCGGCGCGGACCGACCGCCGCGGCGCCTCGCCGATCTTCTCCGGCGACATGGGAGGAGGACGAAGAAGCTTTTCTAGGGTTTTCGCCGAGAAATGCGCGCAGGTCCCAGATAGAGACAGAGACCGAGAGAGCGAGATAGAGAGAGAGAGAGAGAGAGTAAGCTTAACCGCGAAGAATCTTAAATAGGCACACGAGCGACCAGACCTTCTTCGAACATGAAAAGGGGCCGGGGAGGTGACCGTGTTAACTAATCCCGCTGGATCGCGTGATTAAGACGGTAATTATCGATAAATATAGAGTCAATAATTGGACGTTTTCCATAAAACCCTCCCTAATTATGTACTAACTCAACCAGCTCTTCTGTTCCAGAAGGACCAGGAGGAGCAGGAGCAGGAGGGGCTTCTTCCTCCTCCAACGAGCTGCCGCCATGACCGATCAGGAGGGAAGAAGAAGTATCTTGCCAGTGTGGGCGCTGCTCTCCATCAGTCGGTGGGCCTCCGCCGCCTGCGCGAGGGGGAAAGAGCAGTGGATCACCGGCCTCACCCTCCCCGCCTCCACCGCCGGCCAGACCTGCTTCTCCACCTCCGCCACGATCCTCGCCTTGTCCTCGATCGCTCTCCCGCGCAGCCCCGCCGCTGCACAGAGAGGGAATCCGTTGGGGCCGCCGCCGCCGCCGCAGAGATCCAGATCGTAGCAGTTCTCGATCTGCAAGCGGGGTACTCACCTTGGACGGTGAGACGCCTGGCGAGCAGGGGCCCGAGGTTGGCCTGTGTGGTGTTTCCTCCTTGGAAGCCGATGATGAATAGCCTCCCGTCCACGCCCAGGCTCTCGAGGTTCCTCTGGAAGTAGGGGCCGCCGACGTTGTCCAGGATCACATCGACGCCTACGGAGAGGAACGGGGAAGAACAAACAGTTCAGGAATCCAGATCGCCGCCGACGGTGGCAACCAGAGTGCGACGGCCGATAGATGGAGGAAGGACCTTTGCCGCCGGTCTCCTCCTTCACCCGCGCCACGAAGTCCTCCGTCTTGTAGTTGATGCAGACGTCGGCGCCGAGATCCTTGCAGAAGGCCAGCTTCTCCGCGCTCCCTGGTGAGCAAGCAAGAAAGTAAGAAGGCAGACAAAGATCTCACACGGGACGCGATAGAAAGAAAATGTTTGACATATCAGCAGCAGAAAATTTCTACTCCAAACGAAGAATTTCTTCCCAGCGGCGGAGCACCTGCGGTGACGAACACCTTCGCGCCGATGTGCTTCGCAATCTGTATCGCAAATGTCCCGATCCCGCTGGAACCGCCGTGAACCTTCAGAGATTCCCGACAGGAATGAGAACGAGGATGTAGCGGAGATGTTTTCCCCAATTTAATTCGGGGTAAGAAGCAGATGATCGAGGCAAATCGTCCAGGACCAGGAAGGACTCCCCCGGCGAAAGGCGACTGGTCATGAACACCGTCGACCAGACTGTGCACGCCACTTCTGGAAGTCCGGCTGCCTCCGTCAGGGAGACTCCAGAGGGCAAGGGGAGGACCTGCCCCGCCGGCACCGCCACCTTCTCCGCGTATCCTCCTCCGGCGAGCAAGGCACACACCTGCGGAACCAGGAACCAATAAACATGCCACCCATCTCTCACGTTCTCCTCCATTAATCGAGACCGCGCCGAGCACGAGAACATCCTCTGAGATTCCTGACCCGCTTACCTGATCACCGATCGTCCATCGCTTAACGCCCTTCCCAACGGCCTCAACAACGCCGGAGCACTCGAGGCCCAGGTACGGACTAGCGCCGGGGGGCAGCTGGTAGGCCCCCTTCCTCTGCAGCGTATCGGTACGGTTGAGGGCCGTCGCCGTAACCCTAATCAGGATCTCACCGTCCCAGGCGGCGACGTCCTCAACCTCCCGGAGCTGCAACACCTCCGGCCCGCCGGAGGTTGTGATTACCACAGCCTTCATCGCAGGAAGCAGGATATCTCAGTCTATCTCCAACCTTCGGCTTCCCCCGCGACCCCCGGTTGAAGAGATCTGAGAGTAGGCGGAGCGGGAGGAGGAAGTAGGAGGAGCTTATCGCCGCAGCGTGGAAGGAGACAACACCCGAATCGCGGCCTCCCACAAGCTGCCACGTTCGGATTAAGGAGAAGAGAACCGAGTCAGAGTGTTGACTCATTAAGCTGAGGATTTCAACGTCTACTGTTCGACGATTTGCTGGCGAGAGAATTTCACAAGGATGTGAACAGAGGAGGCAGGGGAGAACCCACCTGGTCAACGCTCAAGGTACAATCCATTGGCGCCGGAAGCTAAATTTCTGACGTGATTTTTCTCACTGTGAAAGTCAACCACCGTCGTCTGGGGAAGTCGGCGGAGCTCGCTGGCAAGCAGACGTACGAATCGACACCCCCGACGAGGCCTCCAGGAGCTTGTTGGAGACGGAGTCCGCCGCGTCCAGCTTCTGGTCGACGGCGGCGCCTTCGGGGGCGCACAGCGGGCAGTTCTCCGACCTGATGTTGTGCAGCGGCACGCCCAGCTGCCTTGCCAGGACTCCGAGCGGGTTGGCGTGGATCCCGGTGACGGCGGCGCTCCAGGGCCGGCCATAATCTGCGTGTAGACTCGCTCCCCTGGCCTTCCCCTCCCCTCCTAGACGAGCACCTTGAATGCGACGCTCAGCAGCTATCCTGCCGTCGCCAGCCTCACCAGCCCCGCTCCAGCGACGACCATCGATCAGTTCAGGTGCTCCTCCACCGAGCTTCGCGACCGCGCCGCCGGCAATACGCCGAAGCTGATGTAACCCTGTTCAAGGAGGAAATCGAAGGCGCGGCACATCAGCGCGTCGTACTCTGCGCTTATCGTCTCCTCGATGCGAACCTCAATGAATAGCTCTTATTTAGCTCCTTTTCTTTCTCGGTGGACCCAGTAATGCGAGGAGCCCATCAAGACTTTCCTCTACAGCTTTCACCTTGCCCTCAAGGGGAAACTTAGAGAAATTCTGACAAGTTATTTAGCAGATTACTAAGTTGTTGTTGACTCCGGATAACTGAACCATTGAAATGAGAACCACGAAGCCTGAATGGGAGAGACAGGTCTAATCGCCTGATTGAGTTGGGAACGTGGAAAGAATGGCCAATAATCTGTAAGCCATTTTACCCAAATTCACTTGAAGTCATAGTTTCACATAGGGTGGTTGTTTGAGCGAGATGAATCACTATTCTGGGCAATTGTAAAAAAAACATCTTAAATAAGCCCCAAATGCTGCAGTTAACGAAGGTGACCTAAGACCCAAAATAATTATGTACAAAAAGAGCTCATAAAAATTTGATCTCTATTCGTAATTATCAACACCTGAATGTCACGTAATCTGACCATGTCTCAAATGAAAAAATGGGCACTTCTTGCGTAATAAATGAATGCTTTATACTGAAAAAATGAGCATATTTGTTGACACGAGCTATGACAATTAAAATTGAGCTGAATTCCTCTGATTTAAGCAAGCCCTCAGCAAAAGTTATTATTGTATCTTCCCAAATGATAGAATAATGTATTTAAACTTATTTTTCTGACAAATTGGGCAGGCCACAATGTATCCTTCCATATGAGTTTTCATTCAGACCCACATTATATTTTGCTCCATTTGTTCCTAGGTGCGAAAGAAACCTTAATGTATTCCCACAACTTTGTCATGAAATTCCTATAAAATAAGAAAAATAATTATGAAATGGAGTAATAGGCCCTTGTTGTAGGCTATACAAAGGTTTCTTTACAAGGTGATTATCTAATTTGGTCAAAATGTTTGACATGTGAAGATTAGCCTAATTCTCTCGCACAATTTGCTCTATATCTAGTGATTCTCATGTGCACAATTTACCATACAAATCTCATGTGCTGAAGCTCTAATGGGGAGAGTATTCAAGATAATGCATCCTCACCTCTATTCTTAAAATTTTAAACAAAGCTTAAAAATTTAGACAAAAAATCATGATAATTGAGAAGATAATGCTTCTAATTAATATTGGTGAGAATAATTGACATCAACTTCTTCAAAGAATGAGATTGGTCTTCCACCCCCTTGCATAAGGCATCCATTTTGAGCTCAAATGAATAATTAAAATAAAGAAGAGCTAAAAAGCTGTTGGATTCTAGTTAAACACAACACATTGTTAGAGTTAAATTAATGTCAAGCTATAGAACCATGTCTCTTGATAAAAGTGACAATAATATCTCATTAACTTAAGAAATTTGTGAAGTTCCTTAAGGGTTATCATAAAAGCCTATTATAACATGACTTTCACCTTATTTGTGTTTATCATTGAAAACATGGTGACCCAAATAATCAATCTTCACCTACTCAACATCTTGAAGACTAAAGTGTTATTCATGGGTAATTTGATTTACATTACAGATGAATATGCCATCAAAAAATACTAACACAAATCAAAACACAATCTTGTGCACATCATCATTTCTTTAACTAATTTTGAGCTAGTTGGATCCTAAGTCTAATTTAGAAAAATGACTGTACCATATACTTTATCAAAATAATTCCTCCACAATTGGAATATGAAATCAGCTGGAATTCAATGGTTTATTAAGCACACAACCTTTGAGTCAAATAATGTCGAGCTCAAAAAGGTTGTTAGAATGTTGTTAAATTTAATTTTTAAATTCAAAGCTCAAAATTTTAGACAATCATTTTCTAATAATTTAGAAGAAACTCTAGTTCAAAATATATTTAGTCTTTGCTAGTCTATAAAGATTACGGATTTGAATAATTACCATCAACTTTATGTCATAATTTCTCTTAGAACTCAAAGCCTAACTAAGGCATAATGCTTCTTTTTGGAATGAGATTGGTCTTCTATTTTCCCTTTGGCTAAGACATTCACTTCGAGCTCAAATGACTAGTTAAAATCAAGAACATTCCAATTAAACACAACATTCCAATGAAATGGCAATAATATCTAGTTAACCCAAGAAATATGTGAAGTTCGTTCACAATTTTCACCTTATCTAAGTCTATTATTACTTCATCATTGATAACCTAGTGACCCAAATAAGAAATCTTCACCTACTTGAAGATGTTTTATTTGGGTTGATGTGTAGTTGATTAAAACTACAGATCTTCAAGACTTGCAATAAGTGTTATTTAATAGATTAAGATGTCATAAAAAAACACGATTTCTGCACATAATTTCTTGAATGAAGAAAACTTTACCATAAGTCTATTTTAGAAAAAAATGATTGCACCATATAATTCATCAAATAATTACTCCCCAATTGGAATATGAAATCGGTTGGCAATCATGGCTTTATTACGTGCAAATAATCTAACATAATCTTTGAGTTTTATCTTTAATCTATTTGAAACATCTTATTTAGAAAAAAAATCAGTTCTTCTTTTTTAGAAGTAAAAGTACCTAAATCAACTTATTTTGATGGCTAAGAGTTAAGCTAGTCTCCTAGAAAAAAAAAGTTATGATAAATATGAAATAAAATAAAATAATATACTAAAAAAATATGAAATAACCTACCAAGCTCAAAATTTAGACTTTGCTGGTTTATAAAGATTATGAATTTATGTTGGCATGAATAATTGCGTTCAATTTATAAATCAGGTTTATATTGACTGACCATTGGCCATCAACTTTAGGCTATTATTTCTTCTAAAGTGTTAATCTCATTATTTGGTAAAATAAGACACAACATGGTGTGGCAAGATCTAATATAAAGTTAGAATTTCATGCAATGACACAAGGAATCTATGAAGTATTATATGTGAAAAGAATCTTAGAGGATTTGAGGATCAAATGATATGAACCTATCAAGCTATATTGTGACAATAAGTCAGCTATCAACATAGTTCATAATTCAGTACAATATGTTTAAATAAAACATGTGAAAATAGATTGACACTTAATTAAGGAGAAATTGGAAAGTAGAATTATATGCACATCATATGTTTTAACTCACGATCAAGTTATATATGCACATCGTATTGACTAAAGGGTCGAATGGGGCAACTTTCCTTCGACTTATATCCAAGTTAAGATTGGATGATATCCTATCATCATTTTGAGGGGAAATGTTAGAGGCTACAAGTCAAATTTAGTGCAAGTGGATCCGCCAAGATGAATCCAACCCAAACATTTCTATTTCAGAAATGAATTTAAAATATTTTTCCTTTTCTTTATCTCTTGTCTAACCCTAGAGCTCAATGGGTCTCACTTCAGTAATAGTGGAGGGCATCAAGTCTTGAGACAGTAAAGAGCTTTGACACTTGATGTTCATGATAAATTGGCAGCTACAACCTGATCATGAACGTTGTTGGGGTTCATCTGATCACCCCTTTCACCCTGGTTATGTAGATGTGGATGATGGTGAGATTCTTCTGGAGGCTGAGCATCTGTGATATGACATTGCCATGGTGAAGTGGACTATTAGTGCAACTCTTCCAAGGATTGAATAGTGACTCCTAACTATTGGTTGATAGCTGAAATTTCCTGAGGATTATCTTGATGACTGGGCAGCAGAGTTGCTGTATATTGCTGTTAATTTTATCCAAGTTCTTCCAGCTCTTGTTCCAGCAATTCCATCTTAATTATGCACTAACTCACTCGACCAGCTCCTCTGTTCCAGGAGGAGCAGGGAAGGAGCTTCTTCCTCCAACGACGATCTGCCGCCATGACCGATCAGGAGGGAAGAAGAAGTATCTTGCCAGTGTGGGCGCTGCTCTCCATCAGTCGGTGGGCCTCCGCCGCCTGCGCGAGGGGGAAAGAGCAGTGGATCACCGGCCTCACCCTCCCCGCCTCCACCGCCGGCCAGACCTGCTTCTCCACCTCCGCCACGATCCTCGCCTTGTCCTCGATCGCTCTCCCGCGCAGCCCCGCCGCTGCACAGAGAGGGAATCCGTTGGGGCCGCCGCCGCCGCCGCAGAGATCCAGATCGTAGCAGTTCTCGATCTGCAAGCGGGGTACTCACCTTGGACGGTGAGACGCCTGGCGAGCAGGGGCCCGAGGTTGGCCTGTGTGGTGTTTCCTCCTTGGAAGCCGATGATGAATAGCCTCCCGTCCACGCCCAGGCTCTCGAGGTTCCTCTGGAAGTAGGGGCCGCCGACGTTGTCCAGGATCACATCGACGCCTACGGAGAGGAACGGGGAAGAACAAACAGTTCAGGAATCCAGATCGCCGCCGACGGTGGCAACCAGAGTGCGACGGCCGATAGATGGAGGAAGGACCTTTGCCGCCGGTCTCCTCCTTCACCCGCGCCACGAAGTCCTCCGTCTTGTAGTTGATGCAGACGTCGGCGCCGAGATCCTTGCAGAAGGCCAGCTTCTCCGCGCTCCCTGGTGAGCGAGCAAGAAAGTAAGAAGGCAGACAAAGATCTCACACGGGACGCGATAGAAAGAAAATGTTTGACATATCAGCAGCAGAAAATTTCTACTCCAAACGAAGAATTTCTTCCCAGCGGCGGAGCACCTGCGGTGACGAACACCTTCGCGCCGATGTGCTTCGCAATCTGTATCGCAAATGTCCCGATCCCGCTGGAACCGCCGTGAACCTTCAGAGATTCCCGACAGGAATGAGAACGAGGATGTAGCGGAGATGTTTTCCCCAATTTAATTCGGGGTAAGAAGCAGATGATCGAGGCAAATCGTCCAGGACCAGGAAGGACTCCCCCGGCGAAAGGCGACTGGTCATGAACACCGTCGACCAGACTGTGCACGCCACTTCTGGAAGTCCGGCTGCCTCCGTCAGGGAGACTCCAGAGGGCAAGGGGAGGACCTGCCCCGCCGGCACCGCCACCTTCTCCGCGTATCCTCCTCCGGCGAGCAAGGCACACACCTGCGGAACCAGGAACCAATAAACATGCCACCCATCTCTCACGTTCTCCTCCATTAATCGAGACCGCGCCGAGCACGAGAACATCCTCTGAGATTCCTGACCCGCTTACCTGATCACCGATCGTCCATCGCTTAACGCCCTTCCCAACGGCCTCAACAACGCCGGAGCACTCGAGACCCGGGTACGGACTAGCTCCGGCGGGCACCGGGTAGGATCCCTTCCTCTGCAGCGTATCGGCACGGTTGAGGGCCGTCGCCGTAACCCTAATCAGGATCTCACCGTCCCCGACGGCGGCGTCCTCAACCTCCCGGAGTTGCAGCACCTCCGGTCCTCCGGGGCTCGTGATTACCACAGCCTTCATCGCAGGAAGCAGGGTATCTCTGACCTTCGGCTTCCCCTGCCACTCCCAGTTGATGAGATCGGAGAGTAGTCGGAGAGGGAGGAGGAAGCAGCAGGAACTGAATCGCCGCGGCGTGGAAGGAGATAACAGCCGAATCGTGGATCTCTACGTGGTCCTCCCACAAGCTGCCACGTTCGTTACGGACAAGAGGAGCGAGTCAGCGAGTTGACTCGTTAACCTGAAGATTTCTACGTCTACGGTTCGACGATTTGCTCGCGACAGAATTTCAGAAGGATGTGAACAGAGGAGGCAGGGGAGAACCCACCTGGTCAACTCTCAAGGTACAATCCATTGGCGCTGGAACCTAAACTTTGGCGTTTTCATTGGGAATGTCAGCCACCGTCATCCGGGGAGGTCGGCGGAGCTCGCTGGCAGGCAGACGTGCGGAGGACTTCAAGCTTTCAATGGCTCCGCCCCCTGAGGAGAAGATGGATAACAGAAGGCGTGTACGTGTTGTCGTCACGCCATCCACCTCCGCCGCAACGACGACCTCACCGACGGCGGTCCTTCTGCTGGCGAACGAAGGGGAGCTGCTTCACCGGGTCGTCCGCCGGAAAGCTCGAAGTTCGCCGGCGGTGGGAAACCGGATGCTTGCACTCAAGGGAAAGCTCGAGTATTTGCGTATACTGAGCTCCTACCCTATATCATCCTTCCCCCCAGAATCCCCGAGAGAGGAGAGAAGAAACAGCAGCAGTAGCAGCAGAAGAAGAAGAAGTAGAAGATGGTCTCTCCGCCGCCGGCGCTCCTCGTCTTCTTCCTGATACTCGCTGCGTCGGCGCCTGGAGGTCGCGCTTGGAGCAAGGAGGGGCACGTGCTTACGTGCCGCATCGCTCAGGTAAGGGAAGTCGACTCAAATTCGGAGCAGAGCAAGAGAGAGCAGGAGCTCACACCAGAGAATTCATGTCTAGGCAGGCGTTGCTTGAGCCGGAGGCAGCCGATGCCGTCAGAAATCTGCTGCCGGATTACGCCAGCGGGGACCTGTCGGCCCTCTGCGTCTGGCCGGACCAGGTCCGCCACTGGTACAGGTACAGGTGGACGAGCTCTCTCCACTTCATCGACACCCCCGACGAGGCCTGCAACTTCGACTACTCCAGTGAGTCCCCCCCAGGGCCACCTCTCTCTCTCTCTCTCTCTCTCTCTCTCTCTCTCTGAATTCAATCGTCTCCACAGGGGACTGCCGGGACGAGAAGGGAGAGCCGGACAGGTGTGTCGCCGGCGCCATCTACAACTTCACCTCTCAGCTGCTGCACTACAACCACGGGACCGCCGACCGACGCTGTAATTTATCCTCATCTCCGCCATCTCCTCTGGGCTCCGCCTGAATTTCTGACCCCCTCGGGCTTCTCCCTGCAGATAATCTCACAGAAGCCCTGCTCTTCTTATCTCACTTCATGGGCGACATCCACCAGGTACACAGTGAGACTGCACGCAATCTCTCTCTTTGTCTCTCTCTCTCGCTCGCTCTCTGCGCGTGGTTCTGACCGGCTGTCTTCTTCTCCGCAGCCCATGCATGTCGGGTTCACGGGTGACGAGGGAGGGAACACCATTCAGCTGCGCTGGTTCAACCGCAAGTCCAACCTGCACCATGTGGGTCTCTGCAGCTGAGCATCATCTTCCATTGATGAGTGTAGTATAGATCTTCTTTTAATCCTGAATCTTCTACGATCTTCTTGCTGTGGGTTGATGGTGGGCAGGTCTGGGACCGGGACATAATCCTCACTGCCCTGGCGGACCTGTACGGGAAAGACATGGACGCTTTCCAAGCGGATATCCAGAAGAACTTCACCACTGTAAGCACCCACCCCCACCCTTGGTGAGGAGGCTATGGAGCTCAACAAGGTCTGATTTTGCATTTTTCCGGGGCTCCCCTTGCAGGGCATCTGGTCGGAGGACCTCTCCTCCTGGGGCGACTGCGACGACCTCTTCTCCTGCCCCAAAAAGTTAGCCACCCCCCACATCTCTCTCTCTCGCTCGCTCTCTCCAGCTTTAGACGGTCTGTGATGTACAGGTACGCGTCGGAGAGCATAAGCTTGGCATGCAAGTGGGGATACGGAGGGGCCGTCGGAGGAGAAGCTCTGGGAGGTAAGTCAATCATCGTCGCCGCTGGGGGAGGGGAGGTGGGGGGGGAGGAGATGTTTGGCTGGGTCAACGGGACTGACTGAGGAGGGGCTTGTTGATCGGTATGCAGAGGATTACTTCAGGACGAGGATGCCGGTGGTGGCGAGGCGGATTGGGCAGGGCAGCGTGAGGCTGGCGATGGTGCTTAACCGGGTGTTCGGAGATAACAAGCAAGACATCCCCCCGCCCGCCTGAGACCGGGAAAAGTCAATATTCCTCAGAAAAGGTGTGGCGTCGAGTTGACGAACTTTCACTGGTTGATCACGAGATTTATCTATCCTATCCCCTGTTTGACTTCTGAATTCCATGTTCCCCCTACCTCTAACTCTCTTTCTCTCTCCCCCCTGTACCCCCTCACGTTAGATCACTGTGACGGGGTATCGCTTGCAGCAGAAATCTGTATACACCCTCGCAAGGAGAAACCACACTCTTCTATAAGGGGGAGAGAGAGAGAGAGAGAGAGAGCGAGAGAGAGTCAAATTGGGACAAGGCTCTGAGGATCAAAGCTCGAGCAATATGTAAACTTAGACGCGATATGTTCTTTCTGTGGCAGCATTCCTGGCTCACACGGCACGTCGTTCACAATTTATTTCGATAGATAGAGATCCACAGAGAACGAGAGAGAGAGATAGAGAGAGAGGAGTATCCCGACTGACGTGCGAAGAGATTATACAGCTCAGGCCCTCATCGATCACAAAATTAGGGCCTCGGAACAGTCAACTTTCTGAGATTCTCCGCCTGCCCCCTCGCGAAGAACACCATTCCTTTCCTTTCCATTCCATTCCATTCCACTCCACAGGCGCGCGCAATATGTACATCGCCCCGGCGTTACTTACAGAGCATCCATCCCATGAATCGAACGCCTGCGCGCGTTCTAAGGTTTCTCTTCCTTGTGGGAAGGAGGATCAGTCCTGGAGGGCGAGATTCAGCTCCACCGAACGCCTCGCGATTGACCCACCCTTCCTGCGCCGAAACACCATAATCAATCAATCACAGGGAGGACCAAGTGGAAGCCATCTCGGACACGTTTTCAAACAAGTCAACGGGGGGTGGGAGGGAACTCACTTGATCAGAGAAGGGAGATCTTGCTTGACGGTTTCCAACTGGGTCAAGCACAGCCGGCAACGATCCCGCCTGCGGCCAGCGCCCAGAAATCGAAAATTTTAGCGGGGTCAGCGTTTGGGTAACTTCGATCTACGGTGAAGGTCTGAGAAATTTCGGAGGTACCTCTGCTCTGCCTGCAGGTCAACCCCCACGGGTAGGGATGAGGACCCCGTCGACCGCACTACCGTCCCGAAGACTCTCACGAGTTTCAACAGCATTTCCAGAGCGATCTCGATGTGCCTGCGAACCAGACAGAATCCATGAAAGTCAACCGCAAGTGACGTAAATATCCATCCATGCCACTTGAAGATGTTCGATCCAAGGGAGAAAAGAACAGTTTCCTTTAGTGGAATGAGATGCGGGAGACTCTCTGACAAATGATGCCGTCTAAGCTATGGGAGTCAGATGAGAGAGTGAGTGAGTGAGTGAGTGAGAGAGAGAGAGAGAGAGAGAGAGAGAGAGAGACTCAACGCACGGCTTAATCTGGGTTCGGAGAGCCATTACCTTTCAGTCTTGCTGCTGAGTAAACCAGCGAGAAGCGGCAACAGTAGAGAGAAAAGATCCAGGGTGAAGAGCTCGATCTTCTCCGTAAGAGTGCTGATCACATCTACTTGAACCTGCACAACACCATGAGCAACAGACTTCAAAAATTACTGAAAAGCCTTTCCTCTCTCTCTCTCTCTCCCCCTTTCTCTCTCTTCCTATTCTAAGCGAGAAAGGACAGCCAATGGATGGTGGCTGCAAAGCTGAAAAGCAAATCGACTGCGGGCACTCCGAGATGAACACGCACAGAATGGTCGGGTAGCTTCACAATGGCTGCAATTGCACCCTTCACGCCGCTCTCTGTCCACAAGTGCCGCACCATCTGCAATGATCGGATCAGGAACTGTTCCATAATCTTTGCATAATATTACGAAACAGGCTCAGAAAGGCCATCCAAGTATGATAAATAGGGGTGCCTAGACCTCGATAAATAAATCATGAATAAATCGAGAGAGAGAGAGAGAGAGAGAAGCCTGTAAGGGAATGGTGTGATTTTTCTTCTTTTTTCTTTTTTGATTCATACATCAATCACAGCCATCTGCTCTTACGACGAGGACAAGTCCCAATCTCCATGAGAGAAAGTTTCGGCATTAAATGTTTCCTGGAGGGCTTTTTCTCGTGCCAGATGCAGTTTACCCAAGAAATCTGGACTACGGTCACTGTGGTATCAAAGATAGAAAATCACTCCGGCAACAAGTACTCCACTTCTAATCTAAAGCAATCTCATCAGATTTACGACAGGGAGCAATGTCATAAAGAATAAGAACTGAAAGTATGAGGTGACCTGCAATTCCTAATTTTACTTTTTTTTTTTTTGGTGTTTGCTTTCTGCTTGCAAGCGCATGTTCTAGGCGAAGTCAGAGAGAGAAGGCCCGGAGATGGGGACACTGCCAACACAAAAAAAATGCATAAATATGCCTAGAACAAACCAGGAGTAGATCGACTCACCTGTAACTTTGTTAGCCGAGACTTCAAAATGTTTATCAAGGCATCGTGGGTCTGAAGAAGAGTATTAGAGCAGCCGTCATCATCGGATCTCAAGTCCCTTTCTGTCATCTGAGCGGTGTTGCTCTGGATCGTGAAAAATTATGGAACCCCAAGAGATAGATGTTCAGAATATGGTTAGTATCATTTACATTAAACTTAAAGCCAACCTATTTTATGCCAAAATACCAATACACCAAAATTGTGGCAAATGCGTGCCAGAATCGAGATAAGTAGAACGGGAGCAATAGGAATAGTATCCAAAAAAAATTGAAATATGCAGCCAACCTTTACGAAGCATTTTTTAAGATGCAGCCAACTTTCAGATGAATAGGAAATAGAAGTAATAATCAGAGATTTGCGACTGCCTTGGATCATATCATGACACAATGCCACCATCATCCAAAGAGGGCCCTCCTCTCTACACTGATATCAGTCACTTTTTTCTTTCCTCTTCTTGTTCTTGTGGGAGAGCAAACCAGTTTGTATCCCCGGATTTCAATGAGAATCCAAACATTGGGTCGATTCTGTCTCCTATGAATGCAGTCAGCATCGTTTGGAAAAGATCCCAAGGCCTCTTATTAGGCAGGCAGTAATGCCAACCCAGCTAGCTGTATGACAGGAGACCAAAGAGATCTGAAGAGCAAGAGTCTCCAATGTCCGGAGTTCAAGGCATCCTAACCAGACAACCTCTGCCTTCTCTTGGGCAAGCATTGGTATGCTATCAACTAGGACCCAGCTCTACTACTTCCTCCGAAATTCAGTCAGGTAGGAGGATTGGAAAATATGATGATGATGATGATGCTACATTGATGGCATCTCGTTGCGGTTAAATCCTTTGGAAACTGTCCAAAAGCACATATTTCCAGGCCCCAGGCTAATAAGGCAATGCATTTGATTGACCGGTAAACACGGTTAACAAAACACGTAATCCTTCTGCCAGTTTTCGAATTAGACAACCAGTTTGAATAGGGCAGACAGTCGAGTCAATTCGTTGCCTTCGATACAAGATTTGGGACGTCAGTATTGGGCAGACAGCAGGCTGAAATTTAATAGCTAGCCTTTCTCACTTGGTCATTCATGTCCTACTTCGGACCCCAGAAAACAGGATGCAGTTCTAACATTCTAAATGAAACCATCCCCAAATTAAGATCGAGGGCACGAACGTAATCATTACTTAAAACTTCACACAACAGAAACTATATTCCCCTGCCAAAACAGCTGGCAGAAATCATATGATCTCTCCACAAAGACTTTGACAGATGTTCTGATTAATGGGCTTCTCAATAAAATGGGCCACAAGAGAAAATAAAAAAAATTATAATTTTTTTTAAGTACCCCATTAACACAACTGCATGTCCCGACATATGGCAAACCCACAAGATGTGGATGATGAGTATTAACGCAATCTTTCGCCACTCACTGATACAGTGTTGCAGAAAGAGCCAAACACCAAAGGACACCTATGACTGCTCTGTGAAAACAGTAGAGTGACAAGAGAATAAAGGCCCAACCAATTTAATCAGCTGGCTTGGAGAAGTCAAAACGCGGTTAACATACTCCGTTTGCATCCTTTTCAATCAATTCATAGAAAATAAATGCGGTGACAGAAGCTGCATACCATGCTAGATGCCATGCCATTACTTTCAGATGGCAGGGTTGAGGAAAACTTATTAACAGAGGTAGAGCTTTCTCTAAATTTCTCCCAACTCTCCACTAGAGACCGTGTCCTTCCATGTCGAACTGCAACTGGAGAATGAAATACAACATCAGCCAATTTTTTCTCCAAAATTTATTATTATCAACCACTTTCCCAAGAACGTATAAAAAAGTGAAAGGGGAAGTATCTGGAGACCCACCTCCCCCGGCATTTTTGACTGGGGCTTTTTCAGTAGAGGAACAGAGAGACTCACTGCCTATAAAAAACAATTCACATGAAATTATTGGCGTTTATACCAAAAGCTCCACGAAACTTGAGAAACGAAAAGATAGACAGCCTATTCCAGTAGTGGAAAAGGGAAATATATGGATACCCACCTCCTCCGATATTTTTGGCTGGGGCTTTTTCAGTAGAGGAACAGACAGACTCACTACCTATAAAAAATAATTAACATGAAGTTATTTGTACATTTACCAAAATTCCACAAAAATTGAGAGAAGGCCGACAGAAAGCATTATATTCCCGCAGGCAAAAGATGATTTAATGCACAATAAGTATAAAGAGAACCCTAATTTCAGATTTGCATCTGAGTTTATAAGACAGTGCAATGCAATAAAAATCTTTTCAAATCAAAAGCCCCCTTGAATCGGTGGGACATGAAAAACTGTGTACATTGCCAGAGGGGAATTGCAAGTCCATAGCACATATGAGGCAGAAGACCTTACAGAATGAAACATGTACAAAGTAACAACTCCACGAAAAGAAATCCTTTAAATATCGTTCAATCTCATGTGTAGTCCCTAAACTCGCCAAGATTTAGACAAACCTTCGTTCTAAATTGAGGTATGTTATCGTCCTATACATACATACATACATATATATATGTATATATGAGGTCTCCCAATTAGTTGATTGTAGTACCCCACAAGGCTTAGCCAAAACAGACAATGGCTCCATATTAGGAACACAAATATGCCTAACTGATTTTCGTACATCAGCAGAGATACTAGCCAAACTGCTCATACGAGTAAACACCCCACACACCACCCCTATCCACGACTCTCAATCATGCACGTTAACAGAACAAGTATAATGGGGGCTTCCTCACACAAATGATGACATGTAGTTTTCCATGTAGATAGATGCTACACCGGTGCGACTGAACAGGCAATACAGCCAACAGCCCACCAACGTAGCTACTTTATTAATCAGTGAAGACCATATACGGGCAAGTACCCACGTGTATCTATGTACAACTCAGACGCTTCAATGTTACAAATTAATTTTAATTACGAGACGACTTTGCTAAAATATATAACAGTAGAAGTACAATGAGGAAATCCTATTTGGGCTTCATCCTGCAGCATTCCACATTCAATACAAAAATAGACTCTCATAAATGGAAAAAAAAAAAACCATCACAGCTTTTGCAAGAAAACCCTAACGAATCATGTGCGTGTGAACAACTCTACCCTAGATTTCCTATGTGCTAAAAAGGTGTAGAGTCGTTGGGCTGCTGGCTTGCAGAAAGAACGTCAAATGCATGTTGAAACTAAAAGGTAAGGCCCTTAATGCATAGTTTTTGAATGGTGGGTCTTTCCAACACAACTTTTCCTGGGCACATGAAAATTTCCCAGTTAATCATTTAACAAACTTCTCAACTATAATCAGAATAATTAAAAGCACCATCAGCATACTATGTCCTGTGACGAAAATACAAAAAGTCCCCACCTTAAATATTAAAAATTCGAAAAACATGAAGAAAACAAGGGACTAACCTTCATCATCGAGTGAATGGAAACTTTCCTCCGGGGACAAGATCCTTCCGAATTTCTCTGCAGCAATTCGGGTGCCAAAGCATTCCTTCTCGTCAACATCTGCAACTCCCTCATTTTCCGCACGTACAGAATGGAAATTTGAATCTGCTATCGCAACTGAACCATTAGTGGCAGCAGTCATTAATCCAGATCCATTTCCTTTTTTCTGGATCAAAGTGCCAATATTGTCATATGAGGATCTCCGCATGAGATTACTCTTGGATGACATATTGCCTAAAACATCAACCTCGTTACTAACGTCTTTTCTAGCAATAGCTGTATTAGGTAGGTTTGGACTTTCCCTGGGGATCACAACGGGCATAGTTACACGAGTATTCATCATTGGGGCCTTAGTTCCCCGATGTGAATCCAGAGAGACCTTTGTATTTGACGAATTCGTTACACCAGGTCCAATTGAGCGTTGAGTACCTCCCCTTAACTTAGAACCTGAACTTGTCCTCTTTGGAGTTCCTGAAAAGCTTTCTCCAGCTTTGATCTCACTTATTAAACTTGACTTTGGGGGAGACACTTTTGAAACAGCTTTGGCATCAAATTTTAGTGACGAACTGTCGCAACCAGCACTTCTAACATATTTTTTACCCGATGATGCTGTTGAATTCCTCAGGTTTATACTCGAAGTTTCAACGGATCCTGTGCTTAGTGAAGCACTTTCATCATTGTCACTTGCTTTTGACATAAAACATCAAAGATGAAAAAAAATCAATTTGTAGAAATTGGTTACCTAAACAAGTACAAATCTTCAAACAATCAAGATGATATCAAGCTTGAGATGTAATGTAAGCATGCCATGGATATATAATACAAATACTACTTTGTGTGAGTTCATGTAAATGATCAGAATGTAAATGTAAAAATATATCACTTACATGCCACATAAACACTTTTTATTGTCTCTTTGATTTCCTCTTGAAAATCCTCTACTTTCTCTTCCAACGTTGTTTTAGGTTTGAAATGGCCATCGTGACGAAATACATGACTTTCATCACAGTTGTACAGAGGCTCAGTCACACCGCTTGCCCTTGGCACCACGCCAATGGTATATGGCGAAATAAGCTGATCAGTAATCATGTGTCATTTCACGAGTACAAGGGAGAAATATAAAGATCAAAATATTGTGCAAAAAGATACACACCGAAATATCCGCAACCCACACACCAACAGAACTCTGATGATAGGAGCAACCCAAAAGTTTTCCCTCATAAATACTGAGGTCACCCAAAATGGACCACCTCATGTCGACAGCATCATGACATCTTAAGGGTTCCCATGAGAAAACCTACGGTGACCAAAAAAGGAAATTTGTAAACCGCCAACAGATGCCAGGTGAAAACAAAAACGGGTGAAACGTTCTACCTTCAAAGTCTCATCCAAACCGCAAAATAAGGCCTTTCCATCAGGGTGAAAGATCGTAGAACGCACCCCAGTCATCTTGGTAATCAAGCATAAATAATATCATTAAGAACTCAAAATAGCTAATACTAGCCATCAGAAAAAGGTGAATATTTTGAACAATTTTATATAGAACGTCAGGTGAAAGCACTTGATTTTCCTTTCCTCAATGGACCAAACAACTTCATAACACAGTTCTTCCATGATCAGTCATGGATAAATCAAGGTGGGGTATGCTTTTGTTAGCAAAAGATAGAACAAATACAGAACGAGCTGTTACTTCAAACTGAATTTCAACATAGCCACAATGGAGGGTAGGTCCACTGAAGTATCAGACCACAATAGAGATAGCAAGGAAAATCCAACAAAACCTTCTACATAAGATAGTTTGGGTGAATTTCTAAAAAAAATACTCTGACAAAATTCCAAAAGCAATGGTACCAACGTGGCAAAATTGAGTCAAGCTATTTTTACATTGGTGATATTAAATTAAGGTTTAGTAGATTGTTTTAGTTATATTAAATTAAGGATTTCTTGGAGATAGATAGGCTTTGACCAAATAACACAAAACCCAATCTAAAATAAGCTGAAGTGAGCAGATTCCTGCCCAACAAAGTTGATTCAGGTGTGGCTTTAGATAGATCTGAGCAGGTTGAGCTTGTACCGAGATAAACATATTCCAGATAGACGGGCACAGTTGACTCGTGAACCAGACCAACCTAATCAAACTACACTACTACGAAGTAATTCTAACTGTTAACAAAAGAACATCTCACATCAGTACAGTGGTCTTATGAAAAACGTTTTCAACGAGGCATGCACTGTTATAACCCTCGTCTAAGAGAAGAATTTATTCCAGTTTGATGATGAATGTATTGGACAGCAATGCAGCAACATGAAAACATCCATCGTGAGGAACTAAATGAAACCATTACATCTTTAAAACTTGAACTCAGACATTTTTAGAACGGCTAAAGTGATATTCAACTGTATTTCATTACTGAGTTATCAAACGCATCTGAGTGGGAAAATGGAGAACAACACATGCATCTCACAGGGAAATATTTCACATTGTTGAACAAAAGAATCTGAGCGAGTAAACATACCTCAGGTCCAGCAGATCCAATAAGTTCGAATGTTTCCAAGTCCCAGAATTTTACAGTTCGATCAGCTGAGCCTGAAAATAATCATAATTGACTGTTAGAAAAATGAAAAGTGACAACTTGAATAGCAAGTGCAGAGCCAAATGATCAACCACGATAATGAAAGCAAGAAACATACACTTAAATGAGAAAAGAGGAGAGACTTATGAAAAATCTTATTTCATTTTACAAGTTCAATTAAAAGAAGAAAATCGCTTGACAGAAATAAACACATTAAGCAAATCAAACTCTACTGATGACTGTTCACCTGTCACAGAATGAAGAATGAGAATACACCAAACAACAGTTTAACCAAAGATGGATCTAGGAATGATGACCATTATTGCCATGCCACCGTAACTGCCATCCAAGGAGACTTGCAATGGTGGAGAAAAACTTCTAAAGGCAAAAATTTTAAACGGCATTTATTTTCTCACAACTAGCTTAAAACTGGCTGATAATTATGATCCGGATTCTCTTCAATAAAAAATGATGCCCCTCCCAACCCACCCCCCCAAAAAAATAAATAACCATGGGCAAAGACAATGATTATTACATCATTCACTGACCATTATCGTTATTGCCCCAAGTCAATAGGAGGCAAATCAGCCTGATCTGACTTACCCAACAAAGAGGTTTAACCTGTTTCCTTTATAGGAATAAAAATAAGAATGAACAAGTTTTCATTTTTTTTCTGGACCTTAACTGTCGGATTATTATTTGATTGACACAACAGGTAATGAAAAAAAATCATAAAAAAATGCGTTGTCAAATAACAAGAACAATACCTGTGGCAAGAAGAAATTCATGGGGATGAAAATTAATACTCTGAATAGCCCCAGTATGGGCTTTAAATTCGTGTAAGAGCTTTCCAGCAGTCAGATCCCACAACTGAGAAAAAGTTCAACGGTAAATTACTTCAATTTTTCATCAATTAAATGAATAAGTTGGAAAAAAAGTTTGCGTAACCTAAGCTTCATTATCACCTTTACAACATTATCTTCTCCCCCGGAAACAACCCAGCGGCCATCTGGAGTGAACTTAATGTTTTTAATTGCTCTCGAGTGACCCTTGTATGTGTGTATGCATCCCTTTCGTCTGATATCCCATATCTTAAGATCAGCATCCACAGAACCAGATGCAAAAAATTCACCAAATGGATGGAACTCGACAGAGGCACAACTTGCTCTGTGCCCAGTAAGAGTACGAACAACTATATTCAGGAGGGAAAAAAATAAATAAATCAGAACTCGTCTATAACTAATCAAGAACTGGCCTTGCATTAGAGCATAAATGATAGCAGTCTAAAAAGTAGAAGAAGCTAATTCACAGGATCTGATCTCCAATTTATTTAAATGAACATTGTTGGTAATTGATGTCCACCAGTAGAGTTCACAACAAAAGAAAGAAGTTTTCTCTGTCTTTCAGGAAGGATACCATGCATCACTTACGGCATATCCCTTTCAAATCTCATAAAGATAGTCAATAGATGTCAATGCATGATATTCAAATTCAAACTTGCAATCAGATCCCAACACCTAACAACCAGCTATCTGAGGAGACAACTTTAAATTTTAGCACCATCGGAAAGTCAGCCACTGATTGGGAGTATCCAATTTTGGGAGGAGTATGGTTTCAACTCTAATCATGAATTTCCAGTTCTGCAAGGTCCAAGGATAGCTAACTCAAAAGAATATGATTCGGTTTTTACCCTCAGTTGGGAAATTTCGGTAAACTTGGCACAGAGACACTCACTTTTACCCTCTTCTAGGTCCCACAGCTTTATGGTGCCACTGTAAGCTCCTGCAAGGACCAATACCTCTGCCGAGTCAAATGTTACAGACTCTATTGAACTTGTATGACCTGAGAGGCTCTGAAGAAAAAAAACCATAGAATGCAAAATGAATTAAAATCAAATATCATAAATAACAAGTACAGCGCAAAAGATTCCATACAAGTGTTAGGAAACTGAACAATGGTCCAAAAGAGTTATAAGAACTAAGTTTAAGGGTACGACCAGACAAAACAGGATGGATACCAAATGAAAAAGTAATAATTTCGGTTGTTCCCATAGAATGTCAACATGAATTGTCCATATTCTAGATTGTGGTGTGGACTTTACACCAGTTTCCTTATTACAGTCAAGGCCTTTTCTTTCGTGTCCTGGAAAGAGCGCATGAGGATGATCCTGCAGTCTTTTGCCACTTCTCAGATATAACATTGACAAAATAACACGGAACGATGGCACAGCCCCTTCTTTAACCTGAAAAGTTTTTTTTTTTTCTCCTTGACTTGTAGGCACATGCATCGAAATTTATTCTGGAATGTGTTGGATAGTGAAATCCCCATATTGTGACATATATGAGCACAGACATGCAGAAAACCTTCCTCTGACTGAAAAATCGAGTATTCAAAGTAAAGGGCCAGTTTCTGTACATATAACTTAAGGCTACAAATAAACTTCTCCTAGAAAGTCTGAAAGCATTCCCCCTAAAAGGTTTCACAGCCATAATGTAATACAAACGGACAAAATATTCACGCATGCCTGGGTAAATAATAAAGCATGTACACAAGGGTGAGCATGAAACAAGGGAAAACGATATCTGAACTAACCAGTAAAGAGGTTGGTTGGCCGATCGCCCACAGATTCACCTTGCGATCCACTCCACCAGTAATGAATAATCTACATGATTTCTTTCCAATGTTCAAACAGTTGACGTCTGATTCATGTGCTACAAATTCCTCTTTGAATTATCAGTCAAGGGATTCAATATGCATTAAAAAATTGTACACTGATCAAGAAGATGCAGACTTTAAAGATTCGCAAAGAACCTTCAAATGAGACTCTTTCTAGGATACTTTATGAAAAAACAAGTAATCGATAATTCTCACCCCACGCATACAACAACAGAAATCCATGTCAGTCCATCAAAATATTTTAATACTAGTCAACAGGGATGACTATATAGCCAAAAATGTAGCGTCAATTACTTTGGAGGAAGCAGATGTGACAACAGAATTTCTATCCCAGTTCCTATTTTCAAGCAAGTCAAAAAAATAATCAGGATTGTTTCATCTGAATATTTGAGCTCTACAAGTGTTTAGGTGTAATAATTCTATCCCTCAGTTACAAGGATGCTACATTTACTAGAATTTAGTCTACTCTGCTTGTGGTTCAATTCCACGTCAATTTTGAAAAAAAATAAATCATAGATCTGAAATAACATTGAGGGATGATTGACTTTTGTGGGAAATTGACTCAAAACTTGAACATTTATCTAGAGATGAGGATGTGTTATGATCAGCGCCTCTGCCTCTACTCTGCATATTAGTATCCATCAGAGAATGTTTCTATAATTCAATTTGTTAATGTAAACCTTCCTCCAAGAACATTCGTTGATATTTACGTAGGATGGATCCTCTTTATATAAACCAAGATTGATGAGAGAAGACATCAGAGTAGCTGAATGATCCTTCATTAGAAATAGCTGTCTCACCTACATTCAAACGGTTTAATTCAATCCAGATTTCACTTGCAAAATCCAACGAAAACAAAGCCATCTTATGAGAAAAATATTTCATTGATTATACATATTGGATGATATGCATCAAATAACGTTATACACGAAGATAAAGGCACCAGGAACCCTCGGAAAGAACTAACTGTCATATTGAAACCTGTCCCCTTTTCCAGGTTGAGACTGGTTGAACGGATAATTTATGCTTTGAAAATGAATGTTAGTGCACACAAGTATGCATGTTCTCTCGATATCCATAGAATTGGACTAAAATAAAAGAAAATGCTCTCGCCTTGCCGGGACTAGCCGAAGAATCAAGATAATTTTGTCTTCATATTCGACAAGAGGTGTGCCAGAGTGCCTTATCCTCAACCAATTGGACTCAAGTTGCAGGACTCGCCCAAGTGAAAAGTAAAGGTTATGGGAGAATAGACGGGAATGTGCTGGCCACATGCGGGTAACTTCTCGCCTGCAACAAATGAGAACGAAGGGGGACCTAATTTCGTTCCATGAATCCTATGGGGACGACGTGCAGCACCAAAACTCTCGCCCTTGATGACCGGATGGAAACTTGTGCAAGCAGGAAGGGGGACGAGTTTCGCACCCAAGTATGATCCAGACCACATATGGCCGCTGTCCAACACACCTTGAATTACCCAAAAACCAGTACAGAATGCCGAACTCCCTAAGATGCGATATCGGAGAAACACGAAAATCGCAAAGCCCGCAGCCATGGAAGCATGAAAAACGCTTCCGTTCTCCAACCCAAAACAAACAGGCTCGTACGCAATGATAATTCACCCTTTCGGTCGAATTCATCACCGACACAGTCTCCACCAGTTCCTCGTTTTATGGTGAAGAAGAAAATTCAGAGCAGAAACTACAGCAGCGGAAGAAGAAGAAGGGGGAGAGAAAAAAAGGATACGTAGCTTGTAGCCGCGCCTCGCCGTCTCCATGAATGCAATACCCCCGCGCCGAGGACACAGGCGGATCCACTCATGAAACTCCCCCACCTGCTCCTTCCCAGACCCCTCCCGGCGGGCCAAGGACCCGGCAAACGGCCCTCAGGCCGAAGCTTCCTCGGGCCCAACCCCCTCCCCCGTCCGGAAGAATGCGGGGAAGACGAGGCAGCGCCGTGGGTCTGGTCTACTGCCGGAGCACACACACGGGTAGAGAGGGAAGGAAGCCAAGCCAGGAACGAAGGCTGTGGAGTGTGGACCAAGAGGAAAGGAAATGGTCCTCTTCCCCGCGGGACCCCAGAAAATCCGCATAATCACACAAATGACACTGCTTTCAACGCCACGTACGGCCCAGCGAAGAAGAAAAATTGTGGAGGGCAGCAGTCAAATTTCCAGGCAAGGGATCCCTGGGCCCCACCCGCCCCTTCCCGCTCTGAGCATAACAAATTAAATAATAACACCAACAATAGTAAAAGGAGGCGGAATAAAATAAAAGCTACTGCGTTGGGCCCCACACTTCTGGACCTTAACCAACCGGAAACCGGCGCCCTTCAGCAGTTAGTAACACTTTTTTTTATACCCCCTAGATTAGTCCGACTAAACTCAGACCCCGAATAATCTTCTCGCGGCATTCACTAGTTGTTGACTAAATATTCAATTTTAACACTTTTTGTGATAAACTTCCAAATTTTGAACTTTGCAAGGTTTTGCTCAGACTCAGACCCAAGGAACGGGGACCTCTTTCTGATACTCGATCTCGCAGAGTTTGCTTGCTGTAGCAGCTCCGGTTGGCAGAATGGCCGAGCATGGCCACCATGCTCGCTTCTCAGCTGAAGGGGGGGAAGTGGCAGGGCGTTGACTCCACGTGAGGAGCTAGCAGGGCGTGGGAAGAGGACACGGCACCGACCTGCCGCCCCTGCCGCTGCTGCTGCTGCTGCTCCCCTACTCCCTTTCCGACCTGCCGGTCTCCACCGTGGAGAAGAGTCAATAAGAGCACGCGACGGCACGGCGGAGCTCACGGCACCGCCTTCACTTTTTGTTCTCGTCTCATTAAACGCCAGTGAAGGAGGGTCATCACTGCTCTCTCTCTCTCTCTCTCTGCTTTAAAAGCTCCTCCTTTCCCCATTTCACTCCCGGATCTTACCAGTTCGTGCCCTCTTCAAGCTTCTCCGCTGTGCAGGCCAAGGTCTGAGTCTCAGTGAGGAGGTGCTATGTCTCTTGGCCGTAGGAAGGAGGAGAATGGGCGGCTGTCTGAGCAGTAAGAGGGTTTTTCTTCCAGGCCGGAGGAAGCCGAGGTCGAGGTCGGAGGAGGAGGATCCCGCTGTTCAGAGCGAGCGCAACGGGACCGCCGTCGCCCCTCTGCCGGCTCCGCCGCTGCCGCCGGAGGAGGAGGCAGTGGTGAAGGAGGTCCTGACGGAGACCCCCAACCCCTCCGCCGCCGTGGCCGTAGTGGCCGCCGCCTGCAGAAGAGCGGCAGCGGATGGAGCCGCGCTTAAGCTTAAGTCGCCGGAGAAGGACGTGGTGGCTCCCGCCGCCGTCAAGGGCGGCGCCGACGCCATGTCCGGGGAGGAGACCTCGGAGATGTGCAGCGTCAGTGAGAGCTTCTCCGTCTCGACCACACTGACGGAGAAGACGGAGGACGCGAGAGAGGACACGGCCACTTCCCGGAGGGGAAAGAGGCCACCCCCTGAATGGTCTCCGCCCGGCAAAAGCTGTCACCCGCGGAGGCGCTTCCCTTCAGGAGAGTTCGCCGCCGGCGCCGGCGGAGGCAGAGCCAGGTCCTCGCGGCTACGAACCAGGAGATCAGAGGATATGTCCTCGCTCGCCAGAGACGCGTCTAGGGCTCGCCTTCAGCTGGCCGGGAATGGCAGAGCTCCGGCGGCCGGAATGGGGAGGAATCAGGATGATTGGCGTGAGAGGAGATCCGCTTCCCCGGCGGGGAAACGGTTGGCGGATCTTCGCGCCGCCGGCGGCGAAGGCGGGATGAGCAGGAGCTCGTCGGCGCGGAGGGTGGAGCGGGCGGCGTCACCGCACCGAGCTTTCGGACCGTCGCCGGAAGCCAACAACAAGATGAGAGGAGCAGGAGCAGGGGCGGCGGGTGCGGAGAGAGGAGGAGAAGGAGAGGTGGAGGAGCGGAGGACGGCGGCGGCGGGCGGGGAGTCGCTGGAGAATCCCCTGGTGTCCCTGGAATGCTTCATTTTTCTCTAGAAAAGAAACAAAAGGAAAAAGTAAAAGTAGGATGCTCGTCTTCCTGTTCCTCTCGTCTCGACCATCCGCCTCGTTTCCCGGTATTTTTTGTCGCCGCACGCGGAGCTCCCCCAACCTCCGCTGGCCACTCTCTCCCATCCGGTCACCGTCAACTTTGACGGGTGGCGCCGCCCGTGACCACCTCGAGCGGCAACGCATCACAGACAGCACGACGCTCTTGCAGAGCAGCTGATGATCGCCGGCAGCTGCCCATGCCGATCGATCAACTAGTCCATTGTCCTGTTTTCTTCTCTGTAACCTTGTTCATGCTCTCGACAATGTCCCTCTCTCTCTCTCTCTCTCTCTCTCTCTCTCTCTTCCAGTTCATGACGGCACAGAAGGAGCTCAGCCTGCTGCAAACAAGCAGAAGGGTAGGATTATGCAGACACTGGTCGAATAACTGGTTGGTGGGTGATGGAGACAATCCACCAGCATTCGGCCGCGCATCCAACGAAGGCTAATCCACGTCTCAAGAGGCGCATCGTCTCGTTTCTTGGCGTCGCATGCCCGCGGAGCCCATCCAGTCAAGTCTGGGTGGTCGGAGTAGAGAGAGAGAGAGGAGAGGAGTAGCGCGTTTGGAGTTATACCGACCGGAGGGAAGCCGAAGAATTACCAAGAGGAGAGGAAGAGGAAGAGGAAGACAAGCGGCGGCGGCAGAGATTCAAGAGGGCATCGAAATGGGTACGCGAAGAATCCACGGCACACGCACTTAGAGCGGGGAAAGTAAGGGGCTCGTGGTTACCCGTGATGGGGGGAAAGCGATCCCTCCAGTCACCAAGTGGCAGAGCACCGAATTGGGGATCCGCCGCCCGGGTTGACCTCCACACCAGTTCCCACGGCCGGCCATAGAAGCACTCGAAGATGGCCAAGATGAGAAGCATGGAGATGAGGATCGCTGTGGGCAAGAAGCCAAAGGACATGGCGTTCAGTGGACGGCGAAAATGGCGGACGTTATGCGGCCGGGAAAACTCTGGCCTTTCCCCTTTCTCCGGGGTGACCTTCGCTCATTCCTCCGCGCCGACCTCGCTCTTTCCCATCTCTCCTTCTCCAGAACGGAAAAGAGGAAAAGGAAGACTCATCATCTGGACCATGCCCGCCGCGGCAGCTTCGCTCACATCCAGCCAGAGACGCGCCCTATAAGCCCCTTGAAGGTCCCACATTCTCCGCGGCAGCTGCTCCGCCGCTCCTCCCGAGGATGGTTTACGGGGCCCGGCGCTGACCACGGGGGAAGGAAAAAAGCTGCTGACCGGAGAAAGAAAACGCTCCCCAGTTCATATTACTTGCTTCGAGCAAGGTCCCCCCCTCTCCGTCTCTCTCTCTTTCTCTCTCTACTCACCCAATTCAGGGTTTGCTGTAAGAAAACACAGGGATGCTTCATGGATTCATGCCGGGGACTTTGGCCTAGGATGGATTTCAGGCCCGTATGCCAGACATACGAGGAGCGGAGATTTCTACGCGTTGACCAAACAGAGGGAGAGGCAAAATCCGGCAAGTGGGAGGAGCGGATGAAGATTATCCGGGCGCGACGACCGGTCTTCGAGCGCCCCCCGCCCCCCCTCCCTCTTTCGTGCTCGAGAGGGAAGAGGAGGAAGAGGAGGGAGGGGGAGAGAGTTCTGGTTGTTGTAGAAGAGAGCGCTGTTATTTTTTCTCCAGCCTACTTACACTTACTGCTTGGTATGGGGGGGAAGTAACCGAAAAAATAAGAAAAAGAAATAAAGAAAAAGAAAAATCTGACTAGCGGCGGCCGGGGGTTGAGATCTGACGTGGACCTTGGCCACCGCCTCCCCACGGTTAATGGATCTCCAGAACTCTCCTGACTCAATCACTCTCCAACACGTGTCCTCTCTCTCTCTCTCTCTCTCTCTCTCTCTCCCTGTGTCTTGATTCCGTCTAGTCAGTTGCACACGCTTTGGAACGTGCGTGGAACGCTACCATCAGCCTTCCCTACGAACCAACGGAACGCGTCCCTCTCTTTCTCTCTCTCTCTCTCTCTGCGCGCGCCTGGTTGTTCGTTGATCGCGGGTGTCGGCGGACTCTCACAGGCCGGAGATCCTCTCGCTCAGCGCTGCCATCGTCTCCCTCGCCGCCGGCCCCCTTTCTTCTCCCTGCCCCTGCTAGCCGCCGGCGGCTCGCAGCTGCTGCCGCCGCCGCCGCATCCCTGATTCCCCGCCGTGTACGCGGACGGGGCCTCCAAAATTCCCGCGCGGGGCGCGGTCGTCACTTCGAAGGGAGAGTCCAGGCACCGAATATAGGCGCCTGATCCCCGGCCATAGGAAGAGGTGGTACGGGATGAGATGCCCTAGTTCTGGAGGCTGTTGATTCATTAAGATACGGCGAATGCTGCGTGAGGGTACACCCGAAGTCGTCCGCAGTAGCGTCGGCGTCGGCGTCAGCAACGGTGATGGCGCCCATGCCTCGTCTCCTCTAGCCGAAGAAGCCTGGCCCTCGCCTGCGAGTTGCTACATGGGGGACGGTGACGGCGGCGACGACAACCTCTCCATAGAATTGAACTCCCTGTTCGCTATGCTCGACGGGCATCCGGATTCCACTGTAAGCCCCACGCCTCTCCTTCTCTCTTCCTTCACAAAAAAAAACGAAATCCAGATAAGGTTGCGCAGTTGACGATTTTTGATTGTGGTGGGATCCGTGTCGACTTGAGTTGGTCTGCCCCATCTAGAATAAGGTTTTGCTTCTTTCCTAACGTCGATAACCTTGCGATATATCATCATCATCATATTGGAGCACTAGGCTAGAGTTGGGGGTAAAATTCCTGACTTCAACTTTACATGGTATTTGAGGGATCCACATGTTTATCTACTTACGATTGGTCCCAAGATAATGACTGCACATAAACTTCTCAGAGCATTGTTAGAACGGTGATTTTGAACTTCCAAATTGTAACTGATTTCATTGTTGAGGTTGCACTATTGGAGATTTGGCTTTGTGGTGATCTGGAGGGCATCTGAGGAAAATGTTATTCACGAAGCTTGATTATCTGCTTTCTGATCAGTGAATTGGTGTTGGGAATATAATATATGTATAACTAACTTGAGACAGATGCTCAATTATTTAGTCATTTGATATCCTTGAAGAATACTGGATTTAAAAATTCCAGATTGTAGGACCAGTATATATTGCTCCATAATATTAATCATACCTCTGAAATTTGTGCATATTTTAATACTTTGGGTGATGTGAAGTGTCACCTTATTTTTTCATCCCTTATGCTTCTTGTTGATTTAGTGTTGCTCCTTTTTGTCTACCCATTTGAGGAAACAGAGGTAAAATCCAGATTGGTGTAGAAACTATTTTCTTCATTCTGAGTCCTCCCTGCAGTGCTGTACACATGTTCTGATTGAGATTAATGAATCATTTAGGATCCCTCGTTTTCATTTGTTAAAAGATTTACAAAGATGTTCGAACCGCATTAATTAAAATCTTGGCTGACAAGGTCGAATATGGTGCTATACGAATTGTCGCAAATATTCACAAAAAGATTCAGCCCTCAAGAAGATACATCTTTCACTAGGATGAACTGCCTTTCCACGCTTCATTTTTCTCAGCATTGCAGGTGACACTGGTATTGATAGCCATTATTCATCTTTCTTTTGTGGTAAGGATAGGAGGTAATTTGAGAAGTCAATGAAGTTTCAGAAAATTATGGATCATTGTGTTCCCCCTATGGAAGAGAGAAGAACTGATTTCTTCCTGAGTTGATTGAAGCTATTATGTTTTCCTTCACCAATTGATTCTTAATCAGATCCAAGATAAACAAGGCATCAGATGACATTCGCCCTTTTATTTGACCGTAATAAAAATGTAGCACGATAAATGTCCTTAAGTAAAACATATTCAACATCGTCCCACAAGGAGTATCTGATAGAGACTATTTTTTATCTCACTATTTTTCTGCTGTCCTCTTCATTATTTCCATGTACTCACCAAAATATTTGAGAATATATTGAGATTCAAGTTATAGGAGACTCAGTGAGCTCTTCCACTTCCGAAGACTGCTACCTGCTATCAGAAATTATTTCACTGGTATACATGGGATGGGCACATTGAGGCATTTTGTGTTGCTATTTACCAGTATTTCTCATAAGCTATTCTGGATGATTTTTTTTCCTTACAGCAATTATTCTTAATGATTTATTTCCTTAGATGCAACGTTTGGTTTTCAAACTCTTACAGCAGAACTTGAACTTACAGAGAATCCATGAAGATGATTTGCTAGCCGACCCGATTGAGGAAAATCGTCATTTTCGGACGGCGTCACCACCTGAAGATGGTAATTAATCTAAGCTTCCTAAACTCTTCCTAATTTCGGCCTGAAGGATAAGTTAGTTGTCAAACATTGATATGCACTGACTTGCTGAATTTTCTTTTCTGATGTTTTTTCTTTGTGTCTCAGGAGATCTGTTGATGACTCTCCAGCCAGTAGAAGAACTTGAACGCTCAAGAGACACTCTATTAGACGATTCAGATGCATCTAGTTTTAAGGAAGGATCTGGGTTGGTGTCATTATGTGAGGGTGTGGGAAACCAGAACAACTTTAATCTGTATGACACATCGTCCGAACTTGTGAATCCTTATGATCCACATCAGATTGATACATCTCGGAATGCAAGTTATACACCCGATTCCTTATGTTTATCAACCTCGGGAAATGAAAATGTTTTGATAAATTATGATGGATGCTCTGCTGCTCCCTCTCTATCCGGGAGCTCTCAATATCAGAAAATGTGGTCTCAGGTTTCAGGAACACCTGGGATACCTGTACACAAGTCTATTCATGGTACACAAATTACAGAACGTGTGAATGATATTCAGTTTGGACTCAGAGAAGGGCAAAAATCGGGACAAGGAAGAGCCAGGTCTCGACTCAAACTTGAAGCAGAGCCCTGGAAAGATAAATCATTCATCTCGTCCTCGGATTGTTTGCAACAAATCGAAGCAAGAGGTGGCTTTTGCTTTGCATTGACTTTTTTTTTGTATCGTGTGATGACATGTACTGAGATCTTGCACTCTTTAACTGCAGGTTCTTCTCATTTCATGTCAATCAGGCCTTATGGTTTTGACAGTGCTCACAATGGTGTTTGCACAAATGATTCATTGAACACAAATACACAAGCTGAGTTATGCCGGACTGCATCATATTCATCCAATGATCGGGGTTTCATTTCAGAAAACATTCTTAAGAATAACGATGGGGATATAGAATTGACATGGAATTCCTTGAATAATAACGAGTGCTATGGTGGTCTTTCAGCTGAGAGCACCTCCATACCTTTTTTGCCCGATCAGTTGTCCCAGTCATTTACTTCAGGTGACAGAAAACATATGACTAATTGGAAGGATAAAGCAGAAAGCCAGGAGCACAAACCCCTGGACTATCTTGATAATGGAGTTGAGCTATGCCTACCAGGGGAAACATTATACGGCGCTATGCTTGATTCCTATTTTGTGGATTCTGATTCATCTCAGTCAGAAATGTCATGCGGTGAGACAAAGAATATTGAGGTTCTTCAGTATTTGCCCATGGAAGATTCTTGGTCATTATCTCTTGGTGAAAATTACTCCAATGGTCATTGCAGACCTCTTCCTAGTTCATCCAAAAGATCACTACCTGACTCTTACCCATTCATTCAAAATAAGAAAACAAAGGATTATATGGAGAATACAAAAAAGGAAGAACTCATGCTCCCCCAATGGCCATGTCATTCTGTGGAGGGTGTTAGACCAGTACTCCCTGTAAATCAATCTGGAAGCATTACAAATCTGGACGAGGATCCTGATGTATGCATCATTGATGATATTACTAATGTTGGCCTTCCAACAAGCCTGTTAGTGCCAAAAAAGTTTCAACTGGGACCACCACGATATGGCTCTAGTTATGCTTGTCAATCTCGAGCAAATTCCTCAAAGCTTCAGTCAGATGACGAAAAGTTGGCTTTTCAGATTGCACTGCAGGTCCTTTCCCATTCTCCATGCTAGCTTTACTTTTTAATATTTGACACATTTCTCTGTTGATGTATATAAATCATCACTTTTATTTAAGTCTGGAAGATTTACACTCTTTTTTTTAAAATTATGGAATAATTAGGCATTGAATTTTGGCATATTTGTTCTGTTTACTTTCGTTTGAAGTCTAAATTTTCTTTGGGTGTGTTTGGTAGACATTTGAAAAATGTCTTGTGTGTGGATCTCTTGGGCGTAATTTTTTGCTTTCCTTAATTTAACTGCATAATATGCTGCATGGTAACTTAAGTGGCTTTTCTGAATTTCTATGTACAATTAAACCCAACGTCTTCTAGAGCAGTATTCATTTTAAAAAGGCAAATTATGAGCTGTGTTTTAAGAGAGTGCAACATTGTTTTGAGTGAGGGGTAAGGGAGATGGGTATTGACTAGTTAAGTCAATTACTTCTAAACCTAGTACAAAGAGAATTGAAAATATGAGCTTGTTGACAGAAGTAGGAGTGATTTGTCTGCACCTTTCTGATCCAATCCTTAGCCCTTTAAAAATTGTTTCATCTAGGACTGTGAAAAGTTACCTTTCTGGAGACTTGTAGATCGGTATGCAACTCTGCATCTACTGAGGCGCATCTCTAGTTCAACCTTGGAATCCATCTGGATATATGAAGAGGATGCGTAGCAGTTTACACTAGACATCTGATAAAACGTTTGAGCTTTTCTTGTAGTTTAAAATTGACAACGTGATTCTTACAACAGACTGGGTAAAACTAGATGGTGCTGCCTCTAGTCCTTTTTATTCTGCAAATATCGTTCATAATTTTCTAAGTGGGAGCTTTCTGACTTTTTCCCCCCATGAATTTCAATGCCTGCGTCTATTCCATACAATCAATTTGAAGGGCGAAGACCTTTGGTAGTATTCGAATATTTTTATCAGTGAACCATAAGACTACTGAAAAAAGGGCTTTTTTGCTTCCTTAGTGTAGACATTTGAGTGCTTACTTTACTGAAAGCCTTTATTTCATAAAAAAATTCATTCTTCCTTTCCATTCTCCAAAATATTAAATTTTTTCAGGGATAGTTTTTCTAATTGGACCGTGGATTTGTTAACTGTCCCTAGCTCTGATTGCACCAGATCTTTTGGAAGCTGAGAACTCATTACTTGGTTGATGGTGAATGCACTGCAGAACTAGTGGTAAAGGAAGTTTTGGATGAGGAAAGGCCACCTTTTAGAGTTTTCTCTAAAGGGAGCAAAGAATGGACTTGGGAATAACTGTTTTACCCCCTCCCGTTTGACATTCCTAGTTTGGTTGTCCCTTTGACATCTTATAATGGATTAAAATACTGTTTTTGTTGGACATTTAGTTTAGTTATGCTCTGGGAACTGTATTCACCTTTTTGCTATCCCTTCAATATTTTTCTTTTCTCTCCATATAAACCAAACCAGTAGGCTCTTGAAAATGTGCCGTTGGCTGGGAAAGAGTAAATTAAGGAGACTGCGGAGTTTGATGAGTGGGAATATCAGAAAATATCTCATATGATGAGTTGAAAGGATATTGGCAAGGGTAGCAATTTTGTGTTATAATTTCTGCCAGTGACTTGTTTGAATGTCCAGGACAAGTGGCAGGAACAGTAATCAGAGTACCACTTAAGATGTATAATCATCATTGTTGCAAAGGTCCTAAAGAAAGATAACGACGAAAATACAGGACACAAAATATGAATTGGTAATATATGATAAGATGGAACAGTGGAATAGGATTCCTTTATTGACCCGTTTTGGTTAGGACCCTGTGGTAAGGACAGATCACGTGATAATATATATAATTTTGTTTGTTTAGAGACGGGCAATAGATTGACAATCCTACTGTTCCATTAATTGGCATAAATTTTCACGTCATTGTGAGAAACATCCTCAGAGCCTTGTTGAAAGAGTTTCATCAATTGTTGGATCAGATAAGAATGTCTACTTGATAACATACATTGTTAAAAGGTTGTGGGCAGAAATAGCCCTAGTTTTACTCAAGTCATTGGCTGTGTTTTTCAGGTATGTATATAAGCATTCTCAGATTTTTATTTTTATTTTTTTAAAATAATGGAATGTTTCGCGGCTTCATATTAAATGGTTCATAACCAGATCTTGTTAGATCCATCTACGTTTTGGAGGTTCACATAGAGAAGCAGGTGCTGCTGAGGTTCCCAGCTTTTCCGTTCAGTCTCCTCTTCAAACTAACCCTAGCGTCCAGCAGGATGTAGAAGACAAGTATCTCTTTGAGAACCAGTGTTACATCAGCTTTTGTTAAATTCCATTCCAACTCCGAGTTACTAAGCTATATCTAAGAGTTGGTTTGAATCAATAAATTTCTCTTACTATGTAAAATTTGATCTAAACCTGCATAATCTTGAAGCTATATTTTGGAAATTCGGTTTTATTTAATGCCAGGATCTGGCTCAGCCAAAATTGGAAGCTAGCCCACCTGAAGGAGTTTTGACTGTTCCTTTATTGAGACACCAGGTACTTTCTTTCAATTTTCATGTTCTTGCATTTGCTATGCCAATGTAATCATCGGAAATCAGTCTTACCGAAATTTCTTGGCAGCGCATAGCTTTATCCTGGATGGTCCAAAAGGAGACAGTTAACCTTCAGTGCTCTGGAGGGATCCTTGCAGATGATCAGGTTGATTTTACAATGTCAAAACAATACTAGCTTGGCTAATGCATCAGTTTCAGGACCCTCACCTGAATATTTGCTGTCGTTGTTGTAGGGATTGGGTAAAACTGTTTCGACTATTGCACTTATTCTAATGGAAAGATCTCCACCATCCAAATCTTGTACTACTCCAGCCAACGGTGAAGTTGAAGCTTTGAATTTAGATGAAGACGATGAGTTTGCGAACCCTATTGCTCTGAAACAGGAGAATCAAGGTACTCCAACACGTGGAATGCAGATCAAAAGTGAGAGTTCTTCTTTGCTCCAGAAAGGCCGACCAGCTGCTGGAACACTAGTTGTCTGCCCGACCAGTGTTCTTCGTCAATGGGCTGATGAACTGAAACAGAAAGTTACTAGCAAAGCGAACCTTTCCGTTCTCGTATATCATGGAAGCAATAGAACAAGGGATCCCGATGAACTCATTAAATATGATGTTGTGCTTACTACATATTCTATTGTGAGCATGGAGGTTCCAATGCGGTCAATTGCTAATAAAGGCGATGGGGACAAAGGAGGGGCAGATGCAAGGGGCTTTTCCATGGAACCGACTCCTGGTAGAAAAAAGAAATGTTCTTCAAGTAATCTAAAGGATTTAAAGACAGATGATGGCAGACTCCACTCTGCTGCTCGCCCTCTGGCTAAAGTGGGATGGTTTAGGGTAATATTGGACGAAGCCCAGACTATTAAGAATCACAGGACTCAAGTTGCTCGGGCATGTTGGGGTCTTCGAGCCAAAAGAAGGTGGTGCTTGTCTGGCACACCAATTCAGAATGCTATAGATGATCTTTACAGCTACTTCAGATTCCTCAGATATGAACCATTTGCTGTTTACAACTCATTTTGCTCCAAAATAAAGGTACCAATCAACAGGGATCCTAATGTTGGATACAGAAAGCTTCAGGCAGTTCTGAAAACAATAATGCTTCGTCGTACAAAAGGTGAAAAGCAAAGCTTGATATATGATTCCTATCGATCAAACTCCAACTCCAAACTTTTCAAAAATGACTAAATTTTCGACTTATAAAATGTTTATGAGGTTTTTCATGCTTAAGCTGGCTACACACTGTTACCCTTTATGCCACTTTTCGCTCAATTCTTTTTTCTGGAAGTCTGCTTATTCACTTCAAGGAAAGAGAACTATAAAAAAAATGAGGTGAAAAAGACCCTCTGCATGCTCCCCTTTTGAAAAAACAATGGTCTTGTGGATAAGTAGGGAATTCTATTTGCAACATAAATGTACTTAGGTGGTTCTTGAATAACATAAGTGACTTTGTAATTGAAGTATCTTTTCCAATAATCCTTTCTTCTGCAACCAGGTGAAGAATTATCTTCCATTATCTCAATCTCAGTTTATAATTTACTTTGGAACTGATGACTACACCAAACAATTATTGCCTCATTGTTTTTGGCATTATATTGCAACACAGAGTATTATTGGATTACGAGCTGTAATTCATGTAATCAACTATGGTACAGAAGCCATTTTATGTTTTAAATTCAGGAAGTTTAACAAGACGTCTTTTTTTCCGAGCTTTCTGATGATCCACGAGGGTGAATTTTTTTCTTTTCCGAGCTTGCGCCAAGAAGTTTTTTCGGGGGTTTAATGTGCTGGTGTCATGGTTGTTACAGGAACACTCATTGATGGCAAACCAATAATTAACTTGCCTCCGAGAACAATAAACCTGAAGAAGGTTGATTTCTCGAAAGAAGAACGAGATTTCTATTCCAGATTGGAAGCCGAATCACGTGAGAAATTTCAGGTATGGAGTTGTAGCATCTAGATTGATTTAAATTATGATCACTTCATATAAAATCTTGTGAAATGCTTAATGATTTTGAGCGATAGAGGTGTTTGCCTTACTGTACACATTTTGCCTTTTTTCTGCTCAATGCCACTCGTTGTGATGCTTGCTTCTTCTGTGGTTCTTTCCTCGATTTTCTTCTGCTTCATGAAGATAGTGTTATCCACTATTTCTCTTTTATCTTTGGATGGGTTTTTCTAGAAAGGTTTGTTGAAGTGTACCCTGGCTGACCGTGCTAATGAGCCCATTGAAAAATTTGAGACCCCCCTTACCTCCAAGTTACCCACTTTGACTGTGTACTTGGTACTATGACTTATCAAATTAGTTGATACATCTCGGACTGGAATTGAGTTTACTCTATCTGGCTTCTTGGAGATTGATCTTATCTCCCTCATGAGTGAGTAAAAGAATAGGATAGGCCTCCCATGACATTTCCTCTTGCAGTTCGCAGAGAAATGAAGGGGATGGACAGGAAAAAACAATAAAAGACAACGTGGTGGAAGAAAATCGTATCTCACTACCTTCCAATCTCTGATGTCATTCTCTTCTATTGCTTTCCATTGCTAGACGCATAAGGTGGCTGGCTGTCACTGCCACCTACCGTAGCCAGGGGGAGGGTTACTGGCACTAGGTGATAAAAATGGGTTCGTAATCTACGAGGGACAACAATCTTAATAGATTGTTATTATATTACTTCCATTCAAATCAGCTTTCAATTGTTTAATAGTCTATTTCTTTTAGATAGCTCCTGCTGCTAGTTGAAAGGTTTTCAATAGGAATCTAGTGTTTTAAAAATGGTTACATACGAACATATGAATTGAAGCTGGTCCGGTTGACAAACAATGGTAAAACTGGGTTTTCTATCTTTTTGAGTTTTGATGCAAGATCAAGTGGGCCAATCTTGTTTGGTACTTGTGGAGCATTGGCATATATAAGTGTAGGCTGTTTGGAAAATGTGGCCAAATGTTTGAATTCTTCATTAGATCTTAATTGTCAATTGGTAAAGTTCACCCTGGTGTAAAATTTACGAACATCTTACTTGTTGAAAGATGTATATATATTGCAACATTTGCAACATCTACCTGACGTTCACACTTCGGATAATCAACCAACATCAACCAACACCTTAAGTACTTCACCGACTCTTGAACTTAGGGCGGCTGGGCATGAGTTTAACGTGACATTGCATTCCAGATTCCTTTTCATTCTAACTGGCCCTTCTGTTTCCCTGCCACCAAGTTTCCCACTTGGCATAACTACCTTTAGATTATCGCCACCTACAATTACATTATAGCTACATGAAGCCACGTTCGGGATGGACTGGGATCAAAAGTGCGGACTCCATATCCAAGGCTGCCTAATGATCATCTTGTCAGTTCCTACGCTTCTACTGGGAAAATGAAAATGTAGAGAAGGCAATCATGATTACCACTCGGCTGCATCTATTTATATTTTCTATTTCATAAAGAGTTGAGTCTTCCAAGAATCCAATTTTCTCCTCCTTAATTATGGTTTCTAATGTCGTTATATATTTAACGATTCATGGCAATTTTACTTGTACATAAATTATTTTTGTCTATTCACAAGTTTTTTTGGCTCTATCTCAGGGTTATGCTGATGCTGGGACTGTCAAACAAAATTATGTGAATATTTTGCTGATGCTCTTACGACTTCGGCAGGCTTGTGATCACCCACGTTTAGTTAAAGGATATGATTCTTCTTCCATTTGGAGGTCCTCTATTGAGACGGCGAAGAAAATTCCCAGAGATAAACAAATGGAGCTTCTGAATTGTTTGGAGAGCTGTCTGGCTCTCTGCGCTCTCTGTAATGTATGTTCTTATGCCCCTCAGTCCGGTAAACAGTATTTTTTTCCTCTGTTCGTACTGTATTTTGTTGAATTTACAGTTCCTTTCATGCAGAACTATTTGAAGTTTTATTATAAATTGGATTTAGTCTTCTCATAGGATATTTCTTCTCTATTCGTGAGGTTGTAGACTTATCGTACAATTTTTAATAGAATGAGAAGACTTAGTCTCAGCTACATGTTTACGATGTTATTTGGTATGGGGCTGGAACATTAGGATCACTAGAATTTCTTGCTTTGTTTTTTTTTCCCAAATTTGATGATTCTGTTTCTAAAATATGTCTTGGGACAATTTGAGAGCAGAAATCTTGGGCGACATGAAAGAAAGTCAATTAAATTATATGTCATTGTTGTATTAGATCTTGAGTGAAAATAGGATTCGCTTAAGCGACATTTCTTGCTGCGGAAGTAGTAAGGTATTAGTCCTCTGCCATGCTGATGTAGGTTACCTTAACAACTATCTAAGCAACCACACACTATATGGAGCTTAAAATGCTTGTTTTCTCTTCAGGCCATGATGTGCAGGCATTTTGGCTTTCACGTCTCGATGCATTTTATGTCTGTCGTAAATTAATCCGTTTTTCCAAACTTGTGTAAATGATAATGGTCATAATTATAGAGAAATTAAACTCAGGTTGAATCAAGGGGTATGGTCATTCACCGTCTTCAATCCATCTCCTTTGAGTTAAGAGTATCAAACAGTTATTTATACAATTTTTCCACTTTATTACATCTAGTCAGCATGTTACTTTAAATGTGATGTCACGTTTATAAAGAGTGAGGTGTAACATTCTGATTCAATGCTGTTAAAATTTTGAAAAGATATGCCTTAAATAACATGATGCCAGCAACATTATAACATTACATAATATGCAAATTGATCTTATGGTACCGTTCTTTACCCATATGACATTATCCTTGTAGGATCCACCTGAGGACGCTGTTGTTACCATCTGTGGTCATGTTTTCTGTAACCAGTGCATATCAGAACACCTTACTGGCGATGAGGACCATTGTCCTTCAGCTAAATGCAAAGTTAAACTTACTGGGGCTTCTGTGTTTTCGAAAGCTACACTGAAGAGTTGTCTGTCTGGCCTCTCGGGAGATGATTGCCCCCAATCAGCTGAGATGACTGAGCCACCTGGGGCCCACATACCCTCTGATTCCTCCAAGATCAAAGCCGCTGTTGAAATTCTTCAATCACTGCCCACATACTATGTCTCTACCTCTGGGAACGTTTGCTGCCCGCCTGATGAAAAATTTACTGATTCCACTGAATATGCATGTGGAACAGGTTCCTCAAGGCTCTCAAATGATGAAAATGATAAAATAAGTCCTGAAATGTCTAACTTTTCGAAGGCTTTGGTGTCAGAAAAAGCTATCGTCTTTTCCCAGTGGACCAGAATGTTGGACTTGCTAGAAGCCAGATTGAAAAGTTCATCGATACAGTACAGGAGGCTAGATGGAACAATGTCGGTTGCAGCCAGGGATAAAGCAGTGAAAGATTTTAATACTCTTCCTGAGGTTTTTTTGATGATATTTCTCTCAAATATATTTTTTTCTCTGTATGTATAGAAAAAGCCTTTTTCTTTGTTCCTAACTGTCTTTTCATTTTTGCTGACATAGGTTACAGTCATGATAATGTCTTTGAAAGCTGCTAGTCTTGGATTGAACATGGTAGCTGCCTGCCATGTTCTCCTCCTGGACCTTTGGTGGAATCCTACAACCGAGGATCAAGCAATAGACAGAGCACATCGAATCGGTCAGACTCGTCCGGTTACCGTTTCAAGACTGACAGTAGAAAACACTGTTGAGGATCGCATATTAGCCCTTCAGGTACATCTTTTATTGCATCTGAAGTTGTCTTTTGGCATTTTAAGAAGTTAAACATTTTAAGAAGTTAAACATTTTAAGATCCATATTTCCTTCTTGAGGTTGTCTTTTGGTCTTTTGGTTTCACATGGTGTGTGGAAATCGATTATCAAACCTGGTTGTTTGGATTTACATTTATTTTGTTCCGAAGGATGTAAGAGATCTCATTTCAGAACGAGGATGCTTTACTTGTTGCTCCGAGCTCTAGGAATTGGCAATAAGTATGTCCTTGTCAACAAGTTTCCTGATTTATGGTATTCCTTGCTGGTTCTTATTTCACCTCTTCACCACGTACTTTGCTTTTCATTGTTGGATTGTAGGGTTCCGACTTTATTCAGTGTTTCTTGTTTCCAAATTTAATTTAATTGTAGGGCAATGACTTTGTTTTTGGATGGGAACTTTTCCCTGGATGGCATAGATTGTTCCTTTTTAAGGAGAGATGATTTACTGTCCCATTTTGTGTGGGTAGAAATTTGATCTTTGGTTATAAAATCATTTATGACTGAACCAGTAGGATCATAACTCTGGTGCAGCGAGTTGGAGACTACCTTGAATACTGTTGCTTCTTTTTCCCTCGATGAGTCTCTCTCTCTCCCTCTCTCTCTCTCTCGCTTGTATCTTTTCCGTTTTTTGTCGGTATTAAATGCTTCAGATGTTGTGGACCGTGGATACCTCAGTGGGCTATACTCTGCCTGTCGAACTGCAGGAAACGTCTTGGTAGGAATGGGTTCAGTAGACTGGGCGGGAGGGGGGGGATGGCTAGTAACGAGGAGGCAAGTTAACTCATTATGTGACCGAGGGAAGTGGCATGGAGATCCTGGTGTCATCCGAGGTGATCGGAATGCTTCCATGGTGCTGAGTAAAATCTGGTGCGGTGTGGTTTCTTTCCTTGTTGCATTATCCCCGGAAAATCATTACCACGAGCCAGAGATTTACCATTTGCACCATCTGGTAAACATCAGGGCCCAACAGTCCCCCATTGGAATACTATATATACCACTGTTTTATATCAGGGTTTTGTTTTTGTCACCTGGAATACCCTATAGACTGTATCTGCAACGAAGGCGTTTTGTCTCATGTGAACCATGTCTGATCTTCTTCTTCCATGCAGGAGAAAAAGAGAGAAATGGTGGCTTCTGCCTTTGGAGAGGATGGGTCGGGTAGCCATCAGTCGCGCCTTACCCTGGAGGACCTAAGATACTTATTTAGGGTCTGATTCATCGATTCCTACTGGAAAGCCTCGACAATCAATCGGGTGGACCCGAAGAATCCGAACATCTTGCCATATCATCATATGATGGAGCGCCCCCCCACCCGGTGTGGTTGCAGGGATCTCCACAGCTGCTGCCGCGTGCGTACGTCCACCGTCACCTCCCCCACACGTTTCAATGATATATTACTTACCACGCAGGGCTGGGCGTTTTTTATACGTTGGCCGCAGGAGGATCAGCTGGCGTTTCCCTCGGCAGAATCAACTAACCAACCACCAACGACACTTGTAAATGCTCTTCGTAGGATCTGCACAGTTTTCTTTATATTTTTGGACGGTGATCTGCTCAATACAACATGTATAGCAAAAGATATACCAAAATATTTGTACGCAGGTCGACTACAGCGGCCCTTCTTCTTCTTCTCTGTGGCGTCGATTATCATACAGTTTTGTCAGACGAACTCGGTCCCAGATGTTATTCTTTCTCAGACGAGCCCATTTTATACATGATTGCTATCTATCTATCTATCCGTCCATTTATCATCGATCACAAGGCACTGTCAGTCTACCAGCCACACCAAGCGCCGTGCTCTGCAGAAGTCTTGTTCTAAGAGCTTCCAGATCATTTCAGGAGGGACTGGAACTTCACCCGCCTCTTGATGCTGCCCACCCTGTCGTAGCCGATTCCGATCTTACTGTGCATCAGTTTGATGGCTAACTCCGCCTTCCCCCCCTTCCGCAGAGCATTAATGAAGATGGTGCGTACCCTCCCGGGCACCTCCCGCCCCCTATCCACGACGCCATCCGCCAGCTTGCAGGCCTGCTCCACCCGCCCCGCGCGGCACAGCACGCCGATCATGTCCTCGTGGGCCGTCTCCGGGACGACGCCCATGGGGGCCAGCTCGTCCAGCAGCCTGCAGGCGCTCGCTACCTTCCCGGAGAGGCAGAGGCCCCTGCAGAGGACCCGGAAGGAGACCGGCGAGGGGGTGACGCCCCGGTCGAGCATGGCGTCCCACAGCTTGAGAGCCTCCTCGTTCCTGTGGTCCTTGAACAGCCCTTCGAGGAGGATGGTGTACGTGTAGACCGTCTGGTCGCAGCCCTCGCGCTCCATCCTGCCCAAGAGCCCGAGGGCCTCGTCCACCCTCCCAGCTCGGCATAGGGCGTCCATGAGCGCGTTGTAGCAGAACGAGTCAGGGAGCAGCCCGTCCTCCTCCACCATTTCGTCGAACAGCTTCATGGCGGTCTCAACCATGCCGACCTTGCCGAGCCCGTCGATCACGCTGGCGTAAAGGACGGCGTTGACGGGCACGCCGCGATCTTTACAGTGCCTGAGCCACTCCGCCGCCTCCTCCGCCCTCCCGCCCTTGCTGAGGCAGTTGACAACCACGCCGTGGGTCACCTCGTCGGGCTCTAGGCCCTCCTTTTTCATCCGCTCGAAGAGTTCCATCGCCCGCCGCTCGTTGCCGACCTTGGCGAAGGAGTCCATCAGCATCGTGTAGATGGCCACGTTCGCCCTGCACCCCCTCTCCGCCATCCTCTCCAGCAGGGCCGTCGCTTCAAACGGCTTTCCGGCGCTGCACAGGCCGCCCATCACGAGGCTGTAGGCATGGCTCGGCACCTCCAGACCCTTCTCCTCCATCTCGTGGTAAAGCCGCAGGCACGCGCCGGAGTCGCCGTCGGCGTAATGCGCCTGGATCAGCATCATGTAGGTGATCTTGTCAGGGGAGACGACGCCGTCGTGGGCACCGCCGCCACCCTTCCCCGCATCATCGATCTCGGCGAGCAGCTCCATGGCTGCCCGGGTATCGCCGGCCCTGCAGTAGGCCTTGATCATGAGATTGTAGGAGACGACGTCCGGGCGGATGCCCGGCTTCTCCCCTGAACGCATAACGTCGAACACCTTCTCGGCCGAGTCGAGGAAGGAGGCGTTCACCAGCCCTCCGAGGAGGCAGTTGTAAGTCCACACTGAGGCCTCCCCCCCGCTCTCCTTCATCCGGCGCCAAACCCACAGAAGATCCTCCACCATGGCCATCGCCCCGAGGCACTTGATGAGGGAGCCGCAGGCCGGCGATGTCAGAAGAAGGCCCAGCGCACGTACCTCGGAGATCAGCTGCCGCACCACTGCGTCTCGTTCGGGTGGCGGGTGCGGCGAGGAGGAGAATATTTCAACGAGGGCGACGTACGACTCGAGGCAGTGCTGCCGATAATGGCGCTGTCGCGCCGCCCAGCGGAAGAAGCGGAGGGCGATTTCGGGGCGATCTCGGAGGTCCGGGTTGCGGAGGGCCTGGGAGACGAAAGCAGGAGAAAGGCGGATGAGGAAGTGGCGGCAGTAATCGTCGAGGGCGGATTCGACGCTGGAGGAATCGCGGAGAAGCGCGGCGACGCGGGCGAGCCAGGGGGAGGGATGACGGTGGTCGCGGCTGGGGGTGGCGGCGACGTCGGAGAGGTCGAAGAAGGGATCCACCCATTCGGGCGGTGGGAAAGGGGAGGGTGCAGAGGACGAGGAGAGCCACCGGCAGCGCGGCGACGAACACAGCAGAAACCGAGCGCGCAGCGAGGAAGCACAGCTCCCTGCGAGGAAGAAAGAGAGAGCCGCCCCAGCGACGGTCGTACGAGCTCTTCTCATCGTTCAGGCGCTGCGCATTTTTCCATTTTCCTCAGGGCAGAGAGAGAGAGAGAGAGAGAGAGAGAGGTATCGGAAGCTCTCGGTCTAATATTTGTGGCAGTGGCATCCGAGAAACTGTTGAGACAGCCTCAACGAGGAATCCACGTGGCCCAAGATCCCGGATCCGATCGCAGAAGGTAATTGGGTGGACGACGACCGTTCAGATCCGCTTTACGGTCAGCAGGACTGGTCGGGCCGTAGGCGACCACAAAGATTCGTACCGAATGACCTCGGTAACCCGGCAGCCCTCGCTTATAAGAAGCGGCAGAAGGGAGGAGAAGAGGCAGGAGAGTAGAAGGAAAACTTTTGCGAGAGCTCTCTATATCTTACCCTTTAGTGTATCTTTTCCTTTTCTAACCTCCTCACACTCTCTCTCTCTCTCTGTATTCAGTGTCCGGCATTAGTGGAATTCTAACATCTTATCTTCTCCCTCCTTCCTTGGTGGCCATCCTTGGGTCGCGTGTCGGCCATCCCATCTGGGGCATCTATCAGAAACTCACTCCTGGTTCTACTCAGGCGAGTACTGGTTGTATCGAGGGACCAGCCCAGAGGACAGCTTTTTCAAGAGAGGCTGAGACCATCCCTGCAAGGAGTCGCCGCCGGCGGGGCGTTCGTCTTGCTTCGAGTCGCTTAGAGCAACGAACGCCATTACTTCGAGTCGCAGCAAAGAAAAATAAAGAAAAGGACACGCAGGGGCGCAAAAAGACGACGGCATGCACCATATGCTTGCTCTACAATCGAATCGGCCGCAGTCGAGCTGCTGCCCCGAAGAGATTGGGAAATAAAATGAAATCAAAACAAACGCCGCTATAACTAGCGTACATCTACGAAGCCGGGACGCAGTACGAGGAGCTGAGCGCGGGGGGCAGGACGCGGACCAGATGGGGCCCCGGGGGATCGTAGCTTATGTTCGCCGCCTGCACGCCGGGGAGCGCGAGCTGCGGCGGGTGGACGTGCCCGGAGGCCAGCGGCATGCAATTCACCGTGATCACCGTCGTCGACCCTGCGTGCAAGAGCGCCCTCCCCCGGTCCGTTCAACAAACAGGATGATAAAATACCCGAGAGAATATACCGGCGGAAAACGTAGAGGGCAGAGGAGACCAGAAGATGAAGAAGGTTAGGGAAACTGACTGAACCGAACCTTGCGTTGTGGAGAGCGCTACATGACCGCGCTTCCTCCCGGCGATCATCCAGTTCTCCGGATTCGCATCGACCTCGTACAAGACTCCGTCCTGCAAAAACCCACGTACAAGATTACCACCCCTCCTTCCCTCTTTCTTCACCCTCGACTCATCATTGATGGGGTCAAAGGCTCCATGGACATGATTAATGGGTCCGGAGAATTGATTCACTCTTCTAATTTGTTGGCAACGCAACTCTCAAAATGTCTCACCGCTGGAGCTCATTTGAAGACAAAATAGATGGCAGTAGATGCGTTCTATCCTGTAACTTACCGGGCCCGAGACAGATGGGTCCTCAAGATCCTTCAGCCTTGCGACTCTCCACTTCATGCAGATCAGTTGCCCAACTCGGACACAGTCGGATGGGAACGAGAAGAAGCCGATCGCCAGAGATGGGTCGAGCACCGGTCTCTGTAAGGCGAGAGCGCTCCTGAATAGCAGTTCCCTTTCACTTCCTTCTGACGACGGCCCTGGTACAGGCGCATGAGCTCCTAAGCTTCTGTTGCCGGAGATTCTGTACCTGATGTTCAGTATACCATCCACTTGCAATGCCTCCGACTCACCTGTACAATCTCGGATGTCAGTGATTCCCACACCACGCTCAATAAATTTTGGAAGCTACCGATTAAACAGCAGACTGGATCTGCATTCCATCAGATGCAAAGAAACAAGGGAATTTTTTTCTCGGAAATGCTCCATAAGCGACAATACCAGATTGTTTTAGCATGCATCTGAACATAAGCAAAACAGCGGATATTATTCCACCTTTTTTCTTGGTATGTTAAGCTACGACGGACAAAACAGCGGCAGATCTTTACCTCTGGTCATACTCCCAGGATGAATGCTGAATAACATCCCGGCTCTAGATGATGGAGCAAGGACAAGAGGAAAGGAGGTCGAGATTGGCCTTCCATCACCTTTCCCGACAAGGAGGATTCCTGCTTCAAGTTCTAACCAAGCATCATCGATTTTCAGGCAGGCCTTGACTTGGGAATGGATTACAACCTGGAAAACAGTGAACAGAAGTGCCAGTCAAACATTTATTATGAAAAAACTGGTCAAGATTAAATTATCCAGGAAAATATGTAGTGATTAACCAAAACAGATTGTCTCCTTAAGGGTAAAAAAACATTTCTGTGGTAAAACAGAAACATAGGTGTTCATGGCAGCTGTAACATTCAGCAGGAGAATGACCGTCGTCACATGACATTCAACAACAGAGTTCTATGAGAGAAAAGAAAAACGTTTGAATACAACAAAGGTTACAATAGCGAGGAAAATACCTGCAGTAATAGACCGTCATCATTGCATTTATCAGCAACACGTGTGCATATACGGAATGGATCAGTAAAATGCACAGCAATTGTCCTGTGAAAAAAAAAAGAGGTTAGAAGAATATACTGAGAGAATGCGATATCCAAATATTATGCATACGAAAAATGTTTACACTATTTGTGTGGAGGAATAGCTAAAAAAAAAGTACACGAAAATTCTCACGCATAGATAATGGAATACATACTTCTAGATGAATACATGAATGGACAAACGCACAAAATTTTCATAAATGCATACGCATGTTGGACGAATTAAGGGAATGAACATACAACACGTATTTACAATTTAGACATAAGTATAAAAACAAAGCTATGGATGAAAATCTTGTTACTGGTCCTTGGAAAAGATAAAAGTGTGAGACCTTTCAAAAGTTTGATTGAGAGCCACCCCGAAGTCAAGTTTTAGGGCAATAGTCCGCATCCCGTCAACAACGCTATGTCTCTGAGGATAAACTGAATGTTGAGCACTAAAAGTCAGTTTCTATCAAAGAATATTCTTGAAAAGCACAATGTTAATTTTCTACAGAAGAAACCTGCTGATGTTCCTCTTGCGAGTTCGTTGCTAACAGCATGAACAGGTAACCAGATGATACTGGTCAGATTGCTGGCCCAGTCCGGTATTGCGATTCTACCGTCTTGAAGCATTAACTGTTCAAACTGGCGTAATGATGAAGAAGAAAAACCTGTGCCATTGCCATTGGGATCCTCCGTTTCAACGTGAAGTGCACCCTCTCTTGCCTTTTCATAACTCTCAATTTCAATCATTTGTGAGTCTTCAACCACCAGCTCAGGACCAGTGTCAATGTGCAATATAGCGCCTCTAAGGGGATAGTCTAAAGGCCTTATCACTAATCCGACCCATTGAGGTTCGTTCATGAGCAAAGCTGAAGAGATGGCTGCACTAATGTCGACCAATTGTCTAGGCTTGAATACCTACAGAAAAGCAGACGATAATGATCAATTATTGACACGTGGATTCGATTTTGTCGTACCACCCAAATCACATCTGCATCATTCTCACAAACACGGAGGGCAGTGAAAAAAAATGCAGACAAATCTTAACGGTAAGGGCATGGCACAGGCTGTATACTTGGGACAGTACCTTAAGAACGGGTCGAGTTGGCTTCTCGTAGTTCATAAAATCATCACTGTCAGGAGGGCCAACTTTAGAAAAACTGTGCGATCTGAACAATAGATTTCCTATCTGTCCAGTGAGAACTCCCAACACATAGGAACCTGGCTTCTGTGGGGGCAGTTCAAGGGTAATTATATTCTTACCAGGCTTAAGAGCAGTACAGCTCGAGCATTTTATAGCCTGAAAAGGGAAAAAGAAATAACATCAAAACATCAGGTATGCTTGAAATGATGAGCAACGAACATCATGACCTATGGAACAAGACAGTAGAGTTCAAGTTATCCCATAACTTGAGAAAGCTTGTCTGCTAATACCCACACTACACGGTAATTTGGAAATGAGGCAGTTCATGCTTATTAGCATGTGTACTGTATGATTGACGAAGCCATCTATCCAGATGTGTACCTTAATGGCTTCATCTGCATTGAACGTGGGTATTAGAGTCAGGCTAAGTGACTCGAGAGTTATGTCATCTGGAAAACCACTCCATAGTGCTACAGACAATATCCCAGGGTCCCCATCACACAACTGAAGAGGTGGACCAGGGTTTCCAGAAAACGTTATTAATGATGAAACATCCAGTGGTAACGGTTCCTTCATTGAGCTATGAGCAAGACGAAGAACCTCCGTTTGAAAAGCTTGGCGTTCTTTGTTCAGAAATAGACTACCATCCAGAGATAATAATCTGATACAGGATGATAGGTAGCCAGCCTGATGATTGAGGATCTTTTGGCACTCGGCCAAATTCGGAAGGACTTCTGCCAGTAGATCATGCCAACCTTCTCCTGAATACAGAGCACAGACCTTTTCATATGATTTGGCAGCAAGATCAATATTTCCACGCCTAAAGCTGATAGCTGCAATTTCTCCGTCAAGGACAACTCCATGTCGTTTCCACCATGAACGGTGATAATTATCAGCCGCACCTTTCGTCAGTTCAAAGTATTTTGCCTGTTAGAAGCAAGGACGAGACTTAAAACAATAGATATAACGAAGATAATTCGATGAAATAGGTTGTACACTAACACTTGGTCATCAATTCAACAGATTATTAGCATGTATGTAATTATCCATCTGCGTTGCATAGGGATTCGTGTACATGAAAAACAACCTAACCTAGCAGAACATTCAAAATAAGGTTCACCTCCATATAAATGTGTCAGATTTTTACCTCAAACTCCTCAACGGATGAGAGTGACTTCCACAGATCCAGATCAGAAATTGTTTGGTGCAGCGCATCTTTTGTTGCAACATGAATATCTAATAACATCATTGGGTGATCAAGAGGCAAGGAACTTTCATAGTTAACAGGGCTTGAGTACGCACGTGGCATGGCACCCATGTTTATTTTGCCTGAAGGGGATGATCTGGAGAGTCCATCAAAACCTGAACTGTCCCACCAATGCATAAACATTCAGTAAATAAACACTAGAAAAATCAGAATACGATTGCCAGGATCAAATTTTCGTTCATTACCCATCACTTTGTATTAAACAACCTTCAAGCAACTCGGATACATTTCCAGCTGAACGAGAGGCCCTTCTTCGGTTGGCCTCTCTTAAAAGCGATGAAGGTTCAAGAGGTAGTGGTTTTCTCTGGATACCTAAGAACTTGACATCTGGAATTGCTTGAAGAATCCTCTGTGTGTGACATAGACGAAAGTCAGAATAATTTCGCACATCTATTGCAGAATTAGCCAGACAAATACTAATTAAACAAAAATGGAGGAAGGTAAATAAGACGAAATAATTTATAACAAATATGTTCCGTTAAAGCATCTGATATCAGGAGAAAAGCTGTGTTTAGAAAAATTAACGTGGGATGGTTTCAAGGAGCTGAAAAGGTGGGTTTCTCCTTCTACATCACGAGTCAGTAGCAGGATAATCAAGAGCAGAGAGGCAAGGTAGTCGTAGCAGCAGGTGTGACAGGAAAGGAGGAGATTCACGTTCCTATTTTTATTGTCTCCCTTTGCCAGTTACATCTTCAGCCTCCACTTCTAATTATTTCAGTATCATTTCATTTTTATTTTTCTCCCTCAGCACTTCCTCTGGCTATAGAGGAAATATCAATCACATTCAAAATAGTAGTGGCCAAGTAGCAAGTACAAGGTCGATTCGATCCTTTTCTTAATGTCAAGACTTCCACTTGAGATGGGTCAAGGTGCTGGATTCTAATCAGAGGCCTCTGAAAGCCAAGTAGCATCAAATTCAAAAACAATTCCGGCACAAACTAAAATGATAACACTCAATCCTGGAAAGAACACTAAACTCTTGACTCTAGGTGTTCATAAATTACCTTCTTATGATTACCCATCATACTATATGTGTTCTTAATTGGCAAGCATGTTTCTGCCACTAATTACCACTAAACTTGATAGCGCAGACTGAAAACCTTCTCTTAGTGATATTCTTTTCGCCTTTTTCCTCTTCTTTCCCCTTTTCTCCGCAGATGAATGCTACATAAAACTAAAATAAATCCACCCAACAACAGTAAAGTGCTCAACATCAAAGTTATCGCTATACATTATAGTCCAAGGCATCTACAGCACGCTTCTGTGAAAGCTGACACCAGATTCGTAAAGAATCAGCCAATTCAAGTAGATTCCAGATGTCTGTGTCAGTTTCCGAGTTTCATTTTTTAAGTCGGTCTCAATGATGATCAGTTACCGTAAATAGAGGAATAGATTGTCTAAATTTCAGTGAGCCCTAACGCAACAAACGAAATAATGCTTAAATGACTCACCTTCTCTTTTGTTGGTAGTTCAGACGAAGTACCTTGAGGGACTGAGGGCCAAGATGCGGGCTTTGGCCAAGGAAGCATACTCAGTGCGGCACTGCTCACAAAAAGAGGACATCACTTAAAATATGTTATATGATAAATAAAATAGAGAACCTGACAGAAATTTATCAGACGACATCTTGAAATTTTAAAATGAAATAGAAATTTTAGTAGATGTTGGAATTAAAATCAGATAGTAAAGGTAAGATTAGCTAGCAAGAATCCCACCTGTTAAATGGGCTTCTCTCTATGTCCGTTCCATTTCCAACCAAATACGCAACCCTCATAAACTGTCAAGACAGAGTTACTATCTATGCTGAGAGATTGTTTAATCCTAGAAATATGCTGTTCTATAAATAGACTTGGACAACATGAATGGAAAAAATCTCACGATTAATAACAAATGCACAGAAAAAAAAAAGACAACAAGTTTTCATCACAGGAATATTAAGTCAGATCAAATGCTACAAAACAAAGGAAACGTTTTACCTTAACTCTAGAAAGAGAATAGAGATCACCAATAAGTCGATAGAACTCTTTATCAGCATCAGCAGCCACGGTTCCACCGTCATACTTTGAAGTTGTTGAATCGATTAAAGCTAGACAAGCACTTACTATCCACACTTCCTTCAAGCAGAATGGCAGCACATGCTACAAAATCACCCCAACAAAAACCTCACATGTCGGATGAAATTTCAGAAGAGTTCGACAAATATGTACAGCAGAATAAAGTGGGGATCCACTCAGAATTAAGGGCCTTCAAGGGCAGATACCTCATGCAATGTTAGTGTCTTCGAGAAACTGATGATAAATGAATGGCCTCGAGTAGCAACCTCTACAGGGCGACCAAGCTTGAATAACAGCTGCAAATTGGATATGATAATTTCAACAACTCCCAAAAGAGGATGTTCACAAAAGACAGACCCATTGTCCACATACAGGTCACTACTTACGTAAATCAACGAAAAATAAAATTATGTTTCTTCTTATATTGTTTGGAAAATCCAAATAATCTAATCGCTCATGCAACTGAATGACGCAACCTCAACAAAACAAAGTACTTTAGATACTTTGACGTAGGATATATAGGATCACATACACACGAATCAAGGAGTGACCCGAGTACAAGTTGACAATATATCTATATCTATTAAACCATAGAAAACCACGAAACCATTATACCTTTAAATTAAAAAATGTACATGAAATGCAAAGGACTTCAACTACAAAGTAAAAATGCAAGAACTTGAGGGAAAAAAAAAGATGCAGATGAATAACTGGCAAACAGCCAAAAGTTTAATAACCCATGTACCTTACACTGGCATGCGAACAAGTATTGTCTGAATTCAAACTCCCTGAATGAATCGTCCTGAACAATCTGAGTCAGGGGCTTGTAGTCAGGATTGAGAAGAGCTGCTTGATCATCACCCTTTTCTGATCCTCCAAACTCCCTCTTTTTCATTGTGGGAGTATTTACTGCAATTTGATAAAAAAATAAACTACAAGAAATTTCCTTGCCACCCGAATTTCTCAATACCCATTATCATATTCTATACTGACAAGAAGCATTAATATCTATCCTCAGAGAATGCAGATGGCAAAACTGATAGCTTATAATACAATTGAAATAAGATCCTAAATTGTTAAAAATAGGCACATCAAATTCAGCAACAATGATATCAATAATGGCAGATATAGAATAGACTCTCCCAGAAACCAGAAACAAACTTTCCCAGAATAGAGAAAGTTAATTCAAAACGAACAAGTTGAGTATATACATTTCCTGTTAGAGTGAGACAAGAAAAGATAGAGAAATGAGAAATACCAGGTATCTCTCAACAGAGTATTATAAAAAGAAACATATCAAACACCCAAAAACTGCATAATAGGCCGTCAGGATGTGAAATGGCAACTCTATGAGGGAGAGAGAGATCAGAGAAAAGTCGCAACCAGATTTTCATAGAATTCCATGAACTCCTGGGTTTGATGGCAACATATAATCCTACAATTAAAGGATGATCCTTATAAACATTCAAATCAATGGTATACACCATTCTTCATCCGACCAAATAACTGATCAACTTCCATAAATTAAAAGTCCAAAGCAATGACCAATAATAACAAGACACCAACGCAACCTTGTGCGCAAGATGCTGGATTCCTCAGTGATCCAGATCTGCCACAAGCAAAGCCCGACCTAATGTGGGGACGGCTGTCCTCTTCTGAATCCCAGTGGACATGAAAAGTTAGTAATTCCTGTATGATAATGTTGACCGTTCTTCAGAAGTTAGCACCTCTGTAGTTTTGAACCAGAATACCCATGCTCTGCTAGCAAGTGACCCACATTCTTTGTACGTTTAGAAAACAGTGCATTTACCCTTTTCTGGCTGGTCAACAGTTTTTAATCCTGTGTTCTGTACAAGCCTCGTACAGAGAGGGAGATTTCGCACTCTTCTGACAGCCAATAAGCAAGCTCTAGAATCACAGGAGTATTTGATGCATGATCTACCAAGGTTCATCCTCCAAGGTTTTTAGATACTTTGTGGGTCCGTAGGTTATATTATAATGGTTATGATAAAGCCATTCCGAAAAGAATGACTCTTCATGTTCACGGTGACTCTTATTACCATTTTAATGCATGGTCTACTTTCGCGTTTTTTTGAGACTCTAAAGATTTTCTCTCGGTGAAAGTTCAAATGATTTCGTTAAAACTTTTCTATACTAAATGCTGTCCATGTTCAAGTGCATTCTAAATAGGAACGTTCTGGAATAAAAATTCTAGTATTTTTACTTTTAGAAGATGATCCATAAACCCGCTCCAATTTCACTTACTATTAAAAATTCGTTAAGGTAAATATCTTACATGCTTACATTTACACGGAACATGGTGGCGTTCAAAAATCATTTATGGAACATATTTTATAAAATTCGGCAAAGCTAAGCAACTATGAAAAACCTGTTTCCAGATAGCAGAGTTCCAGCTCATCATATTCCCGTAAGGAATCTTCATGCAGATGAGCCATCTCAAACATGAAAGCCAAGCTCTCCTGTAAAAAGAAGAAAAAGAAGATGACGTCAGACCTAGATGTGAATGAATATAACATTATTTTGTGATGGTAGATGATCCCAGGAAATATCAATATATGGAACAAATAAATGCATAAAAGCCTGTTTATTGTCCACCGCCAGGTTGTGTGGTAAATAAGGGAACAAGCGGTGAGATAGACCTTCAGAATGAAAAAGTTGCAGAAGTTCCAAACTGGCATGAAACGCTGTTCACTAAGCTTTCGAATTTCTTCCTCATAGAATTGAATACGTCTATCCAACGTATTACGAATTGATTCCACAATTTTGGCTTCTAAATCTTCCCAAAAGTTTGCTTCGGTTCCATGCAAATCTAATTTACAGCACCTAGACAATACATCAAAAAGTAAAAAATCAACAATTTATAACGAAGATAATATCCACCAATGTTTTACAATAATCAAAGCTTAAACATTGGTTTCATAGTTTGTCAAAAATTTCTGCATATAGAGGCATACATGCAACAAAAGTTCAAACATGTTTTGAAGGGGAATTGAACATATAATCACCGCAGGGATGTGCATGTACTGGAAGATGTTCATAATGCTGATACTCACAAGTAATGCAAATATGATGGATGTGCATGTATGCAACAGGCAATGGTTTGATAAGGACAGTTGAAATATATAGCATCTGTACTTGAACGAGGCGCTTGTCAAGAGAGGAGGAATAAGGGATGCGATGCCAGATGGTCAGAAACATCATGAGGGACTCTTTCCTACGGACTAAAAAAAAAATGACACAGCAAAAATTCATGGGGATAGAAACCAGTCAAGGTTGATCCAAAGGTAAGATCATAAGTTTTGAACCTAGAGATAGAGCCTATTTTTTTAAGAAATCTGATTCTCCAATTGGTTAAAGACTTAATATTTTATGTACTTAAAATGATAGTGTAGGTTGGAGAAATGCTACCTTAGCATCGAAATTAAGGACCACAACTTTTAAGCATGTATATATCCTTGACAGTCATACAAGCTTGGAAGGAAATCTGAGAAGAGATAATGCCTTTTCTGACATATTCAAGATATGCATGGAAGAAAAACGTGCGAAGGAACTTCACAAATTTACAGCCCATAAAAACGAAAACAAAGAAAAAAGTCGATTCCCTTCACCTTTCTCTCTTTTTTGCATTGAAATCAACTTCAAGTTTTGCATATATTTTTTTTGCTAGCTTTGATGCTTGATCATTGCTGGGATGAGCCTTTGAAATAAATACAATAATCCACTCTTTCTCATCATTTTGAACAATTAATTTCAGCCTTGGCTTTAAAATTGTCTTGAACTCGTCAAAGTCCTACATAGAAACCAGCAGTTTAAAGGATCCTGAAAGATTAAGTACCCAACACTTTGTCCTATTATCAGTAAAATTGTAAAACTGAGGGAGGAGTACAGAATGGAAAGTACCTCACAGGTAACTAAAACCACTGTTGCATATGGTTCTCGAAACCAGAACACTGACTGTTCCTGTGGGAAACGACTTCGAAGCCTTGCATCAGTTGTCAGTATAAACTCAACAGGCAGGTTCTCGACATTTATGGGACTGTGAGTCTTGTTATTCAAGTAAGCCTTCTTGAATGGAGTTCGTTCCTCGAAAGCATCTTTGACAAGAGGCCACAAGTCACTTACATCCTCCACTGGAATAATAGGAGTATAAAGTGTTAATTGTTTCAAAGTGTCAACAGGTGGCAGTATAAAGGAATTAGAAAGCGTCATGCTATCTAGACAGTCAGAAAACTTGTCATAAACATGTGGAATTTTTTTCTTAAAAATTGTATCCCTTGATGACGGGATTAGCAAGACTCCTTATAAACAACGATCCTATAACAAGTGAGCGAAAGAGAAGTATGGCGAACAAGAACAGTGAAATGAGAAATGCATTGACAAGGGAACTGCTGGCCTGTTAGACAGCATAAAATTCTCTCCATACAGATTTCCACAGAATGATGGTCGAGCAAACCAGAAAACTAAAGCCACCTTACGAATTTTACACCTTAAAAAAAACAACAAAAAATTGCTATTTTACAGAATCTTTAAAAATAGTGGCTAATATTACAGATGGCATATGGTGATGGTGCAACAAGATAAGACCTTCTCAAGGACCCAATATTTCCAGGACAAGTCCACACAAACATTTGTTAAATTGGTCTAATGTATAGGTATTCAAGAGGGGGACGTTAGAAGGCAATACTTTCCTTGGAGATCAATGAGACTTCAATAGACATATGAGCTTGACGGTACCTTTTAGAGAAAAACCATATTCAAATAAAAATTGATGCACCACATTCTCCCACCCTGGTTAAAACTTGTAACAGATATCGAACCAACACTGCAGCATTCCCTCAAATCTGGTAGGCAGCCTCTAACCACATTTGCAATTTCCCATGTGTTCTGTTTTTTATTATTTCGTTAATGTATACCCTAAGAAAATGATCCATTGACTTTTCCCCCCATATGTTTTATATGGTATGTGTCCCTTCAAAAAGAGTGGATGAATTCTGGATGAAATCAGAATTGAATAAACTGCGAATAGGCAAAACCTTCTGGTAGACGAGCACATAAACAGACATTTATGCCGCCTGAAGACCTGAATGCTAAGAGGGAGGTCGAACTGAAGAGGAAAAGGTGCATTGGAAGGGACTTAATGAGTAGACACAGCAAAGCAAAAAAATCGTGAACAGGATGGCCAGAAGAAACCGAACTAAGGAAAGTGGAGATTCAGGAATAAACAAGGCATCTTCAATTAGCCATAGTTAATAAAAGACGTCAACCCTCCAAAGAAAAGCTCGAAGTTAGGGGTACCAAAACTGATCATGGTGCTCAGGAGTATAGAGAAGCAAGAAGTTAATGAAATGGAAATAAAAAAGATATAGAAAGTAAAAAACGTGAAGAAAAAACCAGACCTCCAATAAAGGAGGTAGGTTCTGGCAAAAAAACAGAAACGAATAACCATTAGAATATACTGTTGTGCACCCAAATCTGTCAAAGTAGAGATTCCTCGGTCGTACCTGGAGCAGATAGCCAGGAGATTTGCACATGACATATCGGAGTAAGACAATATAAATTAGAGGGATGGTGATCAGATAAAGTGTCAATGGATCAAAAATTCTGAGGTTTGGCAGGAAAGCTGATAAGAGGTGAAAGAACGGAGATGATGCAGATGAAATCACAATGAATATGATGTGGAATACGATAAGTCCTTAAAGTGACCACCAAAATAATGGCGAGGTATTTCAAGACCCAAGAGATTTGAGGAAAAAGAAACAGACGAGTTGTGCTTGCAGAAAAAAAAGAGTCAAATAAACTACAGAGATATTTCGAAGGTTGGGCTGGGAAGAAGCAAAAGTTTTGAAGAAACATCTGCCATGTGAAATAGTTGGATGCTTGGAGGTCAGAGTTATTATTTCAGGAATATGCGACAACTATCTAGTCCAAAATTTATTAAAGGCGACCCTTGTTGTGAAGTCACCACTGTCCATGGGCGACCAAGTTCAAGTGAAAAATAGGCTTCCTTTCACGAGTTCTGTAGTGTATAATAGCGTTCAAATTCCTGACTTTATTTATGTGGAATTCAGTAAAGAATGGGGCCGTGGAAAGGATTGTAGAAATGGGACAAGGCCTAAGAGATGATGCGAGGCTTCTCAGATATGAACTAGCTAGGACTCCTTACGACAGGGTTCCTAGTTTAGGTGAATATGTGGCAAAAGCTTTGGAGGCGAAAAGGGGGGTGCCCAGGTGCTATTTCCAGAAGCTGACGTTGAAAGAGTGGAAGAAGAGAGTAAGAAGTTTGCAGGCTACTGCAGTTCTCAGGCAAAATTTCCATAATAAGCTGAATTGAAAGAGAAACAATGGAGTGCTGTGTAGTAATGCCAATGAAAAATACGATGAATGGCTTCTACGAGAGACAATCAAATGGCAAACGGGAAAGGGTTCCGCCGCATTACACAATCGGAAGTGCAGACGATAGCCCCGCCACATTACACAGATCCATCGGACACTAGCATTTAATTAACAGAGCTGCCGCCGAGCATCCGGGATGATGCTTGACTAGAAGGGAGAGTTATTGAGAGCGTAATTCAAAGAGTCGCCCGCCGATCAACCAGGACTGAAGATACTGCGTATTGTCTATTCCTCAGATCCAGCGGAAGATCGGCCGGTCAAGCACATGGCATCCTTCGAGGAAACGGGAACAGACGCCGAAAGCAACAGAAGAAAAAAGATGGACGGGACGAGGAGACGAGCCGCGTACCTGCGACGACGAGGCGGTTGCAGATGCTCTTGATGGTCCGGAACTGGGCGAGGTAGCTCGCCATGGGTGGCGGAGGACGCGAGGCCGGGCGAGCGCTCGCACTCGCACTCGCATGGACGACCCCGATAGGACTGCCGCCGGAGGCGGGAGACGCGACTCCCCGAGACGGCGAGGCGATCCGATCCGATCCGATCGGGCATCCACCGGCCTGGTTCGCCCGAGACACAAGAGCGCCCGCCACTGAGAGAGGGGAGCGAGAGGAAGAAGTATCCCGGAGTGGGGCCCACCGGACTGGTTTACGGCGCCTTACTCGTTATGGATAGAGGAGAGGCTCAACCCTGGAAAGAGCCAGCACCTGTATCGTCTGCCCCACGTGTATAAACAAGGGCCAATCAATCGTATGCTCTTCCCTCTACAGAATCAATGAAACGAGGATGAAGAGAGAGCGCTCTGCGTCGTTGGCGTTCAGACGACCAGCGACGGGGGAGTTCAGCTTCTTGGCATCTTTTCACGTCGAGCCATACGTTCGTTTTTCCTCGGCTCGACAGAATCATTCATGGCAAATGGTCATGAAGAGCCGTAAAAAGGCTAAGAAATCTCGATCTGCGTGACGAAATCGGTATTTGCTTTGCTTCTGCTTTAAGGACAGGAAGTTCGTCAGATTAGGGGAAGCAGGTCCAAATAAGGTGGGGATTCAGGAATCGACCATCTGCTTGATCCATTTTTCAATGGGGTACGGGAAGTAGATGCTGAATGAGGGGATGGATGGAGATTGACCACTGCTGTAAGAACAGAGGATTCGTTCCTCATATTAGTTCCTACCCGGGGTATCAGCGGAGAACACTGTAGCACCAGAGATCGTAGAAGAACAGCCTGCCGTCTTGTTCTCATCCTGTACCGTCGTCCAGGATCAGAGAAGTGGCGCACGGCAGCTCCACCAACAATGTAATTTAGTGAGCGAATACAGATGCAGAGACGACATTCTACCGGCGGCAACGATGCAGAGATTTGACAATCAGACTATCAATCAACGGAAGCGGAGGGGATGGCGGAAGCATCACCGAGCTCGGGCTGCGGCAGCGGCGCTGAGGAAGAGGCGCCGCCGCCGACGCACCGATCATTCAGCCAGGAGAGGATGTGGCCCCGGACGACGGTGATGTTCTCTTCGGGCTCCCCGAACAGCAGCGAGTGCAGCATCCCGTCGTAGATCCTGATGGTCTTGTCCTCGCTGGCGGCCAGCTCGTAGAGCGCCTGGCTCACGCTAAGGTCGGTGACGACGTCGGCGCTGCCGTGGAGGACGATGAACGGCAGCGTCACCTCGGGGAGCCTCGAGTAGATGTAGTCTGTCACCCGCAGCAACTCCACAACCGTGCCTAGCCTCGGCCTTCCCCGGTACCTCAGCGGGTTGCGTCCGGCGACGGCGCGCTTCTCCGGTACCTTGACGGAAACGCTGATGAGGTCGACGGTGGGAACGATCGGCAATTTAGGGGCGAATCTGGCGACGAAGGTCAGGATCTGGGGCACCGGCCACCGCGGGCGGATGCTCTCGGAAATCCTGCACATTGGCGCCACCAGGACGGCTCCGGCCCACGCGCCTCCTCCCGGGGAGCGGCGGTGGCGCTGGTGGTCGCGGAGGTGGAGGAGCAGACAAAGGGCGCCGCCCATCGACTCGCCGTAGAGGAAGCAGGGGAGGGACGGGGGCTGGGCATCGCGCACGGAGTCGAAGAAGGCGAGGCAGTCCTCCGCGACCACGTTGACGTCGGGAACGAAGCCGCGGAGGCCGTCGGAGAGGCCGTGGCCGGGGAGATCGAGGGCGAAGCACGCGAAGCCGGAGCGGGCGAGGAAGATGGCAGTGGATTGGAAGGTCCAGCTGATGTCGTTGCCGTACCCGTGGACAAGGCAGACGACGGCGCGGGGCGGCGAGGCGGTGGGCAGCCAGGAGCGGGTGAAGAGGGCGATCCCCCGGGGGGACGTGTAGAAGGACTTGCTGCCCCGGACACCATGGGACGCGTAAAAGCCCTCCTCATCGGGGGATTCTCCCCAGAAGTGTGCTGCCGGAGCGGTGCTGCCGCCGTTGCCGTCCTCGCCAAACTGTGCCGCCCTCTTCTCCATGCTCTCTCCGCCACCGCCGCCGATCGTTTCCCCCATTTTCCCCACTCAGCTGATCAGAAGGCAGGCGGGGGATCTTGATGGAGCCCCGGAGCGAAGAGACCGAGAGAGAGAGAGAGAGAGAGATGGGACGAAAGAGGGACTATAATATACGTGAAACTCCGGTAACACAGAAACACACGAGCTAAGGGGGAGACTACAGCATCTAAAACTTTGTGGGTTTTGTTGTGGGTCCAATTAGATGAGGACCCCAAGAAGCCCTAGGGGCCTATGGTGAACATCTAAGACTTCAGACGGTTGTGCGGTCCTAGTGAGATCTTCGTCCAGTTGCAGTGGGTCAGTTTGGCTGGGGGTCTTGAGGTGATTGTTTTTTCAGCTAGGAGATGTGGAAGACTAGGTGGATATTAGAAGTGGATGGAAGATTCAGCCGGTAAGAAACAGACCCAACACACTGATTTTAGATGAGTCGTAAAAGTGTGTGTTGGGCCAAACTTATTGTATGGTCTCTTTAAGAGTGAGGTTCGTTAATACGGGCAGGAGTGGAGGTAGGCAAGGTCACCTTCTGCAAACTCAAAGTCCCTCCACTTGCAGTTTGTCCTTCATGTGAGCTTGAGCTCTTGTCAAATGCTGCTTGAGTTGAATGAGGCTGGCATTCTGTTCCTATAGTAACTAGTCCAGCTCTCCTAATTTTGCTGATTGATTCTATACCATAGGAGAGTAGGCAAATCACGTCCGGAGATGATTCTAAATGGTACTGATCATGCAAAATAAGTAAAATTTATATTCAATCAGAATTCGACCAAAGCGAGTCATTTCTCTATTGGCACAAAGAGGTCCCCAATGAAGCATCAACATAGGTTTCCAACCCTCGATTAAACATGTCAATTTGTATGTTGGTTTGTGGATGGTATGAACTAGTCCGACAAAGAGTTGTGTTGAATAAGGAGGAAAATTTGCATGTGATTAATAAGGAAACCTTGGAGCCGAACAATGTCATGGATGAAAATTTGAGCAATACTTTTGGATGTGAATTGATGACTTAGGTAAGAAAAATGGGTATACTAACTCAAATGATCAATCATAACCAAGAGTACTTAAATATTTATCAACTATATTAAAGCACCAGCATCTTCAATAATCAGATACCATCTAGTTGAAGAGGAAGAAGTAAATGAAGGCACTACAAGTCAACGTTAATATCTAAAAATAACTCATTATTAAATTAATTAATCATTTATTCATTTAGAGGTGATCCTTTTAATCAATGGTGGGTCTCCATGAATCAATAATGTAGAAGAAAAGTTTTGGATGAAATTCTATGAGTGATGAGCCTGATAACTAGTGGTGGTGAACACTAAATATTTGGTTTAGTGGAACTAAGCAAATGGGTGTTCTTGAGAGTGGGTGTAGGCAGTTGGCCTAAGATCCTTGAGCCCTCTATATTATGATTTCACACAAATATGTTTTCCTTCTCTCTTGTGCAATTTTCGTAATCTTGTGTTATGAGGAAGGAGTGCTCTTTATTATATGACATGTGAAGTTGTGTTGCCATTGAGGGCCATAAGGGATGATTTTTTAAAAGAAGAAAAGTTGTGCAAGAGGTTTTTCAAACCATGTAAATTTGGTGTGCTATTTTTTCCTTCCCCCCCCTCTCATTCTCTCTCTTGTGGTGTGTTTACATTAGGCTTTTGCTTTGCAACAAAGGGAATGAGGATGCTTGTCATCCCCAACATACCAAGTTGGGCTTTTTGGACTTGATGATTGCATGCTATAGACCATGCCTTTGGGCCTGATTTCATTATACCTTTGAAGTTTGATGGACTGTGACTGAATAGGACATGACTATAATATCTAGAGGACTGCACTTGATTGGGACACCTTTGAACAATAATGGGTTTTGTTTGAGTGGGCTGTGCCTTTGAGCACTAATGGGCTACACCTTAGTGAGCCATGTCTTTGAGTGCTAATACATTGTGCCAAAAATTACATTTAAGAATAGACATACAGATTTTGTAAAATTACATCAAATCAAAACCTCAAAATTTTGATGATATGTTTGATGTTTTGGGTGTTTCCTCTTGTTAACTTTCTTATGAAAAGATGTAAGCTTGTATTACAATTTAAGCCTTGCCACATAGGTTGTCTTCTTAATTGAACTTATGACAATCCAGACAATGCTAAATGAAGACGTATCAACCTTAATCCTGAACATGTTATTTATCTCATAGGTGACTCCTTCGTGATTGATTTGATCATCAAGTTTGTATCATCAGTTTACACTTTATGTGAATTTATGAAATACCCTTTCATATCATTAAAACATTTATACTCTTAACTCAATAGCTATGATAATATACTTTTGTTAGAGATCTTATGAGATGTATTAGTGTTGTGGAGAATGATCTAATGAGCTCTTTGACAAGCACAAGGAAGAAGAACCTGCTATAACTATGGACATAGGCAGATTCACTGAACCACTTGTATCTTTTGTGTTCTCTTCTCTTGCCTCACCCTTCCTCTTATTTCTTGTGTGTATTTCTTCTGTTTTGAAAGGAGACACCTGCCCTCAACATCTTGTCTGATGTGTCATATATTGTATAGAAAATCCCTTTCTTAGCAAATATCTTTCATGACAAATCATTTCATTATATAAAACTCGAAAAATGTAATGGAATAACAAAGGAATTAGTCTAAGTTAGATCTTCATTCGAGAATTTCTGACAAGAATAACATACTTATGAGTAAATTTTCTTTCTCTTTTTATGATTATTTCGCCATGTCAAAATCTCTAGGTCAACACTAGGTACACCTGCCATAATTATTATGTTATATGTCAACACAAAACTTAGAGAAAGAATGCAATAATGAAGGTGGCAAGGAGGGGACAAGCATAGGGTATATTGGTAGAGTTGATATATGGTTTTATGACTAGATGAATGACTTGCACATATGTCATAAGGGAAAAGGATGTCCTAATAGAGGTGTTATGGTAAAAAAAAAAAAAAAGGAGTTTTCTTCATGGAATTTGTTCTAGTTTTCATCAACAAAACTTGAGAGTAGTAGGACCCATAAAAATATTTAACTGTAGTAATGATAAAGCAACATAAATGTTTCTTTAAAAAACTAATTTGTAAGTAAATCTCTATGAGATAAACATGATAAACTAGTGTCTTTTCTATTGAGTCAACTATCAGCATATTGAATATGATAATAAGAAATCCAATTGAGTTCACATATTTCAGATATCACAATCCTGCATCAGAAATATGATTAAGATGTCAAAAATTTGTTGCAAAATATTTAAATAAAATTTACTACTATTTATTTTCTGATGGGCTTCAAACAGAAGAGAGGAGGGAACTTTTTCTATGCGACGGTTGAAAGAGACAAGAAAAGATGGGCACGGGCTGTGTAGAAAAGCAGCTTGGTAGAGAAGAAATCAAAGGAGACTGGGCAGAGAAAAATAAAAGTATAATTCTACATTTGATAACGAATATATTTTACAAATGAATATGTTTGAAAAATAAAAGGGAGAAGGGTAGCACGATAGGCATCGTTCTGTTTTCTTAGGGTGTTTACGCTATTTATCAGTTTAAATGAACCATATAATAAGGGAGGTTCCTCTTTATTCTTTATTTCGTTTAGATCGTCACAAGGATTTTCACGTATATTGCGCTTCGCTCTGGTCGAAGTTTTGTCTTAGTTTACTCAATAATTCATTCACACGAAGGAGAAAAGTTCTGGGGTGTAGACGTTTCTCCAAAGTATTTTCTTGTCCATCAAAGTTTGAAGCGGAAGTCGATGCTGGTATCAGTCAGCGGGTTCCTCTCCCATGCGACGAATTGCATATCTGAGGATCCTACCGATCAATCCTAGATCTGGGCTCTGGCCGAAGAATTATGGAATACGGGGAAGAAAGTAGGGTCTCCTTCACTTCCCCCATTCGTAATGCGTTCACACACGTGGGCGTACGTGCGACTCTAACAGCAGGGAGGGGGGCAGGAGACGTTGGCAGGCACTGGTCGTCCTCTCTATCCCGTGTGCTCCTCGGGATGTCTATTCTCCTACCAGAATTGGTCAGCCATGGCTCGTCACCAGCTAAAGGCCCTTCGTCCGCTTCCCTCACAATGGAAGCCCATCAGCGGCCGTCATTATTTCATCCCGAACAGTTTCAGCCGGAGAAGGGGGGCGGCGAGTGCGATTCTAAACGGACACTAGGATGTGACGTTGGTGGACATGGGCTCCCCCAAGTCAAACAAGACAAGAGCGATTTGAACCCTTTTGTTCTCTTCCCCGCTCTGCTGCCTCTGAGCGTACTCGATCTTCGGCTGGGCCCGCCAATGCTTCTCCTTCACATCCTCGTCTCCCGGGGGGAGATTACGACCGCCACGAATATATCGTCCATGCAGGATATCGGAAGGGGTTGGGGAGGTTCTCGTTGCTTTCGTTGAGACCGTCCAGATAAGAAAAGAGATCGAAAAGGGAAGACAGGATGGCCAAAGCAGAGAAGTGAAAAGGGCAATGTGAGAGGGACATGCTCCACCCACATCTCCGGATTTCTTTGATATTTAGAGCTTAAGTGTGGGGCTGTATCCACAGGCTGTTCTCGCAATAACAGAACAGTGTGGAGATAGTGGCCCTCTCGCGGGCTGATTTCATTTTCGACGTCATGTCATGGTATTATGGGTCCTTTTCACCCGAACACCCTCGAAAGTCCCGTTCTAATTTCCTTCTGCTTTCACAGACTGACGTGAGACGTCTCTGGTCTAGTCATCGCTGTCTTCTGTTAAACACGTTAGCCGCAGTAGCACGTTTCCTTCTCCTTCCAGCAAGCAACAAGACGCTCACAGTTCTGCGCATACGTGATCTCTCTCCCTCTCTCTCTCTCTCTCTCTTTCTATCATGTTCGAGACTCAACCCACCAAGCGGACTTTTAAGATGCCACAATCGAATTCGAATTTCTGTATTCTGATCTGCCATCTCCGCATTCTCTTTTCTTGTTCCTCCATACAGATTGTAGACGTGAGATGGGTACAGATTGAAAGTGTGGGGTCAGATCACCCAGCTCAAAACCATCTGAACCCATGCGTCGGTCACTTGAAAGTTCTATTTTCGGTTGTCACCCTGACAATAAAATTGAGATGCGAGTAGAGTAGAGGGAGAACCAAGTTTCAGTTTGTGCCATGATTCAATGATTTACCCTACTATCAAGTGACATTAACCCAGGGAAATCAGCAAAAAGACCCGGCACGGTATTTTACCTCGAACGGTAGGAATTATATTGGATGAGAGATGACGCTAATGATATGGAGACCGTCTCACGGCGACTCATAACCGATTAAGCGTATCTTCCATGAGAGAAGACAATCTATCGGAATGTTCGGCTTATTTCTTCACTTTCTCTGAATATCTTCTGTGATATTCACGATTAGGAAAAGTACAGAGTACGGCTTCGCTACTGGTCTTTACACAGCGAAGGGGGGGGGGGGGGGGGGTTTCGTTTCGCCGAGTACAAATACATGTGTACATATTCAGATGTGTGGGAGTAAAACTGCGTTGAAGTAATCAGGTCCTTTCTCACCTGGATATTTACACCTGCCTCTCCCAGTCGTCTCCTTCGCTTGTATCCGTACTAATCTTCAGTCTTCTTCCTCTGCAACGCTTCTGATACCTGTGAATATTTTTCAGTCGTACTGCGCCGAGGGGATGTCTGATAGCGCATGCCTATTCCTTTATCCTGCCTCCACTCGAAACTTAAGTAGGGTATGGCTTCGTCCCTGGTGCCAGCTTCTCCAGACGATCGTACAAGTCTGAGACGTTTCCAGCAGGCCTCGGCCTCCGGCCAGAATCTTCGGAGATGTGGTATGTAGAGATGTATATAAACAAGTCGCGGAGATTGTGGATTCGTCCATCGCGTTGGAATCAGGGACCCCACCTCAAGCCGGGAAAATGCTGTGGCTGTCGGACCACGCCCTCCCCAAGTGCTGGCAGCACTGCGCTCTGATGGTGATGGTTGTAGGGCGGAGCACATTGATGGGGAATGTGGCCCAGCAGCGCCATCATCGAATGGTTCCCTTCATTGCCGCTAACGCAGCCGTGGCCATCGTTGTTATCGTTTTCGCCGCTGCTGCTACTGCCGCTTTGGAATCTCTTCCTTGTCGACGGCGTGACCAGGCTTGCTTCATTCCAGCGTTTCAGTGGCAACGTGCGGGTGGAATCCGGAGGAAGGGAAAGCTCCGGTTTGTCTCTCTGCAGGGTCAGACGTGGCGCGGGGTAGGTTGGGATGCCGCCGGTGGCGAGCAGTCCCTCCATGAAGTTATCTTCATTATCGAGCAGGTTGCCGTAGTTTACCACTGTGCCATCGTATTTATCGGATTGGAGAAGCATCTGGTTTGGGCAAATGGAGGTGGCGTGGTGCGAGAGAAGCGGAAGCCGCAATGCTCTGAAGATGTTCTCCCCGGCGCCGTCCTCCTCCCGATCTCCTTCCACCAGTTTCGGGTTTCCGCTGCAGTTCTTCTTGTAGATTCGGCAGAGTACCCAATCGTCCAGCTGTTCAGCGCAGCATGCAGGAAGACACCATCAATAACTCAATTAGCAACGAAATAAATATTCGGGTCTTTCCTTGTCTGCCTGTCTGCGCTAAAAGTCTTGAGGGCCTCTTGGGGGCTGCCGGCTTATTCTTGGCGTCATGCACCTAGCCGAGTTCCAAACTCTCGATTTCTCAACCGTACGTCGTAGAGTGGATTTGGGCGGGGGGGGTGTGCGCACAAAAGGGGGAGGAACTTCCATATGGGGGATCGTTTTCCATCAGTTGAATAGGTGGAGCGATTACGTACCCTGAGAGAGCCGTTGTTCTTGATCCCCGGCGCGTCGCCGGGGAGAGGAGCCTTGGGGGAGCCGCTGTCGGCGAGTCGGTACTCGTGCATGATCCAGTTGGTCTTGATCCCCTTCGGGGGCCTCCCGCCGTAGAAGACGAGCGCTTTCTTCACCCCTACCTTCTGGGTACCCCCGGAGGTGAGGATGGCCTTGTCTGTCCCCGTGGCCTTCCAGTATCCTGAGGTAGCCGCGCGGTTAGGCCGGGCGCCGTTGGGGTACTTTCGGTCCCTCGGGCTAAAGAAATACCACTCCTGCTCCCCGAAGGTCGCCTTCTCTGTGCAGACGGACGAAAAGTCAGCCCCAGGAACGAGCCGGAGAGCAAGAATAATCGGAGAGTTCGCGATACACGCGATCGATAGTATGACAGCGAGAGAGAGAGACGAATCACGGCGGTCGAACCGCAGGTTATGAACGGAAGGATCGGCTGGGATGGGCTTACCGGGCAGCTCCCAGGGGTCGAACTTGTACAGGTCGACCTCCGCAATGATCGCAACGGGGAGCGGGGCGGAGGCAGCCTTCTTCTTGAGGTAGTGAACGACGAGCTCCTCGTCGGTGGGGTGGAAACGGAAGCCAGGGGGAAGCTGCGGATGAAGCTGCTGCAGCGATCCAAACAAGGACGTACCCGCGCTCCCCATGGACGTGCGATCCTCGAATAGCTCGAGGGAGGTCAGTAAGAGCAGGTTCAAGAGTCGCGCACGCAAAATGGACAAAAGAACCGGCGGAGGAAGGAGTCGGGCGCGCTCTGTCTTGGATTAGGGCGGTGACTCTATTATAAGCGAGCGGGACGCGGTGGTAGGGCGGAGAATTCCAGTCCTAGTCGCGGCCATGGAGTAGAAAACGGGGGATCTCGGAAGGGCGGAAGGGCGACCGTCGGAGGCGAGTGGACGGTGTTGAGAATTTTCTTACTATCGTTCGGAGGGAGAAGACGACAGCATTAAACACAAGGGGCCGAGTTCACATGTTAGGTGGAGGGGGACTTGAGAAGCTGCTCTACTCTGAAAGTCGGATTTTCCTCGATCATGTGAGGCCCGCATTGAGAAAAGGGACGCCTCCATTATATTTGAACGGCCAGCCAAGGCCAGTGACGCGACTATGTCCGACGGGATTGAGCGTGCGGTGTCGGGCGTCAGGCCGATCGGGAATGACGGAACAGCGGCCCCATGGAGACCCTTAAGCATTCATGGAAAAGAACAAAATAGCTGCTTTTCACAGAGAGAGAGAGAGAGAGAGAGAGAGAGGTTTCAAGAACTGGCTGAGGAGAATAGGGAAGGAGAGAGAGTGCGAGATGGTTTAAGAACTGGCTGCAGGAAGAGGGAGCACGCGAACACGGTGCTGACTAGGTATTAGATGAATTCAGCGACGGAGAGAGGTGCGTGAGGGATGAAGAGACACGCCTTGTGGTTCGTCGTTTGTTAAGGCCGTTTAGAGTCCCCTTGCTCGTCATGCCAGCCACGTGTTCGCGCAACTCTCCCTCTCTCTCTCTCTTCTGCGTTTCTATTTAGAAACCTGTCATCAATCACCCTGCCGCTTCACGATAAGCCGAACATCACGACCAAATGAATGAGAACTGAAACTACGGAGCAAATGCAAGGGAGTAACGAACACATCCCTTGGAAGACAAGCCGACGTTCGACGGTCGTCCTATACCCATTTTACTACGTGCCAGCCGAGAAGGGTTCTCCACGGCTGAGCAAATCGCCACCGCCGTCACTGTTCGCCCTTCTCGTCTGACTGAATGCCGCGACTGCTCTCGCCGGAGCCGTCGGGCGATAAGCCTCCACTCCGTGGGACGCTTTGGAGGGAGATGTGATGGTGGGCGGGGAAAGAATAAGAATATTTTGGACGCGACGACGGATAGACCGCCGGTGAACTAATATCTCCGCACGCGGGGTTGAAGTATCCGGCACTCTTGGATCCCTGAGGGGCAAGCCTCCAACGAGGGCGGGCTCTCTGCTGATCTACGGAGAGCAGTGCGTGAAGCGCCACCTAGGTGAGGTCCGGATACAGGTACCTGGCGTCTTCTCCTTCTGGATAGGCCTGCTAGTCGAGTTCTGTCTCCGCGCCTGCCTCCCTCTTCTGATCTCCGGTCTCTCTGCTAGTCGAGGGCGGGCTCTCTGCTAGTCGAGTTATGGATCCCTCTGCTAGGTGAGGGATTCCATTTCGAAAGGATACCAGAGAATGACGGGGACCGGACGGACTCAGTTGTACGCTGTTTTCCTCGTATAGGGGGTGGGTTTCTGTCTATTGCAAAAGCCCTCCCTCCCCCTTGCATCCCACTCGGGCACTCGCCGTGTCCCCCGTTCCTCCGATTCCGTAGACCTCCTCACACATATCCCAGCTGAGTTCCCGATCTCCCCCTCTTCCCCCGGGAACCCTTCCTGCCTCTGCTGCAAGCTCGGCCGCGGCCTCTCGACAGAGGCTCCTGTCAACTACGGCCCAATAGGTTTTGTACGCCAATATATCTCGCCAGGCGTCCTCTCTTCGCTCTGCAGCGAGAACGTGCATCGAGCGGTTTTTCCTAGATACAGCGGTCCACTGATCCGGCGGAACTGTCGTTTGGTCCGAGCTCGCCCGACCCAACGCTGGAGTTTCCGATCCTCGGCGACCGTTGCCCCGCAGGTCCACCACGAACCAATTAACCATTCCCGATTAAGGCCGCGAAGACAGAAGAAGAAGAAAGAGGGGAAGAAGAAGAGAAAGAAAAAGAGTAAGAAGAGTGAAGAAGGAGACGGTGGCCTGACCGACGGGAGGACTGTGGCCGTGAAGCAGCTCTCGCCTACCTCGAGAACAACAGTCTCGATCGAACCCTCTTCGGTAACCCACCCCGACCACATTCTTCTTCCTTCTTTTTCTTCCTTGCTTTTCTTCCCTTCTTCCGGAACAGACGAGCAGTGGGTGAACTGTGTCGCCGTCGGTTTACAAAGAAGAGCTGCGGAAGGCTGCAGCTGGAGTTGACGGCGTGGTATGAGATCTGCGTGAGGACGGCAAGGGGGTTGGCATACCTGCATGATGAGTCACGACTAAAGATCTAGATTCTATATACTTACTCCCTAAAACATAGTTTTTAGTTTTTTCATATGATTTTTATTTTATTTTATATCTTTTCAATCATACTTATACAAAATGATGCTCATAGTTAATATAACATGAATTTTGTTTTTTCCACATGCCTTTAAGGATAATGCAATTTAAATTGGGGGGTGAGGTATAATTGAAATATATGTCAAAAATGCTAAAAGTTTTCTGAAACATTATGATTAATTTTTTTATGTTTCTATGTATCATATACAAAATGGTGCTCATGAGTAACATAGCATGAGTTTTAATTTTTTCACATGTCATTAAAGACAAAATTCAATTTAAATTGGGGGTGAGGCATGATTGAAACATATGTCACAAATACTAAAATTTTGTTTAAAAAATTATGATTAATTTTTTTATGTTTCTCTCTTTTCTATATATCATACTTGTGCAATATCGTGCTCATGATTAAAATAACATGAGTACTCTCACATGCCATTAAGGACAATGCAATTTAAATAGGGGTGAGGCATGATTGAAATATATGTCACAAATGCTAAAATTTTATCTAAAAAATTATGATTAATTTTTTTATGTTTCTATCTTATCTATTTATCCTACTTATACAACATGGTGCTCATAATTAACACAACACTTGATAAAAGGAAAAATCAACATACTACTTACACTTAGAGCATGCTAGAATGATTATGGCTGAATCATAATAAATCTTGAGGAGTGAAGTATTACAATTATACCATAACTATAATATTATTTGTAACTATATTCTTATTAGTATGACAATTAGACCCCTTTGTTCACGAGCGTATCAGATCCGACAAATCAGTTTCACTTATGATGAAACTAGATCTAATCCTCTCTTATATTGAGTTGACATGAGTACATATACCCAAACCTCTTTCAATCCTAATTTTTTTTATTTTGTCCTTTTCTTTCTCTCTCCTCTATCATGAGCCAATGTGTCTTTGCTTGCCAATTATGTCTTTTTCACCAAGCTTCGATCAAAGTGGTTCCAACATGGTATTAGAGCACCTAGGTGAGCTCATTTCACCTCTAACCCTTTGATGGTTCATTTTGTGATTGGCTCGTTCAACAAAAAGGGGAAATCACTACTTTGCCTTAATTTCTTCACAAGAACTCGCTTGCTTGTGATTTTTTTTTCAGCACCTGGTGGTATTTTTTGCTATTATAGAAGGCCTCTCTTGTGGACTCAAAGGACCTGTCTTCTTTACCTTGTGGATTCAAAGCAAAAGGACAAACATCAGAGCATGTTTTTCGAGGATTCAAGACGTGTCTTTGACCCTCACAACATCAAAGTTGATCACAACTTGTTCAAGCCATTCCTTCCTCAAGTTTTGTTCTGTCAAGTGGTATCAAAGCAAGGTTAGTGTTCCAGATTTAGATTTACAAGATGTCATGAGGTAAAGGGATTCACATCAATGACAATGAAAGTTCTGAGGTATGCCCTATTTTGAAATAAGAGTTTGCTGATTTCAAGATTCATATGGAACAAAAATTTGAAGATTTGAATGACACTTTGAAGCAAATTTTAGCATGAATGTCTGTAATAGAATGTTAATCTCATGGTCAAATTGGTCAAAAACAAAATGATTTCTATAACCTCTCACATAAAAACTTATTAATTGATATAGGAAGTTCAAAAAGTAGATTTGATTATGATGATTGTAAAGATTTTCGAATGAAAATTAATTTACCTGGTTTTAATAGACATTTGGAAGTAGAAGAATTTCTTGATTAGATTTCTGAAGTTGAGAGATTTTTTGAATGTATGAAAATTTCTGGTGAGAAACAAGTGAAATTAATTGACTATAAACTCAAAGTGGAGCCTCTGCCTGATAGGATTAGCTACAATCCACCCATACAAGATCAACAAAAGATCAAGTTCAAAGTTGGGATAAGATAAACAAATTATTAAAATTTAAAATTCTTCCTTGTGACTATGAACATGTTTTATATCACCAATATCAAAGTTGTAAGCAGAGAAGTAGATCTATCATAGAATATGTTGAGAAATTTTACATACTTTCTTTAAGAGTCAATTTGACTGAATCTGAATCTTATATGATCTGTAGATTTAAAAGTAGACTTCGATTGGATATTGAAGAAAAGGTTGCTTTACAATTAATGATGTTGTTATGACATTAGAATGTGCTAAAGCTTTATTAGAGAAAGGTAAATCTAAAACTCAAATTTCTACTAATGTGTCAACATTTCAGCCAGATAGGTCAAGACCAGCACATATTTCATCTGCTACCAGTAATAGAAGATCGGCAACCTCATCTACTATCAGAAATTTTCAGTGATGTTGTTGAGATGGATGTTTGTCATCTAATCTTAAGTAGATCATGATAATATGATTTAGATGCAACTCATCTGGGCAGATATAATCATTATGTTTTTTAAAAAATGGTGAGAAGTTTTTTTTATGCCCAATAAAAGAAAATGAGTTTTTTTAGCATAGTTAAAGAAATGAAGAAATAAGTTATGATGATTCACAAAACATAACTTTTTAATACTTCAAAAAAAAAAATCTGAAGTGTTTATGCTAGTTAAAAAAGAGAATGTTTCATTGCATGATTACAATGTGATACCTGAGGCATCACATAATATGTTAAATGAGTTTTCTATCACACAAGACTCTCCCATAAATCTTCCTCCGTTCAGGGACATACAACATCATATAGACTTGATTCTTGGATAAGTTTGTCAAATTTACCTCATTATAGAATGAGCCCTGAGGAGAATAAGATTTTACAAGAACAAGTTGAAGAACTATTGGAGAAATGATTAATTCGTCAAAGTATGAGCCCATGCTCAGTACTTACATTATTGGTTCCAAAAAAAGATGAAGCCTGACAAATGTGCGTAGAGAGTCGAGCAATGAATAAAATCACAGTGAAATATAGATTTTAAATTTTGAGACTTGATGATATGATTGATATGCTGTATGGTTCCAAAATCTTTTCCAAAATTGATCTTAAAAATGGGTATCATCAAATTTGAATTCATCCAAGTGATGAATAGAAGATCGCTTTCAAGATTAAAGTAAAATTATATAAATGGTTGGTTATACCATTTGGCTTATCTAATATTCCAAGTACCTTTATGCAAATGATGAATCAGGTACTGAAGCCTTCCATTAGAAATATTGTTGTTGTCTGTTTCGATGATATTTTGATATACAGTACCATAGAGGAAGAACATTATCATCACTTGAGATATGTATTGACTGTTTCACAACAAAATAAGTTGTTTATTAACTTAAATAAATGTAAATTTCTTACTTCAAGTTTCATTTTCTTGGGATATATTGGAAGTGTAGATGACATCAAAGTGGATGAAGAAAAGATTGAAGCTATTAAAGATTGGCCAATTCTAAAATGATGTTTATAGTTTTCATGACTTAGCATCATTTTATAGAAGATTTATTTAAAATTTTAGTTCAATTATGGCTCCCATCACTGAATGGATGAAAAGAGAAAACTTTAAATGGACAGATGCAGCAGATAGAAGTTTTATTCAAATTAAAGAAAAGTTAAGTTCTGCCCCTATACTAGCACTGTCAAATTTTGATAAATTATTTAATGTAGAATATGATGCCTCAAATATTGTAATTAGAGCTGTATTATCTCAGGAAGGTCGTCTAGCATTTTTTTATAGCGAGAAATTAACACTACTTGTGGACTACATATGAATTAAAATTTTATGTTATAGTTAGACCATTACATACTTGGGAACACTACTTGATTCAATGGGAATCTATTTTATTTACTTACCATCAAGTTTTGAAATCAGTCAATAGTAAGATCATTATCAATAGAATATATGCTAGATTGATTTCATTTATTCAAAAGTTTTCTTTTGTGATAAAGGATAAATCAAGAAAATCAAACAAAAAGGTAGATGCACTTGGTCAAAAAATCAGCATTTCTACTTACAATGAGAGGAGAAGTTAATGGTTTTGAATATCTGACAGAACTCTATGTAAGGATTTCACATTCTGAAATATGGTATATGTGCAAACAAGGCAAATCATCTGAAGGACTTCACATTCTTAAATATTACTTATTTCAAGAAAATCAGTTACGTATCCTTCAAACTTCTTCGTGTGAGAAGTTAATTCAAGAATTACATATAGAAGGACTTGGGGGGTGCCATGACAAGACTTTGATAGTGATGGAGGAACAATATTATTGGCCACCGCTTAAAAAAAAAGTTGAAAGTTTTGTACAGATATGTCAATATTGTCAAACTAATAAAGGACAGTGTCAGAAGATAGGTTTGTACACTCTACTACCCATTCTAGATAATGCATGGACTGACATTTTTATGGATTTTATTTTGGGATTATCATGTACCTAAAGAGGAATAGATTCTATTTTTATAATTGTGCATAGATTATAAAAGATTGTCCATTTTATTTCTTGTAAAAAGGTTAATGATGAAGTTCAAGTAGCAACTTTATTTTTGAAAAGAAATAATTTGTTTACATGGAGTGCCTAAGGCTATTACTTCTCATTTTTGGTGTACTCTTTGGAACAGATTAGACTTATGCTTGAAATTCAGTACTATGAGTCATCCACAAGCTGACGGTCAAACAGAAGTGGTTGACAAGACACTTGGTAATTCAATCCATTTTATTTTAGGAGACAAACTAAGACAACGAGATCTTGCCTTAACTCAAACAGAATTCACATACAATTCTATGGTAAATTGGTCTACAAATTACTCTCCATTTTCTATTGCCTACTATTTTCCATCAGAAGTCTCTCTTGACTTGATTGAAGTATCAAGAAAACCTGGTACTACTGTAACAGCAAATAACATGGTAGAATACATCCAAATAATACATGAGAATGAGAAGAATCATCTTACAACCAATTATGCAAATTACAAGGAAAAGGCAGACAGAAAAAGAAGAAAGAAGATCTTTGAAATTGGTGATTTGATTATGATATACTTGAGAAAAGAATGATTGCCAGTAGGAAATTATCACAAACTCAATCCACCGATGTATGGTTCACTTAAAATCCTTCAAACAGTTAATGAGAATGCATTTGTCATTGACCTTCCAGAGACAATATAAATATCATCTACAGTCAATGTTATAAATTTCTATGACCTTTATCCAGAGCAAGTTAAAGACTCGAAGACAAGTCATTTTCATGAAGGGGAGACTGATGCAGCCCAAACCCTGAAGCCCACTAATGAAGAAGCCTGAAGCCCAGTATTGATGTACCATGAAGCCTATTACTATTATAGGTTAAAGCCCACTTTACTGGCACAATTACGAAATTAGGTCCATAGATCTATTTTTATTATTTTAAAATTTCATTTGAAATTCAAATTTCAGTAAAAAATGGTTTTAAATTTCGATTTCATTTGAAATTCAAATCTTGGCACCGAAATTAAGACTCTTGAAGATCTCTCTTTCTGCTGGACTGCAACACTCTTGTGAACTCAGGGAACTTTTTCTTGATTCTGTGGATTCATAATCACCCCTTTGTGGACTCAATGGACCTGCCCTTTTTACCCTGTGGATTCAGAATAAAATGATAACTATTAGACCACGTTATTCGAGGATTCAAGACGTGTCTTCAACCCCCACAACATCAAAATTGATCACCAACTCGTTCAAGGCATTCCCTCAAGTTTTGCTGCATCACAAGGGTGTTATTAATCGAAAGTAATATGAATAGGCCATAGAGTTTTAAATGTAATCTAATTTTCAAATAAAATTTGGAATGAAATTTAATCGCCAAGATTTTAATATCAAATGTAATCTAAATTTAAAATCAAATTTTGAATGAAATTTGAATTTCCAATGAAAATTTCAATCTCAGATGAAATTTGAATTTGAAACAAAAATTGGAATTTTGGATAAAATTGAATTTCAAATTTGATTTAGGATGAAATTTGAAAAATAATAAAAAGAAATATATAGGCATAATTTTTTAATTGGGCCATTTAACTCTTAAGGGAAGTTTCATACATTGACAATGTAACTAAACAGGTGTCTCTAACTCTGGTTTTATTATTCTTTTTTCTAGATGTTTTAAAAAAAGGTTGTGACTCTACATCAACCTAACCATATGGAAGTGGATGTTTTTCAGCTTTGAACCTAATTTCTGTACCATCAAAGAAGATAAGTAATCACAACTGCCACAATAAGTAGTCACATTACATACATTTTGATCACTAGTACTTTTTTTGTCAAGACATTGTGATTTAATGTAGTAGAAATGTGAAGAATTTGATAAGTTGATCACATTGTTCTTTCTCAAAATATATCCCATTGCATCAAACCTCCACGAAAATGATTTCTATAATATCTACTGAAAAATCCTTCTTTATCAAATCACAGTTAAACAGATTACGGTATTTCTCAGTCTTTAACTGCAATTTCTCAAGAAGATTCTTACATCCCATAAATAAAAAGTTAATCTCAAAATTACTATTTCAACTGGATTTTAATCTGCTTATGAAATTGCAGATTAAAAGCTGAAATTGCAGACCTGCAGCCTTGCTTTGATACCAATTAATGCGGCGAAAATCCGAAAAATTTAAAAAATACTTCAAAAATATTCAGCCAAAGCTGAAACGTGTTCAATATGAAATGAATGTGTCTTAATTGAAAACTCCTTACCCTCAAGAGATTCCTTTAGTCCACACGGATACTGGAATCAACCAGTAGAAGTTGAAAACCTCCAACAACGAACGGAATTCATTGGGGGTACAAATGGGACCTATTTGTAGGAAACAAATTAGTTATATCTAACCTATAAAGGGGAAAATCTATCATCCTCCTAAAAAATAGGGAGATACCAAAAGTTTAAACCGTCCTATGAGAAAAGGAATATTCTGTTAGAAGGCCCCTAAAGAATAGGAACGCCCAAAACAGAATAGCGGGATGTTTTACATGAATAAAATACGCACATTGAAAAAGTTTTAGGGTCACCAAAATATATGATGAAATCTTTTAATAGACCATTTGAAGCTGAACTTTTTATTCACTTTTGAGTTTTTCATTCACTTGAGTTGGTCTAAAACATAATTGCTCTTTCCATTCTATTGTCTTTTAGCCTTTTCAATACAGATCTTAATACTTCCTCCACTTACGTCAAAAACCTTCCATTCTTCATTTGACAGCAAATTTTTGACTACATCACGATGCTGGGGAGATTCTTCCTTTTTTGGTGCATGCATTAGCGTTTGAATGACTGGAGAGTGGTTAAAATCTTTTGCTTCTTACCCTTCAATTTCATGAGGATCTTCTGCACCATCAGTTATTGACTCATGATGATAAAGACTTATAACCCTCCTTCTTTTTAGTTTCTTTGGATCTTTATAGGATCTTCACAGGATTTTTACTTTAGGATAGAAAGTTTCAATTCTTATGCGAATTATATTCAGATTGGTTTTCTTACCACTTGGATTTTAATCTTTTAACCTTATAATCTTAGGGTGTGATTTAATTGTTTGTTATTACCGATTGGTTGTTCCCTTAACCATTTATATACCGGTCGTTGCTGACACAGCCCAATTATTGATGCACCTTGAAACACTTCTATACTAGTCATTGCCTGAAGCAAACTATTGATGAACCTTTAAACCTATTACTGTTGCAGCCATAAACTAATTACTATTTCTGAATCTCATTTCACGTTCCAATTTTCAAATTCTAATTGAAAATTTATTTTTTTGTTTAAAATTAAAAATTTCATTCAAATTTATAGTTTTGTTTAAATCTGGGTACGAAATCAAGGCTCTTTAGCCTATTTAGAGGCGACCCTAGTAGCCCCAGAGGGATATGACTTTATATGAATACAATTGCGTAAGTTTCTTATCTTGAAATTCTCTTCTTCTACTGGTGTACTCCAGCAGTCCTCCTCAACTTGTGGATTCAAAGCAAAGAAACAACTACTGGAGTACGTTTTTTAAGGATTCAAGATGTGACTTTGACGCCCACACAATTAGAGTTTTGTTGCATCAGTTGCAATGTATTTCTATTCACTTATCATGAAGTTAATGAAGCATACATATACTCAGTCTGCTAGTAGCCTACAATCAGTTGGAGGAGAAGATAACAACAGAAGGTAAGAAAAAAAGCTATCAAGATGGCAGCTTTATTATTCTCTCCATTTTATGACCCACCCCTCTCTCTCTCTCTCTAGATACTTATGCATATACAGTTGAAGAACTATAGTTATGAGGATCACTATTTGTCTGATCGATTTGGATACCTAGAAAAGCTATCAAGCAAGTGGTCTATGGGGAGTGATCAATCCCCTGCTGAAAAAAGAGCACATTAAAATACTTGTAAATTTTAAGAAATGTAAATTTTAAGCATAATTGTGGTCTGCACTATAAGAATGAGGGTTGGCCGTCTGTCTAAATGGGCAGCATAAATTTGATTGTTTATGCCTAATACCTTGTCTAAATTTGCACAAAGGTAGACACTAGAGTGGAATTTGTATCAGAGAGAGAAGGGTCTTAAAAGGATTTGAGTCATAAGTATGACATTTTGTGGAGCGAGAGACACCTCTGCTTCCATTGAAGGGGGATAATACGAACGGACATTGTGAGATTGAAGTCGAAAAACTAATAAGGTTAGGGCGTTGAATAGAGATATTGGTTTTTTAATCTCATAAGGTTAGGGCGTTGAATAACTAATAACTTACCTCTTCACAATCA